ATTTACGGAAAGTGAAAAACGTCATCTGACGTTACGATTGATTAGTATCATGCCAAAATTAAAAATTAAAGGTTGCTGAACTCGAGTGACGCTACAGCCCACCCTGACATCCAATTAGGTTTCTGCACTTTGCGAAGATGCTACTTTACTAGCCAAGATAAGGAAATCTGATTGGTTGTCTCATTGGTTGCTAAGGTGGCCTTTAGCATCATTCCCCAAACTAACTTGACTATGAGACACAATCTATATGGATGGCTTGGCAATACAGAGGCATCCTTTCAAGGAATTTATACGTCAACAAGCATCAATCAACAACTAGAGAGACCAAGCTCAATTAAAAATGTGACCTGACAATTCTTAGGTGAATGGTTCAAGCATTTGATATGCTCATAATTTGAAGGAGATTGAAAACAAAATTGGCTGTGTAAGACAATTAATTTTAATAGAGGCAGGCAAAACACACCATAATAATAATAATAATAATAATAATAATAATAATAATAATAATAATAATAATAATAAGGGTCAAAACTGTAACACGTGTTTGGTAGGCAATCACACATTTCAGATAATATAAATTGCGCAATAAGAATTAAGAATGAGGTGAATTGTTGATCGTGTTTGAAATAAGATCAAGAGGTAAGCCGAAAAAATTTAACAAGCAGAATGGTAAGAAGAGGTTAATTCATGCTGGCTTACAAGGAAGATAATGACTTCAATAGAACTGAAGGATTGTTTTTAGAAGAAAGGAAATGATCAGCAATCACGAAATCAGATTTAGACGACAGGTGCATTTAGTAGAAGATTATTAGACTGGCAAGTGTCACCAACGTACCTGTTACATTGTTCATCATGTATACGGCCATTTACGTGCCAGGCTGGTAATGTGGAGGTTGTCGATCCTAATTTTGCCTGAACCCAAGCGTTCTGTCAAACTTCACTATCACAACCTTACTAACAAGTTCAACCAACCATAGTTAGGACTTTCGAAGCGGAAAATCAGAAACTGAATATATGTGAAAATAATAGTCTGTTGTGTAAGACAAAAAGGAATTGACCAGAAACATGGGTATATAGTGAGGAAGATAAAATTGGGTCAAAATGAATCCGTCTTAATCATAGTTAGGGTAGGAAAGGTGTGAAATCATAGCACTCAAAATTTGTTGTTAGGGTGTTAGGTTGTTGCCAAGTTAATTCGAATACAACTTTGGTTTGCTGGCTTAGTATGCCTCAGTGATTCCGCGAGAATTTAAGCTATCTCTTAATATGAGTCAACTATTGGTCAGGAGTTTAAAGCAGTTTTGAGACGATGGGTTGCATCCAGCCGACGAGTCCCAAGTAGGACGAAATGTGTGTACTGGATTCCACCGCTAGCTACCACCAAACAAGTTACAATGGATCAAAATGCTGACCACGATGTTATGATCAGTAAATTTTGACAACATACAATTACGTGCATCATCATCACCCGTTCGTATGATAACGCTTTTGTTGCATCAGTCCTCGATGCCCATCGTTCAGAACATGTGACCTGTTGCATTGGAAATACTCCCATAGAAAGTAAGCCGTAGTCAGTGTTGTGTGTAACTTTTTGGAGTTTAGAAACACACAATGGGGACACTCAATAATTTTTTGCATAGAATGAGAAGAAGATTGATCGTGAATTTGGATCGTGATATACACTACTCTTGACTGTTTTTTAGTAGCACAACATCCAGATTATCCACCTCTGCTAGTCTGTTATCAAGTTAGAATTATTTTTGATTCCAGTCTCATCAATTACTCTGCGATGTCAAAGAATTCCCTGTTTGAAATAAATCCAAAGTAATAAGCTGATTTCATCATAGTTGTCTTTGGCAAGTATCTGTCAATTTTATCATTAACCATATATATATATATATATATATATATATATATATATATATATATATATATATATATATATATATATATATATATATATATATATATATATATGATACAGATGTACACGTTACTTTCATACTAGAAGAGATTCACTGACATTACCTCACCATGGTGGCTTAGTTTTACGTTTAAAAATAGAGAGAAATTTAAGCAAACAGTTAATTTTATTCTTCACAATCTACCTAGCGCAAAATTTTCGATTACTGAGTTATTTTCAAACGGAGTTAGTCTATTAAGTAAAGGGAATCATAATGCTGTCAGCGACATTTCGTACATTCATTCAGTAGGCAATCAGCCATATATCTTGTATGAGGGATTATTGTGAGAGAGCTGGCAAAGTCTCAATAGGTGAATTGAGGCTCGAACCCATACCCTATTGGTTGAAAGTCAACTGCTTAAACCAATAAGCGACAGGTCTACACTAAAGGGAATAATGTCCTAACAATAATAGTTATACGATTGACCTTTATGAGAAAAAGTAGTCCCAAGTAAATAGAAGTGAGCAGTCATGAAAAGAATCAGCTTTATGATTAGGGTAAATTTTAAAACTGTAATCGGTCTATTGAATCCTTTTGACCTAAATGTCTAGAGACCACGATTTGGAATACGCTTCACCATTACCACCAGTTTTTCAACACATATGAGTCATCGATCGAATTTAATACAATACAAGACGTTGATATCCCTTTCATTACATGATCTCATCTGCTACAGATATACAACCCAATATTTTCGCATAGAAGAATAATAATAAACAATAAATTTCCAATTGAACAACAGGAATATTCCAACTAGAAAATTGGTGATAAGTTTTAAAATCTATTGGTTTCCAATTTCGACTACTATTATTACTATTATTGGTCCTTTGGCTTCCTAGTGGAACATAGGGCTTCATTCAACCACTATTAAGGCATAGATACTAATCAGTGAACAAAAAGTAGGCTTGTAAAACCAGCATGTTAATATAAATACGGATGACCAACCGGAATCCACTTGACTGAATTTAGCATCTTCATTTTCTTTGAAACGCCATAACAGAGAAAACAACTTATGTATGAAAAGTGGAATGACATACATATAAGGGTAGACTAAGTTCTATACATAAGTTTTACTTTGTAGTCTACTTGGTGGCTAACAGTGGAATTCAGGACGAGCGTTTTGTCCTATTTATGACTCATCATTTGGATGTGTCTGCACCCCAATTAGTCATAGTGTTCTTGCTGAGACTGAAACCCAGCACCCATCGCTTTAAACCCCTAAGTGTCATCCACCAGGCGACTGAGGCACGACAGTCACTTCTTGTACAACGGGTATGAGTTATTATCTGTTGATACTTGTAATTTCTCTCTCATACTGGATCGAATTGCTCGATCATTGTTGGTAGAAGAACTCTTATGCGGATTACTTGGTGTTTGAAGCTATGGGTAAAGAATCCGAGTGGGGACAACATTACTTACTGATGTGCAAGTGCGTCCAAGCGATAAATCTCAAATAGGACGAAACGTGAGTCCTGGATTCCTTTGCAAGTCATCAAGTAAGCTGTAGCACAATGAATATTCAGGCATTATCGAAGCATCCGCATATGACTTCGTCTTTCAACAGTGGTCGAACAATTCGATCCAGTATGAGAGAGAAATTACAAGTATCAACAGATAATAACTCATACCCGTTGTACAAGAAGTGACTGTCGATCCAGTTAATTACAAGTATCAATCAATAACTCTTGCCTTGTTTACTTCATGCCAGTTACTTCTACTATGATGAACAGCCAGATGGAATAATTTTGAAAGTTTGTTACCTGAATTGCGATCAGTTTTCAATTCTTTTGTTTCGTCAGTTGGATTTGCCCCTCATGTGTATTTTTTTCTCTCAGCAATATCATCCTCTGCGGCTGCGCAGTCACATTTAAATATAAATAGTGTACACAATGTCAGTAAATGTTGGGAGTTTGTGGTCATGGAAACAACGTAGAAATGGAAATTGTGTAAGAAATATGAAAATGTTAGTTAGTTGGAGGCAATCGGTGGAAAGCCCTGGATCTAGGTTTTGCGTTCGTTTGCATTCGTCAGCAAGGCTTATCTACAACCTAGACGGAACTGACGCCCTCTGTGAGATTCCGACCCACGTTATGCAGCGTTTTAGTCAGAGACGTTACCTTTGAGCTACTCCAGTTTCTTGCTCTTTACTTCCAACTAACTAAAATCCATCAAATTGCACCGCGATGGTGAACCTCATACATCACAAAACAATCGGTAGAATTCGGTCGGCACTCAAGACCAGACAACATGAAATTGGTTGTTCTACCAGTAAGATATGGCTTGAAATCAAGCAGTAAAGACTTCGTGACAGAGTGAGTAGGCAAGTCGTCAGTGAGCAAGGGAATGAGAAATTTGTGATTTAGTCAAACGAAAGTCATTTACGTAATAACAATATGAAAATTGAGACTGTTTAGGCTTAACAACTGGAAAGTCTAATAATTAGGGCAAGGAATGGTGAAGTTGGTTCTGGATACACAATTCCAGTTACACGAGAATCACGGAACAAAACACTTGAGGACACTCATCTATTCTACTTTTTTCTAATACAGCACTTGCTGGTATACATACGACTACTCGAAAAACCATCACAACGAATGAAGTTTAAGGTGTGTACAGCAGCAGTGATAACCGAATCCTTGTTTAGTAAAATATGGTCATGACAAGGGTAGACAAAATGAAATTTAATTCTTATTGGTTAAAAACCTTTTCTTCATATCATTGGTAGATGTTTGTAGGGCTGTTCAGGAGACTAGGGCAAATGTGTTACCTTGATCATCCACTACTCTAACCCTCCCACTGAGTCATTCTTCACGTGTCCTTAGCAATGAAAAAAAATGAACGGATAGACATTGTCTACTTATTTGTCCATTTGTTCGCCAGACGGCCACAATCGATAGTCATTTGAATCAATGCCTTTGGATTGTCGAATCCAAAAAGACTAAGGTGTGTTTGTTAACTCTAACCAATAGAAAAGCTAAAAATTATTCTACCTGTCCGATGTCGGATATTTATAACAGATTGAAATACAGTTTTTTCACAATGCAGAAAAATACAGGAAAGGAATGATGTCCGGACCGGAAGCGTGTGATTGTGATTATGGCTTCTTTGCAAATCATATCCCAGGATCATTAAACCAATGTAAAATGGATTATTCATGTAATGCAAATCAGCATACTGCTGATGAGGTGTCGAATTGGAATATAGAAAACTTCAAACTGTCAAGTTTACATTATTCGGACAATCATCCGGAGCCACTATTTCCTAGGTATGTACATAAACATTTTGACAGAATAGATTGTAGCCTAGTTTTTCTGTAAATTGTTTGTTCAAATGCATGAGTGTATTAATTTATCTACACGTAATTGCATTTACTGTTATGCGGGTTTGAGGGATACGTAGTGACTTGATGACATTTCCCCAAATAACTTAACTAGAGACAATATTATTGAACATGTCTGAGTCAATGAAGAGTATTCATAGCTCAGGCGAAGGATTCTGAATACATCGTGTTCTCTGAGCTAAGTAGCTTAGCCACCAAGCTTTCACTGCACTGTAGACAATATCAGCACAAACTTCAGAAGTATATTTCAGTACCTACTACTGGATCTTGTTTACATGGGTTCGCGAACTTTACTTACACGAACTTGATAGACCCATAGGCCAATTACTTGTTCTTCGTACTTATAAGAGTCCAAAAATGAACAGAATAAGGTAGCCAGGTAGGAATAGTGTAGTTGGTGGTCTGTGCCAAAATATCGATGCGTTTCGACTAACCGGCTATAGGACCATGTATGAGCAATGCGGCGATAGGCCACACGACATTGGATGCTTCACCATATGCCTTCAGCTTATCCACCCCATCAGAACCATAAAAGTAAGTTTCAGTATTAGATCTGATCGAACCCTAGGATACTGGTTTTGGGGAACTATTCACCTCCACAAGGTTACAGTTTCTGTTGACTTGCTGAACTTAGTTAAACTTTTGTTAGCTTTTGCCATTTAGTACATGGAACTGTCACCACAAACAGTTGTTTTCAAGTAAAAATATGATGCTTTATCTCATGAGACTAGCTGACTTTCAGGAACCAACTCGGATTGCGTGAAGATGAGAAATAAAGCGTGGTCCGAAGTCAATTCTTCTTAGCAACTTAGTTCAACGGTAATGCATATGATATTACAATCCCTTTTCATAGTTCGATTTCCGTCAAATAAGATAGTTAAAAAATCCGATTTTCAGCCTAATCTGTGGTTCCAGACTACTTTTCTTATTTTGGGAAGCCAATGGATAGATATATACCGCATTATTTATCAAAGCCTTTTATTTACCTATGGAATGTCAACCAATTTGTCATTTATATTTATTTTGACATCACAAGACGTGTACACAGTTTCGATGTACTTGACCTACATGCCTCCCGTGACTTGCTGTTTCAGGACGCGAACGAACGATACGCACTCAGCTGCCTTGTGCACATTCGTACGGCAGGCAATGAGCCACACCTATTATGTCAGGGCTAGGGATACTATCTGGTTGTCCGAACCTCGTTAGGTGGAGAGAGGTTCGAACCCGCTACCCAGTAGTTGGCAGTCATCTCCCTAAACTACAACCCCAGCTCTGACTGGAAACGCAACATGAGTATAAAGTCTGTGACTGTTGGTGGGAATCGTGTAAGGGGTTGTAGACTTCAATGTTTGGGACCATGTGGCACCAAAAAATCGAGATATATAAACTAGGTGGTACAACTTGGAATCGATCTCAGGGGGCTCAGATACATTCATACACTGTATTCTTCTTAATCGTCATACCACAATTGTTACACTTGTACTCTTTTTATCACTTGATTAAACTTTATTTCTCTATCTTTTATTTCACTAACACATACCTTAATATGCAGATGCGATGTGTGGTAACTTGGCTGTTAAGCAGTAATGCCACACCCCATGTTGACATTAACCGACCGACTGGTAAATTAGGCATAGAAATCAAATTATTGCCCCTCTTTTTTCAACTGTCAGTTATAGCATAGTCATCTCCAGTGGGTTTATTGGGTTAAATGGATGCAATCGCTGTATTTGGATGCTAGTGAGATGAAAAATTATCCTGAGTATATTTTTCTATGAACTTTAAGGGAAGTCAAACCGAAGTAACTGTGAACTTATATATCTTGAATCCTTTTTGGTTATCAAGAGTACTGTTATTGCTGGCTACTCTGATATAGTTTATTAATGTTCATCAAAAGATGTAATCTGGTTTGACCACCACTTGTGTGCTGCATTTTGTGTGGTTCGGGAAGTTGAATAGAGTAGTCAGGTGTCACACGACAGACATGACAACCTCGTGAACTCGTATGCAGTTATTTGTTAAAAAAAATGTTAACAACACTTCAATTATTTGAATAGGTAAACAATTATTAGAGTGGTGCATGTAGTCGTTTGAGGCAAAATTCGATTCCATGTACACATTAAATGTTGCGATCATCATCAAGATTTAATCAACCAAATCTTATGACTGAGGTGTTTGAGGGAGTTTACCGAAAAGTATGCTTTGGAGAATAACGTATAAGATACATGGTGATCGAAGCAACAGGTTTCCGCGTGCAGCTGTTTTCTGATTTCAGCTTCTACAGGGCTTGATACTTTTGTATTTATTTCCGGATCTGCTGTTTTTAATGAACATTGTCAGAATGTAGTGTAACTACTCTTCAAACAGGTAGCTTATCTAACAGTTAGTGCTTGTGAGTTTTAGTTGAATTGGTAGTTTACAGTGTTCCCCTAGGGGTGGGGAATTATTAAGTTGTGACTTTCTAAACCTTGGTTTGGTGATAGCATAGATACAGAAGATAACAGCCATTCCAATGGAGAATTTAACATACGCGTGAACGACTTCTGCATATTCATCCGTCTTCGGCGTGAAAACGACAGTTTGTGATTCAGCCTTTCGCATCTGTTTTTAGAATCCAATGAATAATCGATTAATGTAAATCGGCTGGTTTTTTATTTATTTTAGGTACGAAGACGAAGTACAATTTACAGGATTTCAAATCAACTCAGATTCATTGCGTTCAGCATCCATAAGTACAGAACATTTACATCAAGATCTTTCCGGTAAAAGTTCATTTTGCCCAAAACACATTGTTTCAACTAATTCCTTAGACGCCTTCAATTCATGTCTAAACACTTATTGTCTTTGTTCATTCGCAAATGTTCAACATCAAATCCAAGACATTTCTGATTGTACCAAATGCAAGAAGTTTCAAACTTATCATCACGACCGTATGCGTCCCTCACCTAGGAAACTGAAGTCCATCAATTCAAATGCTTACCCATTTATTATTTCGAATCGCTCTGCCGTTCATAATTGTGGTTTGATTGATCACGATGTGTACGGTAATCCTGATACATCTACTGAAACTAAAAATCAGTTAAAATACATGTTGCCCTACCAGGAGGAGCTACCCAACATATCTTGCGAATCGGGAGATGTAGCTGCTAAAGAAATCGAACGTATTGAACGTCATTATGGTGGTCGTTTGAGAACACAACGTGCGGCAAAAATCATCCAGAATGCATATCGAGACTATCGTTTACGAGTTGAGTACTCTCGACTGAGATTAGAAAAAGGTGTCAACCGTGTCGCAGAAACAAAAAACGTAGAGGTTATTGTGCAAGACAGTGATAATTCCAAACATATTTCAACACAAGTCACTACTGATAATAGTTGTATGAGATCTGGACCGTTAGATGATGTAAACGACTTGGTTATTGATCGGGCATACATAGACTGGTCATTAGAAGCCTCTGTGAATCAAATTGAATCACATAACTCAACGTTCGATGGCAAGTTTTCAGGTAATGAAAAGGATTTTAATTTCCATTCTCAGTCGCTAAAATCTCATGCAAATTCTCAACCCAGTGGGCCACTATCTCCTTCCATGCCTCCTGAAGCTTCTAAAATTATGAGCAACAAGTATCTTTCCCCCGATATTGTAGAGTCACATATACATAAACAGGATTTGAAGGTGATCACATCCGATATGCCACGTTCTGTTCCTAATCCATTGATGCAGTTCGACAGTCAAATCATCCAGCCATCCAGAGGAAATCTTTGCAATAATTCAGTTAGACAATCGATACTATTGAGCAATCCTCAAGGGCAGTGGAACAGCCCTACATCGCATAATATAAGTTCGCACTTTAGGACTCATGTAAGCAGTTCATGTGGTCATTGTTGCTATTTGAATCATCACAGTGCGGAAAGTATTCCAAAGTCGCAGGGGTTTTCACCTAGTGAAAGAGATTCTTGTACACATAAATGTCTTCACTTTCAAAAATATTGCTTACCACCCAGAATTCCAGGTCACCCAAGCATTCACAACAGTTGCCCTTATTGCGTATGTGTCCCTAGCACCGTTAGTGCAAATAAATCCACTTTGGTTTGTATACCTGCTCCTCTTAGTACTGTAGTTCCACCTTGTAGTGGTAACGGATGTCCAGTAATTTCTTATCCTATAGGAAAAGTGTGTAAAACACCTCCAGCTAGTATTCCACCCTGTCCTCCTTTAAACAGTGGATTACTGCATTTGAATTCGAGACACATAATGCCTACGGCTCCAACCGTTATGTCTGCACCGCAAATGGAATCCCATAAAGTAAATAAGAATGAATCATTCCAGCGACAGTATCCAAATCATATGTCTTGCCAAAATCAATGTGCTTATATTAATGTCCCCACACAGTGCCGATTACATCTACATCCTCCTTTTCTTCCATATGGTGTACCAAGTCAAACAATTCATCCTTCAGCCGTGACCTCCTTTCCCTTCAGAAATCCATGTGTTGTTCGGTTACCCAACGCCCAAGAAAAACGTAGAAAGCGAGCTTATCGTGTTGGCTTAAATATATTCAATAAGTAAGTGCTTTCCCCCTGGTAATTCTTGAGTTATATCTTTGAATGTTATGTGTACTCCATAGTCAAGTTACCCGATCATACCGGTCGGATGCAACGAACACAATTCTATCACTTGAATATATTGATAACCGTAGTCTTCAGAGTACCATTCACGGGAGTCAGGAGCATTTGTTTGGCATAAGGGTCGCTAATTGATCTAAACCTGTATAGTTTCACCGTAGACGGTGATATTAAGATTTCGGCTCTGCAAGGAGTGATTTGTTTGGCGTTTACTAACCCATTTATCCATGCTTATGGAGGGGTTAAGACAAAACGCAACATCTTGTTTTGTTTTTCTTTGCAACGGTATTTGTGATTGTCGTTAAATGCATAAAATAAAAGAAGACAAAACTTATTCGAAGATGGGTCACGTCTGGTGGAATCACCACTAAAGGATCAGTATTCAACAAAAAAAATTGATGAAATGGGAGGTTGTAGACATAAGCCAATTGTAGCTGCTTGACCGAATGTTACGTACGCCTAGTCAACATGTACTCCGATGTATTTTCGTTGAACTCAGTGGGTCATTAAAAGCTTCAAGGTAGTCAGATTAACATATGGCTTTCAATACACAAAGATACAACTACTTGATTCAAGCTAGCTAGAGTGTAGATATCTATCTGGATAACTAGTAGTTTGAGTCCCAATTTGTCATGGCGAAAATGTACTCACCATTGTTTAACAATAACTTACATTCTGATGTAATTAGATAATCTTCTTCGACCACCTACTTGTTTTTGATTCGCATAATTAATAAGTAAACTCTTATTTCCTTTTTAATTGTACGCTAGATCGCCTGTGAAAGGGATTGAATTCCTAATCAAAAATGGCTTTATTGAAAACTCCCCCCAGATGATTGCACGTTTCCTGCTTACCCGTAAAGGTTTAAGTCGAGTTGCAATAGGTGATTATCTTGGTAATACGAAGAATGAAATAGCCAAATCGACGACAAGGTGGGCTTAAATTTTTTTCGGAAAAGCGGCGCGTATTTTAGTGAATATTTTTGTTTATTGAGATTGATTGTATGTGTGTTACTACCTGTCTCAACGTGTCATGCTAAGGGGATTACGTTGGAAGAGGGTTCAGGGTGGTTAGACTGAGATATGGCATCGGTCGATGAAGTCTCTTACTGTTGACCTGAGTCATATGGGGCGTTGTAGACTCCCTGGTTAGGGTCCCGGCGACGAAAGGAATCAGTGATTAAGGACTCTTGGTGACGGCTGATAATCGGTCACAATTGCTCAGATGCATTCACTGTTTAACGTCTTCTAAGTTTGAATATTTACACTAACCACCTTCATCTTTAAATTGTTTATTCTGTCAAACAACTTTGTCCACTTTGATATCACCCTTTTTCTATCCATCTATCCTTTGTATGCTACTGTGAAGTGTGGTAGTTTGAATCGATTTACTTGTGTACCAGGTTCTACGTTGGTTTTGTCTGTCTGGTAGTACCAAGACTATGTTGTTTCTCCTGCATCGTAACACTTTCTTGTTATGTTTTCAACGTCTCTTATTGTGCAATAAACGTTTGTTTGATTTTATTATGGTTATCCCGTATTTGAAATGTTGCTGGTGGACTACTGGAAATTTAAACGGTGGGATTGAAATAGATTAAGAAAGGAGAATCTGTTAAATTGTATATATTCTTTTACACATACTAATTGTTGTCATTTCCCTAAACTGTTGATTATGATGCTACCGTGGAAAGGATTTTTTAAAAATCTCATCCAAGACGTCGCTGAAAACATCACAGTAAATGAAACAAGTAGTTTCTGTTTTGATATTATATTCGCCATATTCATTATATTATATACGGTATGCTTCACTTTGTTATGGAGATTACTGTGAAATACAGTCGTCAAGACTAGTGATGGGGACTTTCATGATCAAGTATGAAAAGGTCCAGAGGAAACTAGATAAATAAATGTAGGATGCAACATCGATTTCTAATACTGTAATGTACGTTTTAATTTGTAATCAATGTGATAAGAGATGAACTCATAGCCGTCATAGTGTAGCATTATGTGGGTGTGACGAAAGGGAAGTTATCGATAATCATATGTCCTGAAGCGAGAATAGCTTTCTTTATATTTTCGTGTATGGTTATATCTGTCGCGGAAATTGAATTTCATTTACTCAATGTTTGGAGTGGGAGAAACACTTTTGAAAATAAGTAAGTACAACATCATTATGTTAAGATTATGATTGGTGTTGGCTAGCAGATTTGTTTGATAGAAGTTGAATAACCTAAAACAATAACGCGTCATTCAGTTAAATGTTCTCATCATTAAAATACACTGTTTTCGATGCATGCGAATGAACTGCGTGTCTTAACCTTGGAATCTAGGACACACATTTTCCTACTTCGGACTCGTCATATGGATGTGCTTGCACTCTAGTGAGTGGTGTTATTCTCATTAAATCTCGAACCCAGTGCCCACAGCTCTTAATGCTAAAGCGCTATCCTCTAATTCGTGATAGCCATCAAGTAAACTACAACATAAAGATTATTCAGGCAGTATGTAGGCATCCACATAGAAGCCCATCTACCAACTGAAGTGGAGCAATTTGACCCTGTACAGCAACGAGAAATTAGAAGTATCAGTACATGACAACTGATACTTGTTGCACAAGAGGTATCATCCATGCATCAGGATAATGCTTTGGTGTTTGAAGCGGTGGAGACTGGGTTTGAATCTCAGTCGGGACACCATTACTCACTGTGGTGCAGGTACATCCAGCTGACGAGTCCCAAATAGGGCGAGATGTGCATCCTGGATCCCAGGGTTAAGCTATGTAGTTCATTTGAATGCATCCCAAACAGCATATTTGTGTCATCAGCACATTTACCTGAATGATATGTTATCGTTTTTGGCTATTCAACTTTTATCAGACGAGTCTAAATTTTTTCTTAAGAGAATGAACTAATTTTCATTTAGTTGGGTGAACTTGAATTATGCAGTGTCTGGTTCATCTGAATATATATGAGTTAATATCAAGGCCTAATGCATATTTTCTTGATAAGATTGAAGCCTGTTTGACTTATCTGGTCGATCTGAGTGGAATTTTCCATTGGTTGAGTCGTTCATACACCGATTCTTGTGTTTGATTATTTCACACAACTTTAGTGTCAATCAAGTGTAAGGCGTACATTCACACTTCTCACTCAACTTAGTGCCCATCGCTTTAAACACCATGACATTCGCATAAGAGCCCATCTGCCAGCAGTTATCAAACCATTCGATCCAGTATAACGACTGGATATTAAAAGAGGTGCCTAGTGGATAACACTTCGGTGTTTTAAGTGACGGCTACTGGGTTCAAGTCTCAGTGGGGGCACCACCACTCGCTGGGCTGTATGTTCATCTAGCTGATGAATCCCAAGCAAGACGAAACTCACGTTCTGGATTCCACTGATAGCCACCACCGAGTAAACATACTCATAACTATTCAAATAGGATTATTTTAGTAACAATTTCATAGTATTCATTTCCATCGTATATTTGCTAACATGCTTAATTCAAGTTGTGTATGTGTGTGGAAGTAAAAACTGGTTTAATTAATCTCCCTGACAAGCATCACTTGACTATTGCTTAATTGAGAGCTTTTTATTCGAGTACATTTCCCTTCTGATTTTCAACTGCAATTAAGCTTCTTTTAAATAAAACTGTGTTTGGGGTGTACGCAATCTCCTGTATTTTATGAATGTATACTGGAAAACTTAGTACATACATAAGCAGTTTGTTGTCTTTATCCCATTGGTTTGAAATCGTTTACTGTTGAACTAACCATATGACGATACAACCTTATCTTTATTCGTGATAATGTTGTAATGTTATTCAAATCTTTGTGACCTTCATTGATGATGGGAATTTTTAATAATTTGACTGATGCTTGTTCTTATCAACTTGACATGATTTGTAGAGATATTTAAAAAATCTATTGATGAACTTTAGTTCATTTAAAAAAAAACACATAAGGTCACCTCTCTTAACCAGCTTGGCGGGGTTGTTTTATTCATTTAATAAATGCATGATATTGATGATGATTCATGTTTGTTTGTGGTGGTGGCGGTGATAAGTTGTTTATTCAGACTACCGATAAGTAATCGATACCTTTTTTCTAACAACCCATTGTGTATATTCTAAGTTTTCATATGTTTGTGTTTTCATGGGCAAGCATTCACTGAATAATTCAACATTCTACTAGAAAATCAGTTTTTTCACACACATGTTGTCCTTTATAGTTAGTTACCTTATCATTGTTATTCTTGTTTGTTTGCTTCTTTGGTGGGTGTGATGTGTGAATCAGTGTTGCGAGAATAATTGTTCAGTCATCACATACTTTTCACCCACTACTCAGTGAGTGCAGACATTCATTCATTGCATTAAGAATGAATGAGAGAGTTTCAGAGTGTCTCTTCACTACTATATTAGCCTCACAGTAGCTGTAGTGGACCTATTGAATGGTCACTATTGACTCTCATCCTCCAGAAAACTGGTAAAACAGTCACATGTTGCAGATACCATCACGAACATTGTCGTAGTGGTTAAACTTGTCTATCGTGACCCAAAATCAAGGTTAAATAGCTGTCTGGTGGTCTATTCGAAGTATTTTTTTGCTTCTTAGGTATTAACTGACCTCTTTCAGTGATGCCACAGTTTTGCTATCTCAAGGAAGTGCTCTAATCCTTAAAACTGGTTGTATTTCTTACGAAGTGGTCGGGTGTGTTGACCATTTCACCTACCTGGGGAGTTGGATCACCCCTGGTGCTTTAGTCAGTGGCCAACAAGATCCCCACACGAATATAAAAGACTTGACTAACTTTTGCCAACATACCGTCTGTGGCGTCGCCGTAATATCCGATTATCTATTAAGCGTCGAGTGTGCTGCACTTCAGTTCGATCTGTTCTTCTACATATGTTTGTGAAGTATGACGAAAACAGCCCCCTCCCACAAACCCACAAATTAAATTGATCTAGTGCTCATCGGTAAATAGCTTCAAGAGGTGTTTCCTGAAGTTCCGATTAGAAGTCGTGACCAGTGTGGCAAACCCGGTGGCCATGAAGACAAATACTCAACGATGACGTTGGGTGATGGTCACCCTTTGTTATGAAGTGACAGAAGTTTGAATCATGGAGCAATGGATTCCGACCCAGTGGTTCAGTAGTAACGTGCTGGCCGCGGGACCTGAAGGTCCTGGATTCGACCCCTAAGGTGCGGGGTCATGGGTGTGCACTGCTGGGGAGTCGCATACTAGGGTCAAACTGCTGTCGAATGCTCTCAGGTTTCCAATGTTCCTCCGACTGATGTCAGTCCATGATGAATACCAACTTGAAAAGTAGAGTACATGAGACGGTTTTAGGTGTGTGACAACCGTTGTTTTCGTAGCATAGGCGTGTGTCGTTGTGTCACCGCGCCGGTAGGGAGTAGCGGGAAATCAACTGACGAAGTTGTGGACCTACATTGAATAAAATTTCTGGGACATGTGTCATTCATGCATAGTCACCGTCCTCCCCATCGTATAATGTTTGGTCAGGGCAGTCAGACTAGAACATGGCATAAGGTCTTTGACTGGTGATCTAAGCAAATTTATCAAGATGACTAATTGTTTCAAGATGCAGAGTAGCCGGTTGGAGTCCATGTGATCACAAGAATTAGCATTTTTGGTGTGCGAAAACTTCAGTTCAAGATACATTTCGAAGCATTCAGTCTATCATTGCGAGCGTTTGACTTCTTATTTTATTCATACTGTTACAATTTTTATCCATTCTTCTAGATTTACTTTTGGTTTATATTTGTACGCGATAGTAAAATAAACAATTAGATTTTTTTCTGGTCAGTATAAAATAAATTGTAATTTTTTTAAAATGCCTAGTTTGACATTTTTATCAGTGATGTCTGGGGAACGGATCGGATAATTCAAGGAAATTTCATGATTATTATACTTTAAATTTTGAGGGGGTTGTGGAGATTTGGAAATATTTCAAGTTGTTATTCATCGAAGACTGACATCAGTTGGAGAAACAAAGGAAACCCGGGAGCACTGGACAGCTGTTTCGTCCTAGTATGGGACTCCTCAGCAGTGCGCACCCACGACCCCACCAGTAGGGATCGAACCCGCGACCTTCAGGTTCCGCGACCAGCGCGTTACCATTGAGCCACTGGGTCAGAATGCAATGCTCCATATTTCCAACTTCTGTTAGCTCACGATATAGCGCAAACCGCCACCCAATGTCATCGTTGAGTATTTGTCCTCACGGCCATCAGGCTTTAACTCCACCGGTCACGACTTGTCATTGGAACTTCGGGAATACTTCTCGAAGCTAGTCACCAACGAGCACTAGTTCAATTAAATTTTGAAGGGGTTGTGGAGATTTGGAAATATTTCAAGTTGTTATTCATCGAAGACTGACATCAGTTGGAGGAACTTTAGACTGAAATATTACGCTTTTGAATTACCGAAATGTTGTTTTTCATTTTTAGTTTAAATAAATCGTTTTCTTTATTATGATAACTTGCTTGGTTGTGGCTAGCAGAGGAACCCAGGGCGCACGTTTCGTTCTATTTGGGACTCGTCGTTTGGATATGCATGCACCGCAATGAGTGATGTTATTCCTATTGAGACTCAAACCTTGTACCCGTTTCTTCAAGCGCTCATTAAGCCACTGAAGCACGATAGCCACTTCTTGTACAACGGGCATTAGTGATAACTATCCGTTGATATACTTGTAATTCTCCGTTGTTTTATTGGGTCGAATTGTTCGACGTCTCAGTGGTAACAACATCACTGATTAGGGTGCAGACACATCAACCTGACGAGTCCCAAATAGAACGAAACGCACGTCCTGGATTCTTCTGCTATCCATGACCAAGTAAATAATCATAATAATTAACTAGTCAGGCAATATCAAGGCTCAAATGCCAGTAGTGGTCGAACAAATTGATTCAGTAAAATGGCGGAGTATTACAAGCATTTCAACAAACAGTAATAAATCATTTTCGTTAATAATTTTCTACATATAGTGTTCTGTCTGGTTTAGACTGCTATGCAGTAGTAGAGATTTATAGCTCGAATCAGAATGCACTCAGTAACCTTGTGCACGCTTATACAGTAAGCAAAGAGCCACTGCCTGGTTGTTACAGCCTCAATAGATGGGGTAGGGTTCGAACCCATGGCCCCCCGGTTGAAAGTCAGCTACCTAAACGAATAAGGCATATCTTTAAGATGAGGTGGGTAATTGTTTGGTGTATTCTGAGCTTTGAGTTTTCCTCTTAAACATTTTATCACCAGACGACGATCATGTTTCTGTTAGTCGTACTGATCTTAGTAACAGTTTTCGTATCTACACCTTGCTTTACGGCATTGAAATCACTTACTTAAAGTTTGATGCAACCACTAGAAGATGAGTCAGGGATTCACATAAATTGCTTTTAGTCTTCTGCTCGCTTTTATCAAAAATTATATTAGGATTATGATGTTACCTGTCCAACTGTTGGTCCTGTATTTTTTCGACTGTCTCAATGTGAACTTCTATGTTAGCCGATTGCCAATGATCTTTTACCTACATTTTTTCTTCGAGAAAAGTTTTCCAACTCTATATGGATCGTTTGTGTTTACATATCTGGTGTTGCATTCATTTTCACTTTTGTGAATTAACATATAGACCATATTCAGAGCAATGAGTGAGATATTTAAAAAGGAGGAACGTGATTATATTCAATTAAATAGGATCGTTTTTGAACAACAGGGGGTTCTCCTGACAATCAGAATACTTACCAGTTTGCTGATAACCATGTGATAGTACTGAGTAACAAAAAACGACTTTCCGTGGGAAACAATGTGTGCTTACAGCAGTAGTTACATTTACTTTCAAGACTAAATTAGGATAGATTAAAATAAATTGAAGGGTTGTAGAGTATATAGGTGGGACTGGCTGACGAAGTAGACAAATGAAGAGATGAACTGTATATCGCATGTATAGAAGTGAGGTGATTATTATAATGTTCAATACTAGGATTGAAGGTTTCTGAAGATAGAAGAAAATTACTGCGTTGGTCGTGGTAAAGCTGACGAATGTATGTAAGCTGTTTAAATACAGATATCAGGTTATACATTACCAATGATTGAGTTGTGTAAATGACACATTCGAAGACCTTTGAAGAAACTATTGACAGGGGCTATGCATCCTAGATGTAGTGTTCGAGAATGGATCAGTTGATATTTCTTCTGTCTCTGAGTAACCAAGCCGAACAGTATTCCGAAATATGTTTATAGACTTGATGCTGCGTACGACCAATGTACCTTGTTCCACAGGATTAAGTAAACTGATTGAGGAGGTCAAAACAGTGTTCTGTCCGTAACCCACTGATGGAGAATTTTATTTTCAGACTGATTGCATGACATATCTTCCCTAGCTCAATTTCAAAAAAACTTTGTTCATGAATCTGGAGTTTAAAGGTGATGTAGCACCAATCATCCTGATAAATGGTCATTCAAGATCGGTTAGTAGTTTTTTTTTGCAGTCAAGCCTTATTTGACCTTTACTAGTTGTAAAAATTGCTCTCCGTATGTGTAAAAGACAATATCTCTCTACAGGTCACCTCGATGTATAGCTGCCAGTTCACCTGCTCATGTGGAGCAAGGTACATCGACCGTAGCCAGAGATTAATATCAACATGTATACGAGAACATGTTCCAACTCGGTTCTATTAGGGTGAAAGCAAATGTATTAATTTTATCCTTGAGCATTTGGTCGATTCTAACCATCCAGCCGACCCGAATAACGATTTTAATGTTGTTTATAAAATCTGCTCAAACATTTCACGTTTTTTTGGTCTTCAGCTTCTAAAAATAACAAAGGTCTTAGTTACCCGTGAACTGAAACCTGACATTTACGTTGCAAAAGAACTATGTACAGTCTTTGTCTCTACCTTGACTTGTTTCGTTTCTTTTTTGTTGTCTAAACTTCCCCCTTTGTTAGATCACTCTTCGTACTCTTATGTCGTCAGTATTATTTTTACACTTGGTAGTTTCCAGTATTACGTCATTTAATCTTCCCAATAATTGCAAGCCGTTTTCAATTAACTCCAATTAACTCGTCTCATTCCTATTACCTAGTCCTTTGCTTGTTTATAAACTTGACCACGTTTTCACCTCTCTATATGCACCCTATAAACGATTTAAAAAGTCTTACATAACCCCCTTTCTGTCATCATTCAGCCTTTACGTCAACTAGCAATATTATTGTAGTTATTATATATATATAAGACAGTAAGTATTTACTGCTGGTTAGAATTATCCCATCTTGTTAGTAGCATATCCAGGAATGTGAACATTGAATTTGCCACACTCTAGAGTGAATTGTTGTACATGAATGTGCAGTGTTGAGGCGGTTGTTCAAATCAAACGCTTCATTGCATACGATTCTCCTAAAATACTTCGCTACTGCTGAGTTATTTTTAAGACCACCCTAGCAACTGTTGAAGTAACCAATCAGGTTCCTGTATTCCGACTAAGAAAGTAGTTTTTCATAAAATAAAGTAATCGGTGGCCTTTGAAGTCACTCCTACTTTTCCCAATCAGTTATGATTCCCTATAGTTTTACAGCTGCGTTATTTATTTTAGTAACATATGTTCAATTCAACTATTCACATTATTGAAAATATGCTTAACTCAGCGTCCACTTACAACGTAACACAGACAACAATCTATGCCTGTTGTTTGAAGGTTGATGGTACTACCTGGCTATCGAAGTCTCGATAGGTGGAGATGAGGCGGTATCCCACGAACTTGATTATGTACACTCAAAGGTTAAGGCTTCATCGTTCTGTTTACCTAGTTAGTAGATAAACCGGAGGTAATCAAGGCCACACACACACACATACACAAAGAGGCTTTTATTATCTACACATGTTAACGCCTGTTATGTTTTCTAATTTTCAACATGAACTTTAAATAATAGTCGTATTAGGCTGTGTTGTTTTAAACAGTTGTTGTTCCTGTGTCTGGAACACCTTATATCAGACAAAATTAATTATCGTGTTCCTTTCATGTTATTGAGTCAATTGTGGTTAGCTTTATTTGGTTTATCGCCAAAGGTGGATATTGATCAGATTTTTTATTGTCTAGTAGTTTACTTCATGATATATCTCTTTGTTTAACGAATACAGGGAAAAACGAACAAAACAACACATGACTCATACTAATTTCTGTTTTTCTGATTACACAATAACTTTATAGGCAGTTTATTCGAGAATTGGACTTTCGAAATCAAGAAGTTGATGAAGCATTACGTTTGCTTTTAGGCTGTTTTCGAACACCGGTAAGTTCGTTTGTCTGTAAGGATGTCTTGGTTTCACATGTTAATGTCTGTGTGGTATTTGTTTTGTGAATATGAAAGGTTATGAAGAATTAGTGCTCATATGTATACTTTACTGGGATGTCCAAAACGAACACCTTTTTATTCACTGAATATTGTGGTGTATTTACAACTTATGAACTACTGGACTATTATATGATACCGTCTTTTGTTCTAAACTCTACGATGACTGAAATACGAAGGTAGAAAACAGGTAGGTCGCAGATATAGTCTATACCACAGTTAATTATGAGCTGAACTGTAGGGTCATGATTCTCAGTCACACAAATGTGCGCCGTGGAGGCTTCAGTTGGTGTAACAGCGTTACCATGAGCTACTTAGTTTATAACTGCATTACTAACTTCTTATTTGAGATACACTGCAGACTCATAATTCCTTTGTACAGAACGTGTTGTCGTCGACTCATTGAGTGTGTATACTTTTTGAGGACTTCAGAAAGATCTTCTGAGGAACTAAATTTCACGGCAATGGGTTTCTCTGCGCTCACTGGGCTTGTATCTACTTTGGAGAGAACCAGTCCTCTTTGTTTGATCAAGCAACACCACTTTTCGAAGTCAAAATGCTATCAGAAACCTTTTGTACATTCATGCAGTAAGTAGTGAACCATATCTGTTATGTAAATGCTAATGATACTACCCAAACCCCTGTAGGTGAGGTGATGTTCAGACCTGTGAGCCCCCTGTTGAAAGTCAACTGACTAAACCAACGAGCCACAGCTCTCCCTAAATTGGCTGTGCATTTGTGCGATTAGTTAGTACTGTTTACTTTAAATTTTTCGTAATGCATACAAATAAGGTTATTATTCATAATTCCTCAACGGTTTATGTGTAGAAATTGAGCTCATACACAGATTTTATATTGCAATAAGTCATGTCATACATAGCACCGCTTTCAATAAAACTGACAGTTAAGTCATTAGAACTGGTTTTATTGTTGTGATTATTAGATCACTGATAAAATTATTATAGGTTTCACAAGAAGCTACGTTACATCGTAACCGACTGCAGAATTTATGATGGCCTTAGAAATGTTTGGGTTTTTGTGTGTAAATCAACTACTTACTTATGAGTAGGTAAATAACTTGAAACACATTTTTATGTATTTAGGGTGAATCACAAAAAATAGTCCATCTGCTGAATGAATTTCAAGCGGCTTATGTGGAGCAGAATTCAACTCGCGTGAAGGCACAATTTCGTAGTTCAGACACCGTAATGATATTGGCTTATGCTATTGTGATGTTGCACACAGATATGTACAGTCCAAATGTTCGACCACAATCGAAAATGACGCAAGAGGAGTTTGTTCGAAATTTACGAGGTGTAGATTCTGGTAAGTAAATTTAGTTTTTTCTCTTGAAATTGCAGATCACAGACACCCTGGTTTATTGCCTGAATTCTATTTCTCCATCGACTTGTTTGCATACATGTCAGACAGTTTCTAGAGAGAGAAAAAGTAAATGAGTAAAGACGAATTTATTGGAAAAATACTAGTGGTGTAAAATCATAAGAATCCTCCCCAATGTCAATCCGGCTCCTAGATGTGACCCATGCTATCTTTACGATGTCTTCAGGGTTAACTTCAAATGTTTCTTTAGTTTTATCTTCTAGGCCTTAGTATTAGTAACAGAGTAGTTGATGTCAGTCTTAATCACGCCTTTAACAATTAAATGAGGGGGGAGGGGCGGAAATCAAATATCAGGGTGATGTGGTTGTAAGACTTTTGAAACAATTGTTTCTGAATGTCGTTCGAGGTGTTACTGGATCTAAATCTCGTTACGGTGCACAACCTACTAAAAACTATCGTCTTCAACCAAAGCTTGACCATGAGTTTCAGAATTCGCATATCACCATCTGAATTGATCCTGATACCCCTTTTTGGGATATAATGCAGCATAATATCGCCTCCATATTTTAAGATTTCTCTTCACCTGAGAAAATCTTATTTCCATGATGCGGCTAACCATCTGTTATTTTGGATATTGTCTAGTAGTTCTTGGCAAAAGTTCTTTCCAACGAATGTTTTGCGTAAGGTTTATTGAACGAAGTTGTTCTTTATGCCGCGTTCATAACTAGCAGTGTAAGTCCTTGTCTAAGCCAGGTTTACGGTAGAATCGGCAATACTCTACCTTACTAATCTTTCATTATTTTTTCTGATAGTTGAATAAATTTCGGTGTACGAATGCGATCAGGACGTCATGTGTATTATTTCTTGTACTTTACATTTTGGCCTTATTTATCTCATATCTTGTTGGATTCAGAGAGTATCTGTTGTGATGGAAATGTGTTAATATCGATTACTCTTTTCCAAAATTTTTTATGGTTTTTACCTGTTTGTTTCAACGTAAGAGTTTTTCGATCCGTAATTCTCTTTCGAAAACATGGAGTTTACTGTACTAAATTTGCCTCGATCACTCAATGTACTCACCAACGTTATTTCGTTCCATAAACCCGACCAGAAGTCTGGATAAATAGGGTCATTAATATTTTTGTTACTTATAAAAGTCGTTGATGGCTTACTAAATAAATGGAAGAGAGTTGAATAAAACTGAGGATCCTTCTAATTCTCTCCAATCACTTGCAGCTGATAAAAACGGTTCATTTTGGTGTCCACAGTTCAAACTTGACCAGAAGGGTTCGATGAAGATTTTAAGCCTACTACCAAACGATTGGAAGATCGTAGTTTAACAATTTAAAAGCGATATCACTCGGTACTACTGGATTCTTGAGCTAATCTTAGTATTTGATAATAGCTGCATTGCAAAAGTAGATTCCTAGTCTGGACTGAATCTTCTATCTATCCAGGTGGGTAGTTTGAAGTGTTCTCACAAGGTGTTATTTGTGCGTTGAATTTTTGTCATGGGCATACATTCTCATTATTACACGTTGTACATTACTTACTGTTCGTTTTATACATACCTTATTTTTATTGATTCATCAGCAGTTTTGTTAACTTATTCTCAGTCTAACTGTTATGTGTGCGTGGGATTAGTTACTTTTAATAAGCAACTGAATGACTCAATCTATTGATTACTTGTTACACTAAATAGTTCTCGTGATTTAATGCAATATAAGCACACTCTACATCTGTTAGATGCTCAATGAAAGATGGAAAATGAAGTTCACAGGCTATTTTCTTACTCAAAGTCATTGGAGTCAAATAAATTTTTAATTAACCAGCAATTGATTTGATATTGGAGTATTCCAAAGCTTAGATTTTACTAGCTGTGAATACCATATGATCGTATAATTTGATGTTTGTTGTCAAGAAATTCATTCAATAAAGTTACGTGCAGATTGCCCGGTTCTAACCTCATTATTTTGTGAGGATATTAACTTTCAGTCCAGGAGTAAGCAGATTCATTCTCGGATGTGTGTTGTTCAAACAGGATATTTTCACAGTTTACCATTGTTTTTTTCCATACTTCTATAAGGTGAAGATTTAGATCGGGATTTACTGTTTGGCATTTATGAACGAATCAAGTCGAAAGAAATGTCTGTCCTATCGGATCATACCGATCAAGTTCGTAAAATACAACAACATTTAACTGGTCCACTGAAACCGCTAAATCTCTCAGTAGCTCAAAGAAGATTAGTTTGTTATTGTCGACTCTATGAGGTTAGTTTCTTTTTTGTTTGTTGTAAATAGTTATGTTTCTATATTAATGAGTCTTGATATCAGAACTCGCCTCCTCGTGTATATATAGGGTTGAGGTGACTGTTGGTGTGAATGTATTTCCGAATAAGCGGCTAGTTTATGCGTTATTTCTTCTGAAAAAGGTCTAAACAAAGGATTCATTACAGTCATAAAATTAAATATTGTACACTCATACCATCAAGTAAGCAAAAGCCAAGAGAAGCTGAGACAGACTCCTTAACTCGTCGTGACAATGAATCATGAGACGGTATCTCATTAGTTTACAAATATTCATTATTATTATTTATCCCTTGGGTTCCTAGTGGAATATAGGGCTTCAGTTGCACATCGCCATTGCACTCTCTTCTCTGTAGTCTTCTCAACCTGGCTCCACAACTGCTCACAAGCTTTCATTTCTTCCTCACACCATCTCCTCAATGTCACCCTCTACTCAGACACCTCCCCCCCCAACTCGTCGTTTCCCCTTTGCATTCCACTCGACGGTCTCGACTGGCGCGTCATGTCCCCAATCGGACTTCTCAGTGAATGCCAAATCCACCTCCACCTTCTTCTGCATATCTGTTGTGTGATGGGTTCACGGTTGGTTCGTTGCCAGTCAGCCAGAGATCCTCCTTGCTTCTTCTCCTCATTATTCTGGTCATCTGATCTCATCTTCACTGTCAGAGTCAGTGTCAGTGTGAGTATCGAGTGAGGTCGGGTGGCAGCTGTTGATGTGATGTGATGAATGCATGTAGTTTGTTGGAAATGCTTTTCGTGATGCGTCAGGTCTCTCAACCATCACACAGAAGCACTGACTAACTTGACTGACACTAGTGTTTTTAAAATCAGGATGTTGTTCAGGCTTTATGCTGAGTGGAGTGGAGTGGAGTAGATCTGCACACTGATTTCAGATTAATGAAAGCCTATCTTGCTGTCTTTCCGATCCTGGTTTTGAGATTCTCATCTGCACTTGTGCCAGCTGTAGTTGAGACGATGCTGCCTGCCTAGGCATGGGTAGGTGAGAGAGACAACTTGATTTAGGTTTCTCCCGTTCATCGTGATTGATGCATGTTGTTGTTGTTGTTGTTGCTGTTATTGTTGGTTGGGTATCTTCATCACCCCTGTCTTCTCCACGTTCACCTGAAAGAAGTCCCATCTTCGTTGCCTCACCTCTTCTACCAACCTGTCAGTTTTCGCCTGCAGATCATCGCTTTGTGCGACATAACACATTAGACATGAATCATCATCGGTGGCGAAATCCAAATCTACTTCTACAGTCCTTTCATCGGTCCCAACAGCATATATCCATCTTCTCACAGCTCCTCACAGTTTCCTGTATGATCCAGTCGAGTTGAGTGGACCACAGTCAGGAAGATGATTGGTGATAATAGGAGGCAACCTTGTCTTTCGCCTTCCTGTCTTCACTCCGAAGGCATCACTGAGCTACTTTGCATTGTGAATCACTTGGCATGTAGTATCCTCATATAGCATATAACTGCTGTTGAGCAAGTTGATGGAGAGAGATTTGTGACACGAAGAGCGTAGTGTTGAAGCAGCTGTTTGTCAAATCACTTCTCTGTCGATGCTATATAAGGAAGGTCTTTTCGATATTGATGCAGTTGAGGTAGAGATCCAGTTGACTGACATTCTATACTCTGTTCAATGATGATGCATAGCGTAGCGTAGCGTAGCGTTGTGTTGCGTTTCGTTTCAATTTGATCGGCACATGATTTGTTATTTCTGAATCCAGCCAGCCAGCCAGCCAGTCAGCGTGTTCTGGTCTTAATTTTGAATGCAGAGCATATTTTATTCTCTCCAGTATGATGTGGCATAATATTTTGCTTGTGGTGTACAGAAGTGGGGCATGATTCCACGCCAGTTCTTGCAAACACTTAGTTCTTCCTTGTTTGAGAGTTTGACAAGGTAGCTCTTTTTCTAATCAGTCTGCAGGTACTTACCTTTCCTTCCTTCCAAGCCTTCTGCAGTAGTGGTGTTTGCATATTCTTTGTTGTTTCTGTATCTGTTTGCAGTGCTTCTGGTGGGATTCCAACTGGTCCTGCTGCCTTCCTTGATTTCAGTAACATTATAGTGTTCAGGACTCAAATTCACCTTTTGTCGGAGGGTTTGTGTTCACTGGTAGTTCTGTGACTTGGCTGCTGGTAGTGATGGTGGTCGTCGATTCAGGAGTTGTTTGAAGTGGTCAGTCCATCGTTCCCTTTGTTTATCCTCTCTCTTCGCTAACTAGCTTTCCTTCACCATATCTCCTTCGTCTCATCTGTCTTCATCTCTTCACTCCCACATAGTAAGTAACATGGTTATTTGATATAATGTTGTCAGGTCTCTGTCTCTCCTACCAGTAGCCTGTTATGCTTCACTTGTCAGTGTGCAGTAGAAGTGTGTTTTGTGTTTCCATGGTCTATTCTTCACTTCTTTGTCCAGTGTAGTGTTTTATATGTTGTGTTCACTTCCTCTTCTCGTTGTTCATCCCTGCACTGCACTGCACTGCACTGGTTCGTCTCCTGCTTCACCATCTTCCTCTCCCTACTCGATCAGATTCCATGTGTCCATCCAGATCCATTTCATTCCTTGTCCTGCTTCTTCCTCCTTCCTTCGTTCCTTCCTAACACGGTTATGCAGGTTTCCTTCCACGTCACTCTCACTGCACACAGTTCCAGTGTGTCTCCACTCAGGTTTCCCTGAGGTGGTTGCTCAATGTCTCCAATTTCGTCCTCATGGTTGACTGACTGACTGACTGAAGTGAAGATGTCCTTTGTAGTTTCGTCCTTCACTCTCTGTTCTATTCTGTTCTCTTCTGTCTTCTTCTGTTCTAGGTGTTCAACTTCAACTGTCACCCGTTATCACCAACTTCTGTGAAGACTTGCTACTTGATTTTGAAGGTAGGTAGGTAGTTAGGTAGGTTCCTTGCACTAGATAGTGAGTGATGTGAACCTACCTACATCTGCTCCCTTCTTCATCTCACCTCATCTCATCTAAGCTCATCTGATGTGATGTGATCTTGTGTCCAGTAGGCTGGCTGTGTCTCCATCTCCACTTTCTTCACATTGACATGAAGTCGATCTGATTCCCAGTGAAGTGTGTCTGGTGTCTGGCTGGTGTCTGGTGAAATCATATGCATGTCGTTGCCTTGTGAATATCCTTGTGATAGTACACACTGCCTGACTCCAATCACCAAATGGTTGAATGCGCAGAAATCTGAAAGTAGTTCTGCACTCTCGTTCATCACCTCACCGAGTGATTCTCAACCCATGATCAGTTGTCTTCCTGTGATGTCCACTCCCCACAGTTTGGCATTCATGTCACCCCACCAATTACAATGAATTTTGATGTCGCCATTTGGGGTGGTTGGGGTGTTGTCGAATACTGATTCCAGTTGTCTGTAGAATTGCTCCTTCTCATCTTCATCTGCATTATTTGTAGGTGCATGGCATAGCTTTGTATGATTGTGACTCTCCTCCATTTTGAGTTGAATCTTTGTGTGATGATTGTGATGTGGTGGAGGATGAGATTGGTTGTGAGTGTATGTGAGAGAGCGTTGTATGGTGTCTGGGGGTGGGGTGGAGTGGAGTGGAAAACTGAGTGTGCTGGTGGTTGTCGTGTTGGTGACAATAATGGAGTATATTATTGGGTGGGTGTGTAGTTGACAGTTTGTGGAGTCGACTTCTATTCGATCTGGAGATTCGTCTACGATAGCCAGACTAGCACTTTTATGCCATATCCACTCATGTCTTTTGCAGTGTGGGTAGCTTTGCCAGCCGGGACCGGCTAGTAACTTGTGAACAAGTTAACTAGGTGAGGTTACAAATATTCATATTGATTATCATTTTGACTGTCTGCGTGAGATAGCCGTCGTTTGGCAGACTAGTATTAATATTGAATAATGATTGCAGGTGAAGTGAATGTTTGAGCGGCGGTCGGATTCATTTTGCCTTCAATCATCACGTATTATAAATATTATTCTGCCAAACGATAGTAGCTATCTCAGATAGTGAAAATGATAATCTGATTCAGTTAGATTTGGATTAGTCCAAGTCGTGACTAGGTAGCCAGTGTGAATACGATCAAGCAGTAGTAACGCGTCACGAATTCACATGATAGTCGGGCAAAATCCGTGGTGATTGAAGTGAAATAAAAATGTGATCAGCAGTCGGACCTCGTAGCTCAGTTGGCTGAGCATCGGGTCGGAAACCCGGTGACGGCTGGTTCAAATTTTCATTTCACTTTTAATCGTCACCCAGGATAAATATTCATATATAATGCAGAATTATAGGTAGGTCAGACAAACGACATTTATGTGACATTGGGAACATTGATCTCATAGTAAACAGAAAACAAACTTATGAATATAGTTGCAAAGTAATACCATAAGATGATGGTTTTTGTTAAGTTTTCTTTGATTGGCGCAGCTGTGATTTGGCGGTAAATAAGTACTTTTCTTTTTCCCCAGAGGAGTAGTAAATTTATTTTGTTTCTGTTTCGCTCTAGGTTCCGGATAAAAACAAACGAGAACGATCTGGTGCACATCAGCGTGAATTATTCCTATTCAACGATCTCTTACTTATTACTAAGGCAGTACAGAAACGAAGAAAAGACGCAACTATCGCATATCAAGTACGTATGACTGTCCAACTTTTAGGAGTTAAGCTGGTGCCATTTGAAACTGTTCATCATCCTAATGGACTAGAATTATTGTTATTAGTTGGACAAAGTCATCAAATGGATTCTCAAAAGGATGCCAACATCAATAATATTGTTGAAACACCTAATGGTCGGGCACGTATTCTAGTCACATTGAACACAAAGACTAGTTCAGATCGTGCACGACTAATGGAAGATTTACAGGAATGTATACTGGAGGTTACAGAGATGGAGCGTTTACGAATGGAAGATGTTTCAAAACAGAAGAGTACATATACACAAAATCATTGCGCAAGTCATAAAATGCGAACAGATGTGATAGAATTTACAAAATCCGGTCCAGTGATGCTAGACAAGTCAAGTTTGTCGTTTGATTCAAATACCAGTGTTACTACTAACATTAACAAATCAGTCAATCACAAATATGATCATGATGATGGTAGTAGTGGTAATGCTTTACAAATGTGTGCACCAATAACCTGTCTGACAAATACAACAGAGTTGAGGAATACAGAGCAAACAAAGCATATACAACATCATTGTCATAGATACAAATCTTCAGATGGTCAAAGGTTAAGCGGCGACAGTGGATTGATGGCTGATTTAGATACTCCAGCTTCATAGTTCTCTTCTTCACTCACTCCTATCGGTGACTAACAGTTCTTTCCTGCTGTTTTAATCTAGACCACTTTCTTTTGGCTACTGAACTCAATTATTTCAATGTAAAGCTCATATAGGAGTGTTTTGATTTTTTGTTGATCGTTTTCCTTCCGTACTTCTAACTGATTTTGTGCATACAAGACGTATACTGACCTTGAAAGGTGTCTGTCTACTTGTCAATGTGAATCGACAATTTATCTTCTTGATCTGTGATATTATTTTACACATATTGACCAAGTAATTCTTTTTAATCCAATTTAGGCTGATCACTGAAGCAGCTAATGTTCTTATATCGTCAGTAAAGGCTTTTGTTTTACTATTTCTTTTAAATCGAAATCAGTTATGAGCAACATTGTCTGTCAGTTTATGGCATAATAATGCTCACATAACACAGTATTCAAATCAGCTGGATAGAAGTGGAGCAAAGAGCACATTATTTACCCTCTTTTTTGTTAACCATCAAATGGTGAACTCTACGCGATTTGACTAGATATCAGCAATGGTGCGAAGATACGCATGATCAGAAACCTGTGATCACCAGAGGCTGTAGATAGTGAATGCTAAATAAACTCTTCGTAGCATATTTACGCTTCCCCGAACAGCCATCTCGTTGGGCTCTTTAAATATAGCACTCTTTTCGTAGTGTGATAAGTGGAGTTCGCAGTCCATACTAACAAAAGCTAGGATTTACAGACGTGCACAGAAGGGACAAGAATTGTAATTTGTGTACTCAAATAGTCCAGCAAATTCAAGTCTATCCCAAACAGTTCAATTATGCGCAGTGACCTGTATTAACATAAGCTTTAAAGAAGATGAACAATGAGAATGCTGTGGTGCATGCGTACAACTACTTCTTTTGAAATAAATTTGTCGTCGATACGAAATGACTTTTTCAAGTTCCCACTGTTTAGATATAGTTTAGTTGTCACAAAAGTGTAAGGTTGTCCATGGACTTCACCATTACATTCCTCATGCCTAAACTAAGAATCGATGGGGCATCCTCATATATCTGGACTTAAAACATACGTCCAGGAAAACCTCGTACCTTGTTAATACCTTTTTTTCAATATGAAGAATACGTCACTCATGAGCTAATCACAATCAACTTTTCTACATCAGCCTATTGAGGACAGTGGTTTTTATGACCATCAAAGTGTAAGGTTAATCTACGAAAGCATAGCAAGTGTCCAGACAGTTGCCAGAAAGAGTAGAAGTCCTAGATACCTGCGTTAGGGGTAGTCAGTCGCGGAGTGGTTCGGGCATCAAAGACAACAGTGAATCCCAGTAACAACGGCGATAGGCGTGCGGGGAGTTGGTGCTTACCAGAAATAGGTGGTTTGCGCAGTGTTTCAGAAGATTTCTTTTATCCAAAATATGGTCAACCAGTGCCAGTTAGTCAACCAAACAACGATAATCCTAGATGCTAGACTACCACATGTTAGCTGCTAAAACGACATGACCTGTTACACTCAATTGGCTGGTCACTCAGTTCGTCCGGTTTACAATCTATCGGGACAGAGACGCAGTTTTTTCTGATATAACCTAACCGGTCACAATACGAATCCTGAAGTGCAGTGTTATTTCGGCTGCAATGCCGACACTAACGCTGGGTAATGGGGTTTCAGGTTCTAGGTAAAAGTATATGAAGAATATCTTCTAGACTGACAAATGGGGAATTTATTCGAAACGCTTCACTGTGATATTGTGCGTATTAAACGAATGGTGGGGATTTCCTGTGTTCCACTTAGCCATGCCTGTTGTTCGACCTGCATCAGGATTCGAACGCTAGGGTTAGTATGCGTAGTTTAGGAGTATTTGATGTCGCACAGCGTATTTATGTGAAGTGGTGATTAATTGGCTTAAGTAGTTGGTTTTCCACCGATGAACAACTGGCTTGAACCTCACTCCAACTCTCGCGGTTTGGATATCTAGGTAGTAGCATAATTCCTCACAATAGAAGTGGCGCTCACTGCTTCGTAAATGAACGTGGTTAGTGACCGCGGAAGGGTACAGAGTTTATGGTGTAGTGGAGTAGACGGTAAGCTATGACTTCTTAGAAATGCCTATTACAAAGTATTGCTTTAAGTCAGGAGAGAAATACTACATAAACATCCAGCTTGAGCTCAAGTGGTTACTTGTTGAGAGGATAGTTCCACATTAAATAGGTTAACTTAACATAAAGACAAGACTGTCAATATAGGAACTGGTATTGCTACGTGACAGTTCAAGTTGTCACATCTCATCAGCACCACAAGCGAGAATGAACTGCAATGGAAGATAAGGAAAGCAGCAAAAATCCGCAGAAATTCGTCCAGAGTGCGATGAGAATACTGAAATTCAGTATGATGACTAAAATGAAAGTAGCGTGCGGATATATCCAAAAAATAATACTTGTAAGCTATATCAAACCAATTTTAATATGAAATTCCAGCCGTGAATAAGAACTTTCCTAGTAGAGGCTGCGAAAGCAGCTTAAGGGAAAAAGTGAACAAACTGGGTCATTTATGAGCCTGCTTTCTAGTGCATAAAACATTTAACCGTCATGCTGTATACATAATAATAATAATAAGACTAACTACGTTATGTCTACTACCTAGTGCCGATGCATTTATTGCTATCCATTACTATTTGTTATCATTACAAGGAAGCTTAGTAGATGTGGGTCCTCTTGTCCTACCCAGAGTTCGCTGGTATCATTCTTAGCGCAACACCTAGAAATGATGAACCTCCAGATATCTAACGGCTTTTATAAACATGAACTTGTGGCTTACTGCGGTTCTTCGCCGTTGGTTCTACAAGGGATTAAATGCGGTGTCGGTTTGATCAAGGTGAGAATCTCAGTTACATTTTAAAAAGAGCTCAAGTACCTGTGCTGTAAATGCACAATTGATATTATTTCAGGTCAAGCATCAATCGTATAATTTGAGCCCGTCCTATGGCTGAAGTCTGAAAATATATCAATTCTCAGGAACAGTCATCTGGAAATACCTTCCTGTTTCATTGAACATCCCTGACAATTGAGTTTATTCAGTGATGATTTTGTGAATAAGTTTGGCTGCCTGTTAAATACTTTTCATATCACTCAAATCAAAAAAGGTATCAAATTATCGCACAACTTTTGGGAATTCTCACACAACCTCCCAACTAGTTGTGTTCTAGCAAGAAAGTGCACTTTCTAACCGAAGATAATCTTATACATACGCCTAAAAGATCACTAAAAATCGATACTGAATTCCTGGACAACCAGATTGAATTGTACAAAACCAACAAACTAGGAGAGTAAGTTTAAATGAATAGCTACATATGGGTCTGGTGTGCGTGTCTCAGAAATGCAACAAACATCTACGGCTTGAGATATAACTACTGCGATCCACTGTTAAATTTAAAAAAGACCTTCAAAGATGAGAAGCATTAATATAAAGCAAATATCTTTTCAGTATATTTGAGTTGTTCTATTCATAATTTTGAAGAGTTTTATTTGTTCGATAAAATACCTGACCGCTTGTGACGGGGAAATGAAATGCATGATTACTTACCGTTTTCTTATAGCGGAAGGGTTATTGACCCAGTAGAAATATTTTGTGTTTATCAAATATCGATCTAGTTAGCAGTAAGACTTCGTCCTGAGAGCCCACCACTAGTAATTGCTTGTACTATGACAGTAACTGCCTTAAATCTCACTCCTATTCAAGTGAGCTTAAAAAAACAAGCATTTCAAACAGGGTAGCCTAACTCGGTCATTACGATAGCTAAACATGATTTTTGCAACAAAGAAGCAGTTGTTTGTCAGGATATTTGGCTTGTTTCACCAGCATAAATAGTTTGGTCTTTGAAAAATAACCATCTGCTAGATTTCATTAGCGTTAAGCGACTGTATATTTCGACACCCGAGTTCTAATGTTTGGTTGCTATTTTTTATGATGTAGGCTTACATATGCATAAACCAGGTTGAGACCTAAGGATAAATGATATTCACTACCTTGTTAGATGTATTTGCCAATGAGTGAAAAACAAGATAAAACTGCAGATGAGAATTCAAAATCACGCGCATTTAGGGAAATACTCTGAACCTTGGTGTAAATTAAGACGGGTCACCTTTGCACACTGGTATGAAACCAGTCAGCCACCATAAGAAGCAACCTAGTTCATAAACACCGTCTGGCTTAATGGTTATACTTTTCAAGTAGTAAGTTGTGAGCTACATCTGAGGACACCTCAGTTACTGTGGGGATTGTGTGTTAAGCTATATTAAGAACGGTTAATCAACAAATTATTTGATTTCAGCTATACCATTTTCGAATGTAGATACTATCTTGGCAATGCGATGTGTACAGACAAGATTGCAGTCCTGTACAAAGAGTGGTGTTAACGTCACGTAAACTAGGGACCACATCTGATTATCTAAGGCCGAAATTTATCGGACGGGTGGAAATTTACGTATATAATCAGTGTTTATCCTCTGTTGTTTCGTTTAAATTTTAGTAATCGAATGTACTAGGGATGAGACATGTCGATGAGTGTTAGGGTCATGCTAACTACCATGCTGAGATGACAGCGAGACATGTAGGGATGAATGAACAGAATCATGATTGATGGTTACTGCAACACAATGTCATTGAATCTCTCAGTCCTACGTTGGCAGGAAACGTATGTGGCTCTGGAAGGCCTTCACCACATTTTCAACATGCAAGACATTAAGTAACGCTAACTTCAGTTCTAGTTAAAATTTCAGCCGTCTTAACATGTATTCATTCATTAGCACATAGACTTAAGAGTCAACCATAATATAAATAACTATCACTACGCGAACAAAAGAAGCTGAAATTAGTAACTCAAGTCATACCGCTGACCGATAGCTGCTACCTTGATGTGGTGGTCGGGCGTGCATACCACAATGACCCAGCGAGCTATGCTGGTGAACGCTTGTTACCTCGGAGTTCTACCATACCAGAAAGACCTGTTGGGTAGTGGTAAGACGAAAAGCAGTTACCGTTGTAGTGTTAGCTGTTACATTATGATGGGGGGGGGGTCCGAGGTCAAAGTCATACTGCTAGCTGGATGGGAGTGCGACAGCAGTAAGATGTTCCCCTTGAATGACCGGCAGTGTCCTGCTGATGCTGTCTTTTTTACGGAAAGGTCGGCCTTAAAACTTTATACTCTCCACGACCCCGTGATATGCCGATATCGGTGACCTAGGTTTATGGTCGGATTCAAAAGTGACAAACTAAACTTCAAACTCACAAAAAAGTCATGTGTGACTGGCCTCAAGCAGATATCCCCTAGGTTCTGAGATCGGGAAATAACCCTTTTTCTAAGGTACCTCAAAAGGCAGTAGCCTCCCACGATGTGGGCAGTCGAGAAGTTTTAACCGCCCACACGCTTCCAGTAGTGCACAAGATCCAACGAAACATAACTTATCTCTCTTTCCGCTGACCTGTCAAAATCACACCATCCTACCGCAACAGTACAGAAAATACGCAGAAATAAGTTATTCAAATTTCACGCAAGATGTTTCCTACTGTTTACTAAATGGCAGCATGAAAGGAACATAAAAACATTTCCTAATTAAGACATTGGATTTGAAAAAACTAACGGACGCTTTCATCCACACCGTACATTTCAGGTTTAACGGTCTAGTATTCAACTTGAATCCCGATATTTGAGTCAACAAAAAAATAAAAATATGCAAGTCCTATTACATTAAACAATTCCAAGTATAAATGGTTGTGCGTGCTGGAGACGGGGTATGACAGAACTTTTTGACAAGCTGAGGTGAGGCATATTGATGTAAGCCAGTTTATGTGAAAAGAATGATACCGTATTGGATGTGGAGTCCCTACGACCTATGAAAAGTGGTAGATATGAATAGTTGCTGTGTGATGCAAAATTTAGTTTCAGATGTATCAGACTACTCGTTGATGTCCAGTGGTTGCAAGAAAATAAAAAATGATTTAGTAAAAGTCACAGTAAGAAACTTGATGTTAAAGGAACAAAATAATATTTTACGAAAATTTTGAACAGTAAACCGCATAAAGTTTCTAAACACGAAGTAAAAAACTGCTTCTTCATAAAAACCAGAAGCTTGGATTTGATCGTGTTAAAAAAAGTCATTAAAGAAATATTGTTTTGCAGATTAGTAGACTGGGAGCATTGTTTTATTATGCTGGGTTAGGATTAATGGATGTACACAAGCGTAAGTTGGCTTAATAATCGAGAAGAAAAAAGACGTCAAAATCAGCGATAAAATAAGAGATTACTTCCTCTTAAGGCGTGCTAGTCGGGCTTCTAGGTCATTTTCATCAATAGTGTCGTTAGACCCAGAAGCAGGAGGATTTTCTATGGTCGACACACCATCTGTAGCAACTGCCCGAGGTCGAAGTGAATTAGCCACTGCGCCACTCCCAACTGTATCCTTGGCTGTTGGAAGGTCACTAAGCTGTGCGTTAAGGTCAATTCCAAGCTCTTCGAGAACCTAAAACAACCAAAAACAAAGAAATCTAAAATATTTGTTCATTACAAGTGATTATCAGTAAGGGATATACATTTCGTGCAAAAACGCCAAACGAAAATTTCTTAATAACAAGAATATGCTTCTGTTTTTATTTTTAATGTATCAGACATGCATTGGCATGCCATATTTGTTACTCGAGAGAACATGATTGACTAGTTGTTTCTCACTAAACCAAACCCTCTACAAAACAGTATTGCCTAAATAGCATATCCTCCAAAAAAATTGTCACAGACTATTTATTGGTTTGGAATATCAGCTTATTGACTTTGATCCTTTAGATGCTATGGATCAATGGTTAAAACCAGGATTGGCCAGAGATTAAATATATGGCAGAGATGTAAATAATGAGTATTTCTACTTTCTCCTCACTAATAATTATCTGCCTGCATTTTAATATCTTTCTGATTTGAACCTTTTTGAGTCGTTGCAGTGGCAAATTAGACCAAAGAACTTTAGTGCGGTTTGAAAAACTGGTGTGGATATTCCTTTCATTTCTTATAATTTAAGATTAGGATGGAACTTTTCGAACAAAGAAATAAATACAAACCAAACAACAAACATAACACTGGATTACAAGAGTAGCACTTCAAAGATTCCAGCTCAAAGATTTGAAAATAGTGATCAATTATTGCAATTTCGTCCAAACTACTGATTCATAGTAATAAATAGCATTGAGCGAAAGCTCAGAGACTGAAATTTTGTGACTACCACAGTAAATCTAACCAACGATACGGATAGCATTTTATTAACAATAACTAATATTTAAGAGTTTCAGTAGCGAAATACAGATGTTTGAGTACGAGAAAATAAAAAACGCACTTCTGGTATACCAAGACATTGCTTCGCACCCATAACTATTAATTTAGTCGTCTAACAACCAAACGAATGCAGTAATTTGGAAGGCATACTGGTATATTATTTACAGTACCAAAAGGCGCTATATACACGACTTTTTCAGCTTTGATAATGAAATGTATCATAATAATGCATCTTATTATTATTAGAACAAAAACATGGTGGTACCAAGAAATGTGTCATAACATAATATAACAACATTATGAAGATATAAGGAGAAGGGAAGCGCATGAAAATAAAACAATAAGAATAGAATGATCAGAAAGGCAGTCCAATAAGATACATTCGAAACAAAACACTCATTACTTTTCAGTAGCAGAACATAAGAAAAAGTCAGTGTGACCAAACACCGGTTTCAATTCTGGGCCATATTTGATTACGTCCCAAGCCACTGAGTTGCGTCATCTGTCGAACCACATCCAGAAAGTCGTGATGCACCAACAGATGCTAACCCGATACAACTATCCTTCGTCCCACGGCGCCACGTCATACACTGCTTCTTCCATCCACTCCAAGGGCTACCAAACAATAAACGGTATAGAAGCCGTTGGGACGACATGTGTAACACATGTTCAAGCCATCAAACCCGGTGTTTCTAGATAACTTCATCCATCATGCAAAAACACATGCTGTCGTGCTCCAAGATTACTTGCATCGTGTTGCCACCGGGTACCAGCAGTCATACGCAAACAACGACTATCTAACACAGAGTCGTCCTACACATCCCCAGCTCGAAGACGCCAGGTTTCACAGGCGCAGGACAGAACTACTTACACCGAAGCGTTGTAGTAAACCTGATTCTCACAGTCAGAATAACATCGCAACAGAGCCATTGTTGGTCCAGATTGCAGTATGCCACTCTGCTTTTCGACACACGGTTAGAAATTTCATCACACACAACTACCCAAATACACGAACTTTTCGACTACTTCCAACAGCTCACGACCGTGGACCATGTGTGAGCGCAGGCACAACCTCCTACCAATCTAGCAAAAGTGATTCGCACTTCCATGGTCCAAACCACACATCATACTTACGAACAACGTGAAATGGACTTGAAAATAGGTGGTAAGTAAACACAGAGTCACCAAAGCATTGCTTGGCTAATAGAGTGATTTAGTGTTAAATGATGAAGTCGGGAAAAAAGATTTAGACGACAGAGAAGTGAATGCGGTTGTAGAATTGCACCAGCTAAGGCAGTTTCTTCACATATTAGGCATTCTCAGTCAGACTAATTTGAAATACTATGTTCATCGAAGTAGGAAGGATATTTCTTAATGATCATACAAAAATTTCCCCTAACTCCATCCAACCCAAAACTTTTGATTTGGTTGTTATAGAGAACATACGCCTTTGCTTCTAGTTAACGTACGGTGTGGCGGAAGAACACAGTGACAACCACTCTATTAGATTCATAACATGAAGCTCCTGTGGTATACTAATAGTCAGTCTTCACTTTTTAAATCCAATAGAAATATAGTAGGGCAAAATATATTCGGACTACAGTCGATTGGTTTGACAACTCAAATCTTATCTAGAAAGCTATGGGTTTGAACCATGATCCGTCTACTAAGGCTTCGGCAGTAACATTGGCCATCATAATACAAGCAGTCAATTCGTACAAGTAGCTTACATCGGATGTTAGTCAAAATAGGACTAAGTCAGAGGAAACTTAAAGGTGGTCAGTTCACGAAGGTTCTAATTATTGACACGAGCCATGCGAAGCACATATCATTCTCAAGGACACTAATCGCCAACTGACCAAGTGCGACTTGAGTAACCTCTATGTTATCGTACAGTTAGACGATATCGTCCGCACATTCGAGGTCGAACAGCCGTTCTCCGGGTAGTAGATCTACACCACCACTACGCACTTCCATCACAGCTTTCTCAAGAATGTCACCGACAGCAAAGTTAAAGAAGAATGGAGAGATCGGGCAACCCTGCCTAAACCAATTACTGGTTCGGAACAATAGAGACAAGTGGTTGTATGCCTTCACTCTACCTGAAATGTCATTGTATAGGGCCTTTAGGATGTTAATAAATTTCCTAGGCACACCCCTTTCCAACATACAGTTCTAGAGTACAGCTGTCCGACGAATCGAAGCCATCCCTAATGTTAAGAAACATGGCGATTGTTGGTCTGCAATATGCGTGGCTATGTTCAAGCATCTGGCAGACGGCAAATACATGACCAATGCATTCACTAAGCATCTGTTTATTCTCTACCCTCACAAATGTGTCTATTTCAATGTCATTCTTTTACTACCCACTTTTTGTTTGCAGGTGGCCATGTGTGGTAACTGGAACTGATACATTTCTGTAACAGGTTGTAGGTTGATGTCCCTGCAGTATAGGTGGTTGGTACATATGAATACAATTTAGAAATAGGAGTAAACTGCATTCCCGTTTTTTCTCCATGAAACGAAACTCAGACTTTCGCATTTCTTAGTGAGTGTGAATGCCGCAAAAACCAATTGTTATAACAAAGAGCAGCCTACAGATAGTCACGCTGAAGGAGAATCGAGTATGAAGGCAAAACCCAGGCAACAATTACTTCCAGCGCACTTTTATAGTGTTGGGCAAAAACCAGGAAACTTTACTCCGGACTGATATGAGGAGGCGCACGATATTCCTTGAAATTTCCAAACCTTTGCCCCGAAAGTGTCAAAAGTCCCAAAGTACACCCAAAGAACCAACTAGAAACTCATGTTAGTAATGAACTGAAAATTCTAGAGGGTCTGTTATATCAAAGCTTGGTTAATGACAGTCTATACGTTAAAAGAATGCTACTTTAAGAGATGTACTGAAAAAGCTGAGACTCTGACTGCCGAAACCGCAATAATTAAAACACGACCTGGTGGTGTCATGAAGACCACAGAATTCAAAATGTCAAACTGACCTTGTTTACGATATTTTCGGAGTCTTCAGTTTCGTCTTCTTCTCCAATAGCATCATCTATTACGTCTGCCATCATTTCTTCTTTCATTTCCATCATTTCAGTTTGCTTCTCAAACTCCATCATAATCCTTTGGATTTGAGGTAACTGCATTGATGCATTCATACGTCTCATTGTCAGTGCAACTTGTTTCATAGCGTTAGCCATTGTGGCAGTTGATTTAATAGTTTGGACTTTCATAGATAATGCCTAATGTACAGAATTACCAGAAATGATGACAAACTGTCAAATTTGAGTGCATCAAAGAGAACTTTTTGATGTAGTTCTCCGTTCGGACTAACTGCTTCGCCATTACTCTTACGGCATCGATCTGACCACGCTTCGCTAGCATACGGATTTCATTTGTAATTCGGACACGCTCCCTTTCTAGCTGAGTTTTTTCTCTGTCTATTTCTCTAATGGTTCTTGTAATCGCTCGCCTATTTTCCTTGAGTTGTTCTTCAGGGGATTTCCTAGATCCAAAAAGGAAACTCATAGCAGAAGGTGTTTCGGGAAGTGATCAGAAAGTAGCGTTTGAATTTACAAATGCCCCCTACACTTAGAAGTAAGAGAGCTTTAGAATGCTGAAGTCAATTGATTTTATTTTCAGATTTTCAAAAATATGACACGTTTTTTTAACATATGAAGTCAAGTCTTTCAGAACATTAAGATATTTGTTTATTCGGTTGCTTAAGGTTGTTCCAGGTTTGAACGATTTGGTCATGTTGGGTGACAAATCGCAGGTTGATAAGCATGTATACCATCTTCTTGCTAAATGTTGTAATCTAAATGAAGTAAAGAGTCTTTTTCTAAATACTGGCTTCTAGAGAAAGTCGAAGGCTCTTGAGATTGCGAAGCTTTACCATGGAGTGAATGAGTTTGCTACGGCTAAAAGGTTAGTTATATTATCGTTATCAACTTCTTTAGTTATGTTGAAGGCTATCTCCAATCTAGACCAGACTCTGTGCCTGCCTATTTGCTGTTGGCGAAAATAAGTGAGGATCTGGATGACTTGTCGGCTGCATTATCAGCCTACAAGTCAGTGTGTTCATTGTCTTCATGCGACAAAGGAACAGTACTTCATGGTTTGTGTTTCGTTCTTGCTAACCTATCGTTGTAGCTTGTTCTTTAGCTTTAGAATCAAAAGAATTATCAGAAGTTCAGGTAGTCTTTTGTTTTCGTTTTACCGTTTAGTTCTGGGCTGATATGGCCGAAAGTATGTTTCCATCAGAAAAAATAGCCTTTATGTTGAAGGTATTTAATAATAAGTAACCATAGTGTTTTCAGGAAAGGGTTTTGATCAGTAAGAATGATGATTCTGAATTGTTGAAACTCCTTAAGTCACAGCTGGTATGCCGAATATTTACATACTTATCTTTTCAGAAAAAAGATGAAAGTGATTCAGAAGTTTGTGTTCGGTTCTTGAACCTCCTTCACAAGTTACGACCAGCTACCAATGTGTTTACACACTTGGTGCAATGTATCAATGCTGGACATCATTTGGGTATTGCCAGTTGGTTTTATGAATGTCTGAGTCTCGTAGAGGTGAGAATTATGTATCGATTAACTCCGTTTCTTAGCGTATGGATCAAAGTAGCGTAAATATCTCTTTGGACACGAAATCTGTATGCCTAATCCGTGCAGTTTGTTTAATGGAGCTAGTTCGTGTAACAGCACAAACTTCTTGTTTGTCTGACATGCATAATTTGCTAATGAAGCTGGAATTAGTTGCTAATGAACTCAGTAAATCCAAATCTAGGATTCTGAATGCTCTTCAGAGTTACGCTGTTATATGGCTTGATTTTTACGGTGGTGTTTATGCTGAACGTCGTCTGATGGATTCACCTACTGAGGTTAGCATTAAAAATTTTTGTTGGTAGTCAAAGTCAACTTTTTAATTCATAGTTTTTTGCATACTGTCCAACACTAGGTACATTTGTTTAGTCTGTGAATGTTTCGTGAAAGGTTCACATGTTTGCATGCGTATGCTCAATGGTAAAATTTCATTCTTCTCTTGGTTTATGAACTTTTGTCTACCTTTGTCGCTGCCTGCTTCTGTAGGGCGCGGCATCTGTAAGTGATGCTCTTCCCCGCTGGGTTCCGTCTGTCAGTGGTACTTTCGTAATGGTACCCTGGTTTATACATCATCATCATCAACAAAGGACCAGACATTACTGTGTAATGGTCCGATTTGCCACAGCTCACATCAGTACATCAAGTAATAAAGCAGGGAAGTGGAAGATGAAGAAAAGAAAATTCAGTCGAAAGAAATATAAAGTACGAAAGGAGAGAGAGGAAGAATGAGAAAGTGATGAGATTCGGTACAGTGTCGTTAAGATGAGGATAATGTGTGTGGGGATACATCTGCGCCACTGACATCGGTTCTGAGCCATGTGATCGCCTAGAGTCTCCAACCACTGGTTCCTCTTGTTCTGCGGACCCCAACCGACTAGTCTGCATCACCCCACATGACTCAAACCAACAGTCAAAGACTTCATACATTGATGCCATGTTTTAGTCTGGCCGCTTCGAGCCTTTTTCCAGCCTGGACCTACTTCGGCCAACATCGTGTGACGAGGTAATCGGTGACTAGGCATACGTAATACTTGTCCCAACCATCTCAGTTGGTGAAGGTTCACAACCTCGTCAACTGATTTACCTCTTCTCCCTAAAACTCTACACCTGACGTCTGCGTTACTTCCACGGTGACACCACGGAATACGGCCTATACTACGAAGGCAACGGTGGTCAATTACCTGAAGCCAGCCTTCTCGTGTCTTCCACCTTCAATGATCATGTTTCCCAGCCCAGCCATACAGTAGGACAGAGCACACTTGCTGTGTAGTACAAGCGACCCTTAATAGACAATCGGGTATCACAGCGGGGCCACAGGTGGCGTAAGTTGGCAAAAGCCAACTGAGCCTTTTGTATTCGTGCAGAAATTTCACCGGCCACTGAACCACTAGGGCAGGGCTGATCCTACTTCCCAGGTAAGTGAAGTGGTCGACACACTCAATCACTACACTCTCTAATGTTAACCGCGGTGGGCACCGTTGAAGACCAATCCTGGAGCAACAATTTGCATTTGCGTGGTGAGGAACGCATCCCAAACATTTTCAAATTGCCACTCAGTGTTCAGAAGACTTAGTGACTAGTAGACCATTGCAGATATAGCTGTTAAAATTAATCGGATTGTATACACTTCTCTCCTTACCATAAGTAGATGTTAAGTGCACTTTCATTATATATGATAAAGTCTTGGAGCATTGAAAAACTTGGGTTACGTGGTTTCCACTGCCTTCCAGTGGCTTGCATCCCTATCTCACTGGGACGATAAAGCCTGTACAGTAGACTGGTCACTTGCCTGTCATTGTGTCGGTTTGTTGGGGGTGAACTACAAGTGAAATATAATATTGTCCTCTCTATTTTTATCTGATACCCGGAACTCCATTTAGTCTACAAGTGTAAATATCTTTCAAATCTTATGTGTATCCTTGTCTCCGTTTACTTCTCAAAAAATAGATCGGTTGTTGTCATTGTCGGTTTACAAAAAGGAAGCACCCTCAAGAGAACAATGGTTTGGTTCCCAGGTATACTATGATAAGTGTTATTCCGTTTTCTCGATGCGTTTGTGGATTCATGATTATGACGTAATTAGTTTGGTTGATCTGTCGTGACTAATTTTCTGCAAGCTTACAGCTATTTCATATCGAATTTTTTCACTTTAGTCTGCAGATAACTTTCAGCATCTTCTGGTGTATCACTTTTATCAACGTGTTGTTAGTAACCAACGTCCTGAGATTTTCCATGGATCTTCAAGTCTCTCTGCTTTGGTTTGGTCGCATCTTCATCGAGAAAGTTTCTCACTTCGTACTCAGGCGACCCATCTAGTACACTTGTTTGCATCTCTGCATGACGACCTGAGACCTAACGAGCAAGGTGTAAACTTTCGTTCATTGCCGTGGAAACAATTGATTAGTTGGGTTAATGGCGATCCAGTGATTGACAGTTTTAAGTCCCATGCATCCAATTTCAACATAAAGGGAGATTATGTACCTGATCTCTTTGATGAAAAAGAATCTATTCTAGGTAAGCCTCCTAACTAAAATTATGAAAAAGCTACTGAATTCAAGAAGTGATTTTCATTTTACATGGTTAGGTATTATCTTATCTTGCATTTCTAGCCCTTGCTTCTTAAACAATGCATTGTTCAGTTTATTTAGGATTACATTTTTGGGATCCTTTGTCACGGTTTGAATAAGTTTAGAGACAAGCATAGCTATGACTTTTTAGTGAGTGTACTTTACGCAAGCTCGCAAACTTAATATTAAAATGGTGGTATTTTGATGAGTTGAATATCCTACGTCCACTAGTATTAACACCTGTAAAATGAGATGACCGTTTGTGGAGACTACTATATTGTGTTTAGTCAAAAAATTTAAAGTGCATGGTTAATCAAATAGCATTGCTAGTCGGCGTTTGTTTTTTGGCTGATTTTTTAGTGATAATTTAATTTGTTCGATAGTATGAATTTTCAGTCAACCTTTATTGCAAAACCACGTTCTGCAGCCTTGTGCATAAGGTTAGGTGAAGAATGGGGAAGAAAGTGTGATTGGTTGATTGTTTCTAACAAGCCCGTAACTACTTTGCTGCGAAAAAAAGTGTTTATCAAACGAAGTGATATTTGTATTGGAATTGAGCTGTAAATTACTATAATGTGATGAGTTGAAATTTGAATAGTAGTACGTACTTTGATTGGCTGTGAAAAGAAAATCAGGATTTCTTGCTATGTGAAGTAATTTTTCTGAAAAAGATGTTTGCCTGCCGATCAACACTTATATAAGTAAAAATTGTGTAGAATGAATTCAGGTATGCACTTTGTAGTGACGATTTCTTGTGAAATAGTAGGAAATGGGTGTGTAGGGGTTGTAAACGTATGTGCGTGTATGTGACTATCCACGTCTTTGTAGTTATCAACTATAAGTAGCAATTATAACGCAAATGGAGGACGGAAGCTGTAAAGTCAAGTATGGCAAGTATGAATTACGTCAAGATGTTTATCCATTCTAACGGCTACTAAGACAGCAAGGGAATAAATGATGCATACGCATTATTTGTTTAGATTTACAGACTGATATTTTTAAGAAAACTGTATTCTAGACATACTGTTCATTTATTTTGCCTACATTATTTCTTGAAGAGAAATTACTCATATACTCAAACTTCACTGTTTAGTGTCAATCCTTGTTTTGAAAAATTCAACTGTGTGCATTCCGGTTTATTTATCATAGCACATAAGTTGGCAGTTTCACTTAGCAGGGGTGGGGTTAAGCTGTTTTATCCCCTAATTTCTATAAGCTATAGAGGCACAGCCAAATTTTGATAGCACATTGTTATATTTAACCCCTGGATAGTTTCACTAGTATTCAATGAACGTTGTATTAAGAGTGATATTTTCTAGTCAGCTGTAATGAGTAGACCTTAAACAAGTAATGTGCTGAATGGATTTAACATCAAATAATGCCTTTTTGCATTACGATGTCAGGAAAATCCGTTTACGGAATACAGTATCTTATCAAACTCATATTCGTTCACTCTGCAGATGCAAATCTCACATAGTACTTGTACGTTTTCCTCTCATACTTCAAAGAGATTCCCGGAGAGACTCAGCAAGACTTAAAGGCAGATTCATTTTAAACTGGAACACCTTCAATAGTATAATCGTTCATGACTAAAGATAGGAAACTTTTCATGAATGTATGCAGTTTTTTATAATTTTCAAATTTTGGTGCTGCCAACCAAATAGTCTGTTCCTTCATCAATTTTGATTGGGAGTCGGTGTGAAATGTAACACCTGATTTTTTTTCCTGCATCCAATAAATTGCTGTAAGTCAAATGTAAAAGCAAATTTCTACCAACTTCTTTCTCCATTATATTCACTTAAATATCAGCGGTAAATGCATAAGCTTTTGGATAGCATCAGCTATTTAGTTTGGCATATGCCCACATTCTGTTTGCGGGATAACTCTCCGTGCTTTTTAAAATGCTAACGTTCATTTTGATTGTACATGAATCCTAGTATGACTTTTCTGTTTTTATTTATATTCAAATAAAACACAAATATTTTTCTCTTTGGAAAATTGGCTTATTTTCGTGAATAGTAATCCACTCCCTAGGTCTCCATATTAGGACTAGTTTCTTAAATTTTGTGAGTACACTTCATGATAATGACAGCATGGTTTGGGTGGAGCTCCATGCAGTCCCATCAGCTTCATCTGCTGCTTAAAGTTAGATTTTCGGAACTGCTATACATTTTCCATTTTTGTTGCGTAGTTATTCATTGGCACATTGGCATAGTTTTTTACCTTCAAATGGTTTAGTAATGTTCCCCTCCCACTTTCTACTTCTCTTGTTTTCAGACTATTTGCCCTCTGCTGATTGTCTAAATCTTATAATGTGGGTTTGTGCCCAACAGCTGTCGCTTCAGAATTCGAGTTGTGAAGACTTTACTCTCAGTATCCCCAGATTAGATTTTCTCTATAAGTGTAAGTTTTTTTTATACACCTGTGCATTTTCATTTTTAAAGTAATTAGTAACATTTCTCAGTCGTCGCTCCAACACTGAAGGCGGTTATGTAACAGAATTTCTTGGTGAATTTTTTAATTTCATCTTACTCAGTAGGCTCTTTTTATTTGTTATTTCTTATTGTGACAATATTGCATCATTATGACACTCTATATTGGATTTCGGTATCAGACTTTGCAGATGCATAAGGCCCACCATGACGAAGTAATAACATCAGCAATACACCCAATTAACCCCTCTTATTCAACTGTAGGTGTGGGTGAACAAAGAAACTTATATACCCAAAAGAAAGAAGATGAAATGGTGTTCAATGTCTACACCAGTTATGCACAATTTCACCGTTGTCAAGAATGTGGTCAACATAACTTTTGTCCATCGCTTAATATTCGTTCGATTTCTAAATAATATATCAGTACTTTGATATTATGAAGGTATCGTAATGCATTTTAAAGTCAATGAAATGTTACGAAACCATTCATCCTAGTTCATTTGCGACAGCATAAACAGGTAGAAAGTCAACTGAATAAGAAAACTTTTATATTGATTGGGAAAATGTATAAGAGAATTAGAGGAGTATGGGTAAATCAATGTGGAGTTACGAGTTATTAGACTAAGCACTTAACTATTGCTTTTGGAATAAGTTGACGTTTCCAGATTTAGAGGAAGACAACTGAAGTCACCACACTGGTTTATCTTGGACGATAGCACCTAGAGTCTTCTAAATTCATTTGTTCAGTCCGCCTCAGTAGATGCAAGTTCACAACCCCACCAACTGACATGCTGTTGAAAAGACCCATTTCATTACAAAATGTTACTTGTTGATGCACATTCATTCTTACTCCTAACTAATGTGAGCATATCGATATAAAACTGGAGTTCACGTAAACTGTGTTTCAGTATGAATAGCCAACATTTGAGTTGTAGATATGACTCATCAACTTGGACACATTAACTTTCAGTTAGTGGTTCCTATATTTAAACCTTACCCGTGATTCGTCCCGACAACTGAGCAGTAAGCACTATGTGTAGCTTGTAACCTAGTACATCAACCGGTATCGGGTTGTTGAGCTGCATTAGTCAAACTAATTAATCACAAGACTTAACCTAATGGTTTCCATTATTATGAGTAACTTCTTTCTCATTCTTTTTTTAGTGGTCACGAAGCTTTTCTCGAAGCTAGAGTTTTGTTGTACATCTCCTGTTTTCGGCTCACCCGCAGAGTTCCAGTCACTTTCAAACGTAAGCGTTGACCAACTTTGTCAAATTGATATAATTGGATTCATGATGAGCTGCTTTCTTCACATCTCTATTCGAAGTCTTTCTAAAGCCAATTCAAAGTATTCCCAACCTATCTGTTCGCATTTATTGGTCAAACCAGCAACAGCAGGTACCGGACTAGACTTTCTTTGCTTACCTCTGTGTCTTATTCCCACTGCACAACTTTCCACTTCCACGCAGCGGGCCTGGTGGTCTGCACTTGTCAAGCAAGTATTTGAGTCTGGTTCACGGTGAGTCTGTTTTGTAAATATAATTTTTCAAATACAGTCAAGATTCTTCTTCTTATGAATCCTCAGGTGATATTTATGATATTCATACTTTTGTAGGTTTTTTATACTTTAGTAATCAACTAGTGTGTTATTCAATTGGTTGGCAGTTCAATAGTTTAGATACTTCACTTTTAACTGCTGATTACAAGTGTGGACGACAATTCTACTGCCTAGGTTCGAGCAACCAGATATTTAAAATAACCCTACAGTAGGTATGGCTTATAACTTATTGCACAGATTTTCATTTAATTAATCTCCCACTTGTATCATTTCGTTATTCTTGATTGAAGTTAAAGTAAGACTGCTTGTTTGATACGTCTGGAAGTTATGAACTATCTTCGGTTTCAGAGGCAACGTAGAAAAAAAATGATAAGTTGTTAAATTAGATAGTGGGATTCTGTCTTTTCATATATGGGAAGACAGTGAACGAAATTAACTGGATATTTCTTGGTATAGTGTTTGTTTTTATCGAAATTTCAATATGTTGACAATTTTTCACGCTTCCCACCCGGTGGATTTTAAATTGGTAGAGAGCTGTGCAACTCCGACCACCACGTTAAGACAGCAACTATCAGTCGAAGAGAGTGGGAAAACAAAAACATTAAATGAATCCATGAGCTCATTGACTGGTTATTCTGAGTGTGCGCTTGGTCGTTAGTGTCTTCAAAACGCCTGAAATAGTTGATTTCAGGTTATATAGGATATATTGCGAAGTGGATCATAGCAGAACAAAGGCTTTCATACTTTACATGACTTAGCACAATCTCATGTCTTTTTCTGTTCATTGTATAGCATTTTTATCTTCTTGTTAACTTCCACATTCATGTTCTGATGTGAGCTGTCGCAGCTTGGTCAACTCAGTCATACTAAGTTCCACTTATGCTTGTCTTAAATCAATGCGAATGGATGCAGACTATAGGGTAACCGCCCATTTCCGATTGCTGTCATCCGGTTAGGTTTTTTGTATCAGTGAGTTCACCTATCAAAACGTCTTGTAGCAGTCTTCAAGATGCTGTCTGCTCAATACTTCATGACCATGTCAGAGCCTATGCTGAGTTAGTTACCTAACGATGTCGCTTTACCTGTTAGTGGCTTCTGTTCAAGGGGATAAAGCTGTAACCTTAATTTTATTGGTGGAAATTTATCGATTGGCTGCTTATCTCCATACTATCTGTGAGTGACTTGTTATTTGAAGGTAAGATAACTAATTCACCTTGGTCACATTTTCGCATATTAAGGGACTGCCTTAATTAGTTAATGCTTCCCACCGAGTAATTCTTTTTGGCTGTCGGGCTTAAATACCGTTGAAAATACACAACTGATAGGCTTGTAGTTCGATATTTTCGTCTTATTCAGTTTAGCCAATCACGGCGAGGCAATTGTATCAAAGTCGTGACCTAAAGCCAAAAATTTGACTACCGGTCCGGCATAAAGTTAGTCTAGATGTAAATCCATTAAGATTATGCTCACACGACATAAATTACAGTTGCAACAAATACCACGGGTTTCCTTCCATTTTATCTTATGCAGCTGTAACTCATTGCTGTAGACGCTCGAATTCCATCCAGTGGGTCATCGGTTCGAACATCGCTTCCTCTACGGAGGTCTGGGTAACTAAGTATCATCATCCGTCACATAACAGTTGTGACTCATTATATACTGCACAAAAGTTCACTTTTTTGCCAAGTATATTTTGAGTTTCTCCCATTTTACCTCATAGTAGTTAGTTTGTTGCAATGTAATCAGGCTTACCTAAAAAGTAACATGCTCACTAGTAGGATAGTTACTGATTAAATCGTGATACATACACAAATAGATTGTTTGACTTTTATCAACGTCAGCCAGTCAGTCAGGAAGGACATCCAAGTATGCATTAAGGACTGAATATGCCATGTAAAAGTGTATTTCCTCTCATCATCTTTTTTTATAAAAAGTGGCCACTGAGGTTAGATGATATAGAAAAGTCACAAGTATTTGAAATAAATTGCTTCAGTGATTTATTGGCTAATCAATTTTCCGCACTGTCATGAAAAGCTTGTTTCATCCTCTATGTTGTTTAAGTCACTGGTCTTTATATTTCGATAGTGAAGTTGTTTGACAAATTTCTGGTTTAGCTAACGAATTATACCTTCATTAACGCGGTGATGTATCGATTGCGTAGGCGACTTCCAGTGATTTTGCATAACAAATATTACCGTTTACTAACTTAAAAGATTATTGTCGATCTTCGTTCAATAGTAGTCTGTGGTTTAAGTTGGATATATGCAGTACGCATTCTTAGTCTTTGTGCATCAGTCGGGTGGAACCAAGTCATGACCTTCAATCCTGGTGATTAATTTGATGAAAATCAATTTTGTTATAAACAAGTTTACTTGTAGATAGTCTGTTGCCAGTAGCGGTACTGACTCACTTATTTTTTGGGATCATTTTAGCATATCCATGATTGTTTCAAAATGTGATGATTTACATTTGATTTTTTGACTTTTAAGACTCTTAATTGTTTCACTTGTTAGATTTTCCAATACTATGCATTAAAATTATGTTTTATACTTAAATTACTTTTTCAGTACCACGATAGATGATGGAAATCGTTCGTTACTCCGATGTGGTCTCAACCAACTTCGACTTGTATTCCATTCGACTTGTTGTTTGAATGGTGAAAGTGGTATGATGAGTCCACCTCTCTTATTCCGCATTGCCGGGGTCTCACTTATTTAGTGAAAAAACGTCTGCTTACCGAAGTGGAAAAAATCGAACCATGGCCTTCAAACTACTGGCAAACCGCTTTGAGGAATTACATTTTGGGTCCTTCAACTGATCAAAAGTTTCCTATGATGCAGTCACTTAATGGTTCTTTCTGCTCAGGACATACGAATTCTCTTGGTATCAGTCGTTGTTTTAGGTAGGTTCATTTACTAAATGCTTTTCATTTCTTATATCTATCCTTAGATAGTAGGATGCTTCTAGCAGTTTACGCGCTGACTTTATGCTAACACCTAATCCTGATAAATTTGCACAAAAGTGTCACTTCTTTGTGACTAGTGAGTGACTGACATCAAACTCATAACCTTTGATTTTCTAGTCATTTGAGATTACTCTAGATGAAGTTTTTTCCCTGCATACAGAGTAAATTGTTCTTGTATTTTGCACTTAATGTTACTGGTTTAGTCCATGAGTTCTTCCCTACTGATTTTTCCTTTTCATTCCTCATTTTACCTTTAGTCCTTTACAAAATAGGAATGTTACGCAATCAAATAAATCAGAAATTAGTGGTCCTCATATCTTGTTCCTGTTGCCATCAAGTTATAATAGTTGGTATGGTGTTACCGACGATTCTGATTCTGTTGCATCCTTGTATAGACAGTGGTGCAACAAAGGTTGGTTGTGGTGTTTCAATCAGATTGAAAGTCGATTTAAAGTCAGTGGTGAATTGAATACTAAGGATGAAGATCTTCTCCAGTTTCTTGTCCATTTACGTGATTATGATCCGTCAATTTGTGATGAAACAACTTATTCATGCAGTAAAAAATTACTAGCTCGTTTGGTGGACAAGTCGAAATCGCATGAATTCAACAGTCTTAGAGCTGATGAAGAGGCGACTTCAAAAGTCATCCATCACCAGAAATTCAATAATACTGAATCGGAGAAGAGTAATATGAAGTCATCACAACACGGTTCGCCAACAGAAATAAATGACAGTGAAATTTCTACCCCGACAGTTTTCAAAAGTTCAGTGAGTGAATTGTTACGAATTATGCAATTTGTTTTTTATATCTTAATCGCATTCTGAGTTCCTGCCCTACGTTATCTAACTTTTGCATCAGTGTTTTTTTCTAAACTTATTCTAGACTATTGCAAACAGCAAACTAATCGCTTTAAAGTATATCAACCAAGTACTACCGCCTGCTAATCTACGAAACGCCTAATTTTTTGTCAGATTCTTGAATTGAAAGATGCATCATACTATCCAGTTCCAACTTACTATCTGTTCAGTTGTATGTTAGTATTCATACTGCTGAATACAGTTTGTTCCGATTGTAGATAAACATATTGTAGTCTTTGGTTTGAGTTGGATATATGCAGTAAGCATTCTTAGTCTTTGTGCATCAGTCGGGTGGAACCGAGTCATGACCTTCATTCCTGGTGATTAATTTGATGAAAATCAATTTTGTTATAAACAAGTTTACTTGTAGATAGTCTGTTGCCAGTAGCGTCGAAAGTGCTGGCTACTATAATACTTCACAGATTTTTCAAAACACGTGAGGAAATGATTCGCAATAGGCAGACCAGGTTTTGTTCAGGTCGTGGATGCATTGATCATGTATTTGCCGTCTGCCAGATGCTTGAACATAGCCACGCATATTGCAGACCAACAATCGCCATGTTTCTTAACATTAGGGATGGCTTCGATTCGTCGGACAGCTGTACTCTAGAACTGTATGTTGGAAAGGGGTGTGCCTAGGAAATTTATTAACATCCTAAAGGCCCTATACAATGACATTTCAGGTAGAGTGAAGACATACAACCACTTGTCTCTATTGTTCCGAACCAGTAATTGGTTTAGGCAGGGTTGCCCGATCTCTCCATTCTTCTTTAACTTTGCTGTCGGTGACATTCTTGAGAAAGCTGTGATGGAAGTGCGTAGTGGTGGTGTAGATCTACTACCCGGAGAACGGCTGTTCGACCTCGAATGTGCGGACGATATCGTCTAACTGTACGATAACATAGAGGTTACTCAAGTCGCACTTGGTCAGTTGGCGATTAGTGTCCTTGAGAATGATATGTGCTTCGCATGGCTCGTGTCAATAATTAGAACCTTCGTGAACTGACCACCTTTAAGTTTCCTCTGACTTAGTCCTATTTTGACTAACATCCGATGTAAGCTACTTGTACGAATTGACTGCTTGTATTATGATGGCCAATGTTACTGCCGAAGCCTTAGTAGACGGATCATGGTTCAAACCCATAGCTTTCTAGATAAGATTTGAGTTGTCAAACCAATCGACTGTAGTCCGAATATATTTTGCCCTACTATATTTCTATTGGATTTAAAAAGTGAAGACTGACTATTAGTATACCACAGGAGCTTCATGTTATGAATCTAATAGAGTGGTTGTCACTGTGTTCTTCCGCCACACCGTACGTTAACTAGAAGCAAAGGCGTATGTTCTCTATAACAACCAAATCAAAAGTTTTGGGTTGGATGGAGTTAGGGGAAATTTTTGTATGATCATTAAGAAATATCCTTCCTACTTCGATGAACATAGTATTTCAAATTAGTCTGACTGAGAATGCCTAATATGTGAAGAAACTGCCTTAGCTGGTGCAATTCTACAACCGCATTCACTTCTCTGTCGTCTAAATCTTTTTTCCCGACTTCATCATTTAACACTAAATCACTCTATTAGCCAAGCAATGCTTTGGTGACTCTGTGTTTACTTACCACCTATTTTCAAGTCCATTTCACGTTGTTCGTAAGTATGATGTGTGGTTTGGACCATGGAAGTGCGAATCACTTTTGCTAGATTGGTAGGAGGTTGTGCCTGCGCTCACACATGGTCCACGGTCGTGAGCTGTTGGAAGTAGTCGAAAAGTCCGTGTATTTGGGTAGTTGTGTGTGATGAAATTTCTAACCGTATGTCGAAAAGCAGAGTGGCATACTGCAATCTGGACCAACAATGGCTCTGTTGCGATGTTATTCTGACTGTGAGAATCAGGTTTACTACAACGCTTCGGTGTAAGTAGTTCTGTCCTGCGCCTGTGAAACCTGGCGTCTTCGAGCTGGGGATGTGTAGGACGACTCTGTGTTAGATAGTCGTTGTTTGCGTATGACTGCTGGTACCCGGTGGCAACACGATGCAAGTAATCTTGGAGCACGACAGCATGTGTTTTTGCATGATGGATGAAGTTATCTAGAAACACCGGGTTTGATGGCTTGAACATGTGTTACACATGTCGTCCCAACGGCTTCTATACCGTTTATTGTTTGGTAGCCCTTGGAGTGGATGGAAGAAGCAGTGTATGACGTGGCGCCGTGGGACGAAGGATAGTTGTATCGGGTTAGCATCTGTTGGTGCATCACGACTTTCTGGATGTGGTTCGACAGATGACGCAACTCAGTGGCTTGGGACGTAATCAAATATGGCCCAGAATTGAAACCGGTGTTTGGTCACACTGACTTTTTCTTATGTTCTGCTACTGAAAAGTAATGAGTGTTTTGTTTCGAATGTATCTTATTGGACTGCCTTTCTGATCATTCTATTCTTATTGTTTTATTTTCATGCGCTTCCCTTCTCCTTATATCTTCATAATGTTGTTATATTATGTTATGACACATTTCTTGGTACCACCATGTTTTTGTTCTAATATTAATAAGAGTATTATTGATGTTTATTCTAAACTTGTTTGTGCATTTGTATACGTATGATCATGAAATGCGTTGTAATTGAGTTTCCAGTATTACCGTTTATTCTGTTTGATTGTATGCTTCTTGATTCGATTCATAGTTGTGGTGTTTGTGTTTCGAATGTTGTGCATTTTGAGTGTTTTTCATGAGAACTGTATTATATATTTCTGCTCAAGACTTTAGGAAATATTAGTTGGAATTCCATTGATAGATGCTTCAGAATCGGTCACATTCGTGGAAATCGAGATGTGATCCATTGACCTAAAATCTCTCTCGACTTTCAAGGAGTAAATCCCAGATTCAAATCTTGCTTCACGCATCCCAGTGGTATCATAAGTCTTCATACGACAAGTGACGCTCATGGCCTGGTATGTAAAAGTGCACCTGGTTGGATTACATTAAATTTTATCTACAGTGATGCAAATTTATTTATTTATAATCTTTCTCGGAATTCTAGAAATCCTAAAAATCTCATTTTATTTGTTTTTTAATATAGATTGCACAAAAACCACAGACATTTGTTTCACCTTTAATGAAGGTAAATACAGTAAACCCCACATCACCTTTGAAGGTTGCAAATGATAAAAGATCAACTAAAACTGACAATAGTGAACAGTCTGATGCAGAACCTATGCAAACGGCACGTTCTCCACAAAACTTCACTTCATCCTCGTCAATCAACACTCCCATTTGTTCTCCTTCTAAGACTCCAACAGGTTCTATTCATCACATCCTACCAACTCTTTCCTGCTCACTGGTCGGATTTTATAATTCACTGCAAAGTACTGCTGGTGTACAGGTGTCACACACGGTTGCTGTTGACCAAACTCATTCTTCCACTCATCTCCAGGTAGATGCTTTTCTCCAAATAAATCCTTTTCCTCTACTTCTTGAGATAATCATTTCGGTTCACCATGTTCACAGTGTATGGAAATCGTTTTGCTTTTTGTATAAAAAATCAGCTGTACCATTATTTTTTTCCTTCATAATAATTAATCATTGTATACCAAAATTGTTTTTTCTGTCTGTGTGCTGTTTGAGTTGCTTGATCAGTTCTGAATGTCTACTTGTTGCTGATATTCGACATGTAATTTTATTATTCTCTATTCTGTTCTAGGATTCCTGTTTGTCAAATTTGATCAGCGTTTGGCAGACCTTGGTCAGTGGTCTGTCTTGTCAGTTAGCTGAGACCAAGGCTGAACTTATGCGCACTCGGGAACTTAATGAACAGTTATCAAAGCAACTTAACCAAACTAGCAAGCAGCTATCAGAGGCCGTAGACAAGTTTCTTGAAATTGAGAAGAACAACCGGGTTATTTCAAAGAATCCTACTGAAACTCCTGTACCTTCTACTACAACTAGTGTACTTGAGACTCCTATCGGAGAACTTTCAAAGGCTATCACTGAACTTCGACAGTGGCTTCCAGAGGGTATGGCATCAGCTGCCTGTGCTGCTGTCAGTGCGCGCTTGACCACTGTTCATGCAAAGTCGCTCGGTCAGCATCAATCACCGAGTCATTCCGAATCATTCGTACAGGCAAACAATACTGGTACATACGTATAATGTTTAACTGCCATTCTGTTATAATTTGTAGTTTATGGAACCAATTTTTAGTGTTCCTTTCTCACCATCATTTAAACGGCAACGTGTTAAGAAATGATAATGGTGTAATAAATAGTATCATAAAATAAGAACTACTGAAAGTGATGATGGTCTACAATGGAGTAAAAGCATTTGGTTTTTGAAATTGTTTTTACTACATATTGTAGAGAAATATAGCTGTTTTGTTTCTTTTATCCATTCTTCCCAATGATTAATGTAATAGAGAATATTCCTCACCGATCTGCATTCAAATTCATCTGTATACTCAGTTTAGTGTGATGCAATAGTTCATTTTCTTGCATATATGCTTGTTGATCAACAACATTACACTTTAAGCATTGTGACTAAGGAAGTGCTGATAATCTAAGTAAATTACTTTGATACTTTTGGTACATACAACTGCTGAATTCAGTATTATCTTTTCTAAGCCTTCAGGGATACAAAGTAAAGTTGTCGAATGCACTGACCACTTCGCTTAGTTGAGAAATTGCATTAGCCGGAACGGGTTGCTGACAAAATCTCAGTTGTACTAAGGAAGGCCTCTTTGGCATTTGCTAACTTACCTCATCTATGGCACCAACTGACCAGATATCCCATTACCTAAAGGTGGAGCATACTGCGCTGCAGTTCGTTCTGCTGTATTATACGACCGTGAAACATGACTGCTTAGAGTAGATATGAAGAGACTATAGGTTTTTGACCATAGGTGTCTTCGTAGGACTGCTTGTTTATTCACCATGTTAGCAATGCAGAGGTTAAGTGAAAGGCACTAAGCAAAAAAGGCACGGTAGTCGATAAGGTTGTGAACCCTCAGAGACTAAGGTGGCTTGGGTATGTCTTGCACATGTCAAATCATCGCCTACCTTGACGTGCAACTCTAGAAGTTGGATTAAGTTAGATGAAGATTTAGAGTGGTCAGACCAAGTCGTGGCATCAGTCCACAAAGTTTCTAGCTGTTGGTTTTATCCAACTGGGAAGGTGTAGACTGCCTGTTTAGGAGAATCAAAGTAACAGGAATCAGTGATTGGAGATACTTGGTGAAATGGTTGGAAATCGGTTACAGTGGCTCATGTGTATTTACTCTTTAACATCTAGATTTTGAACATTTTCATTAAAGAAAAGCATTTTTCCTCCCCTCCCATACTTTTTTGTTTACCTTGTTATCACTTTTTGTAATATCCATTTGTTCCGTGCATGGTGCTATGGATTGTGGCACATTGAACTGATGCACTTGTATGTGAAGTTCTACGTTGATTTTGTCTGTCTATACTTCTAAGCTTGCGAATAAGACAGGTTATGATGATTATATCATCTTAGGAAACAATTCTTCTTACTTGTTCTTGGCTATTGCCGTGTGTTTACAAAAATTACTTACTGTATTTTACTCTTTTTCGTAGTTTCAATATTTATTTGATACTTTTCTTTCCTATAGAAAAATCACCTGAAAAGCTCAAAAGCAGTACTATAGTTTCGTCATCTAAATCGCAGGATGAAGATGCAGAACAGTTTCCTGAGGCTTATGAACCCACTATGAACTTCAAACCGGTCTTAGAAACACTACCAGATCTTGTCGAGTTGAAAAGTGGAGAGGAAAATGAACAACGTTTATTTTGTGAGCGTGCTCGCCTGTTTCACTGGGATAAGGAAAGTGAGAGTTGGAAAACTAAAGGTATTGGAGAAGTTCGAATTCTTAAGAATCTGAATACTGGTAAATGCCGTTTAGTCATGGGACGTGATCAGGTGTGTGAAAAACTATTTTCTCATTCATTTCTTACCTGTATTGGTTCTCTGTTTAAACAACCTTCTTATAGTGCTTCATTAGGTATTTTGTCCTATTATTCACTTAATTACCCCACTTTTCTAACCGTTCTTACTATACGCAACCCAGTAACCCGATTCCTATTTAGGGTTTTATATTATAAGCAGATTTATTTTGCTTTTATGTATATATTATATATTCCTATAATTGTAGTTGGCGTGTGTATTGATATATCCTTTTTTTACACTTTCATTTTCCAGGTTAAGAAATTGTGTGCAAATCACTGTATTACTTCTTCGACTAAGCTATCTCCTTCTACGAAAGACCCAAGAATGACTATGTGGGCAGCCAAAGATTATTCCGAGTCTATGGAGGGTGTTGATGAAGTTTTCATGATCCAGTTCAAATCTACTGAGACACTTAATGAATTCAGTCGAGTTTTTTCTGAATGTACCGCGAAAATCGATGGCAATGCGATTGCAGAGTTTTCGTCCGAAGTTAAATATAAGTCATTTGAGAAGAATCTTCCTGTTACACAGTCCCAAGCACCATCTGCAGCAGGTGTTCAGTTAACCTCTTCTGCACCCAAACCTCCGATAACAGAAAGTAATAATAAAACACAAGCATCGAAACAGGTGGATTCGATACTTTCAAAGTTTGCTCCTAAATCAGGTTCTTGGGAGTGCCCCACTTGTTTACTATACCATGATTCTTCAGTTAGTTTGTGCTCAGCGTGCCAAACTCCTAAACCTGGCTCTATGGGAGAGGCAAATATCATCACTTCTAAGGCTAATACATCTACACCACTTTTTGGAGGTTTTTTGAAAAGTGCTGGTGGTTTTGTTTTTGGACATTCAAAAGCTTCTGAGTCTACTGTTTCAGTCACGGCAAGCACAACCTCAATAACAACAACTACAACACCTAAACCCGTATTTAGTTTTGTTTCTACTTCTCCTAAACTTAACACAAATATATTCCCTACAACATCATCTCAGACATCGTTATCAAAGTCGTTTACTTTTACTTCTTCCGCAACCACTATGACTATCTCTTCATCTTTTGGTCACACATTCCCTTCTGTTTTCCCAACCACTTTATCAACTAGTGAGACAAAGCCAGCATTGCAAACATCTGTTTCAACTACTACTACTAGTGGTCAGTCAGGGTTCACTTTTTCTTTTGGTGACGCTTTATCTAAATTGAATCAATCCAGTAAACTGCCAACTAGTGTTCCAACTCCTACTCATGGTGATAGTCATGTTGACGAAAACGGTGACGATGATAAAGTAGAACTAGTAGATGACTCAAAACTTACTTTTAAACCAGTGCTGGAAGTTATACCTAAGAAGATTGAAGTGGTAACCGGAGAAGAAAATGATGAAGTTATCTTTTGTCGTCGTGCGAAGCTTTATCGCTGGGATGACAAAACTTGGCATGAACGTGGAGTTGGAGACTTAAAACTACTTCGTTCTACTGTAACTGGTGTAATACGTTGTCTAATGCGTCGTGACCACGTTTTAAAAGTATGTTGTAATCATGCAATTGGAGTTGGCATGCAGTTGAAACCGTTGAATACTGGAGGTGGTCGTGCTTGGAGTTGGTGGGCAATAGATTATTCTGAGCAGTCTGATGAGGTTAACCAGACGAATGAAACTGATTCGTCGGTTTTGAGTGGAGGTAAACGTGAAACATTTGCTGCTCGCTTTAAGCTTACTGAACATAGCGAGGAATTCCGTGCTCTTTTTGAAGAAGCTGTGCAAGCAGCTGAGAATCGTTTGAACACATCTCAGTCAAGCGAGAAAAAGCCTCCTAAGAAAGAAACAGTAGATTTAGACCAACAGGAGGAGGATACCGACTCTGATGTTGTAGTCGTTGAACTTCCTTTAAAGGTTAGTTGTATATTTTCCTCTGTTAACCTGTTGCCAAAAATGAATGATATAGTGTTATACTTTTGAACGCTAATGGTTATATATATATTCCGAATAATAGGGTATGCGTTTAGCTGACAGCCAACCTAGTACGCCAGAGCCACTGGCTGCAACCCTGGGGCGAATAGAGAGAAGACCGAAGCTGGCAGATGGGAGAGTGCATCACTCCGCGAATATGATGATAAATCCATCCAAAACACGTGAATAAGTATACACATGAGGAATGACCTTGTCCTCAAATTGAGGCATTTGCTTCGTAAGAGTAAAGATTAACCAATTAGCGATTTACATTACAATGGGGGCAGAAAGTAGACTACTAGTCATACCGTAAAAATGGTATGGGAGTGACGCGTTAAAATGTTCAGATCAATAACAATGTTTTAAACAAAACTGGGGCATCACAATATATAGATAACACTTGTTCGTTTCGTGTCTATTCTTTTCTTGTCCTGGTAATCAGTTTTTAAAACATTTTCATTTTAAAAGTGTTTTGACAGGTTCGTGAAGTTCCAATGATTAATGCATGAGATATTTAAGATAAGTTGTGAATCAAACTTTTATAACCGAATGTTTTTTCTCTATCTTTAGGTGTCTAGCGATCAAGTTTCGCAAGCTCGCAGACTTAAATTACCGGATGAATTTTACAGTTACGAGAATGGTGAGGTGACCGGTGAACCGGAGCATCTTACAGCACAAGAAGAGGCGGAGGAGGATGCACTATTAGAAGCTGCTATACGGGGTTATGCAAAAACTACTACAGACCAGTCGGCTAGTGATTGTTCTGTTACACCTACACAACTGTCTAAGCAGAGTGATACTGAGAATAAAGCAATTACCGGTGAGTGTTCGCTTTACTTTATTACATTGCAGCACTATCATACAAATATTTCTTCACTGTTAAGAAAATTATGTTATTACTGGCGGTTTTATTCACTGTGTGTATATCAAGGTATTTCTGACGTTTGATTTTTATTTGGTCTAACTTCAGAAACTATTACAGAGATCAGGAAATGGTCTAGGAATGTTTTTTTCGAATTGTTACATGTTGATTCCGGAATTCATTTCGACATAAGATATTTACATTCTTTCCCAATTTCACATATTCTATGATTAGTTTTGAGCATTCCAGAATTCCTCTATGGGTCATATTAACTAATATTAGTGAGTGTTTACAACTTGTAAGCCGGTGTTTTTATTCTCATCTGAATTAGTCAAAATCTAAGTAATTCAGAGAAGTACCTACTGATGAGGCATTCATACTGTGCGCATCATTTGGTGTTCGATGACAAAATCCATCAGGTTTATTCAATCTTATAATTCTTGATCTATTAATATTATTAGCCGGTTTTGCTTGTGTGTATTGCCAGTGAGTTTTTATGTTACTGCAATCATTGACATGAGTTATTTCATGTATGGTATTCTAAAAAACTACCGATTGTAATCTTGCACGTTATACTGTGTTCTGAGTAATTTTCCTTTTTTCTGCTTGTTTACATTGATATAGGTTTATCCTCTGCCACATACATGTTTCAAAGCAAAGGCTTGATTGATTTTTCAGCGCTGAATGCCGCTGTATCTAAAGTTGACCAACCAACTTGGGGCTCTTCTACTAAAACATCAGTATGGAGTAATGTAGGCGCACCGCTGTTCGCTAAACCTACTGGTGAAACTGACCAAAACGAAGAAGATCCATCTGGTACTGAACACGACCCACATTATGAACCGATTGTTGCACTTCCCAAACTTGCAGAGGTGCGTTTGTTTTAATCGTATATCTATGCATTTCAGCACAAGTAGCTTGGTCGATTTCGTCGAAATTCTGTCACGTGTGGTGTGAGCGCGCCATTTAAAAATCTAATAAAAGCCAAGTGTACAAAGCAGCAGTGCTCTTTATCCTACTGTGTGGCAGAAACATGACCAAAATTGGTGAGGACTTGGGAAGGTATTTGTCACTTGTCTTCACAACACCCCTCACTTGTGGTAAAATTACCATGTTATCACTAAAGAACATAGACGTACAATACTAGACAGGGGTGGCTGACGAATATTACGCATTTAGATCACTATTTACCACGACATAAGTTGGAGTAGGCTAGGATCGGTTGGTCCAAGTCAGACAAATGCGAGTTTTCTGGTTATGAGTCATAAGATGGCTGGAATAGGTGGTTTGAGACGCAAATGCATTCATGCTTCATCTTCATTTTATTCAAAACAAGCAACAAACGTTAGTAAAACGGAATTAGTAATAATAATGTTGGCTGTCTGTTTTAAATTTTTTTTTAGGGAAACAAATGTTTTCATCTAGATTTTATTCATCATATCTTATGTTTTTATCTTTTATGTTTAACTGCGTTTGATATTCATTTCATTTTTTGTTCTCTCTTTTGCTGGTTTTCATCTCGATGTGAAGTGTGACAACCTTGAGCAGAATTCGGACACTGTGTTCGAGTGTACTTCCATAATATATAGTTTATTTGACCGGCACGGCACAGCGTAACATTAATACAGTGCTATTCCTAGTACTGTTTATTCTTACAATCATATTCCGGTGATATTTCTATGCAACGAGTAACACTGCACTACTGTCTAGCATGCCACATAAGCTTATTTAATATGGAATGATAAAGTAGGCTTGTATACAGTCGTACTATATTTTATGTTGTTTACGTGATATCTGTTCACTATTGTTTAGTATTAGTCACCTGTATTTCAGTAACTCTGTTCACTATTTTAGCAGGAAGTTTCAATCTGAAAAGTTAGATTGTTTATCTGTTTCATTTCAGACTAAAACTGGCGAAGAAGAGGAGCTTTGTATTTTCCTTCGACGTTGCCGCGCCTACCGTTATGTCGATAAAGAATGGAAAGAGCGTGGTGTTGGCGAAATAAAAGTTCTTGTCCGCCCTCGTACCATGCCAGCGGATGCTCATTATGGACCACGCGATGTTGTCCCACTAGAATATAAATTAACTGATATAGGACGGGCACGTATTCTGATGCGCCGCGATCAGATTTTGAAATTGTGCTTGAATCATCCTATAAGTGTTGATTTACCTGTGTTGAAACCAATGAGTCAATCTGCTAGTGGCAACAGTTTATGTTGGGTTGGTGAAGATTACAGTGAAGGTTCTGGGAGTCTTGAAACACTAGCAGTCCGATTCAAGGTGAGTGTCAATTAATCGACTTCGTCATTTAACCTGACAACACCAAATTTACTTATGATTCACTTCGTGCTTTCATTGTTTTTTAGTTTGATACGGATGCTAATGAATTTAAAGCTGCAGTGGCGCGAGCGCAGTCGGCACTGAAGAGTTCATGATCTTAAAAAGGTAAATACGTGTAACAAGGTTAGAATTTATGCTAAGTTTATGTGTTGCATAGATAGACACTTCTGTTTGGGATAAATAAGATTTGTTCTTTCTAAGGTATTGCTATTGGAGTATGTAGCGCGTTGCATGATATCTATTCACGGTTTGAAGTGATATCTCGTCACTCTAACGGGTCATTATAGACCAGTTTTATACAATTTATTTGTCACTATATTTTCTTTTCCAGTCTACCATTTGTCCGAATAACTGCGTTCTATGGGGATACTGATAACCCTTCAGTGATGGGAGCGTCTAGTTCCATACTTCTTTTCTTCAATACATGTCATTGTGTTCTAAACTAACGTATATCCATTTATTCTATTTACGATAGAATCTGTCATATGTAAACATGTTTTGTAATAAAGATATTCCACAGATTCCTTATCCACTCACTCATTCTGTTTTCAGTTTGAAAAAGTTTGACGGGGTTCCAGTACTAAATACATTCTTTTATTTTAAAAGCTTAAAATACAATAAGAGTCTACGTAAATTTTTATAGTTGTAGAACTGTTTGTTCGTGTAGGTTTATAAGTCGAGGTACTAAAACGGACTCAATTCCCCTTGTTGTTGTCCAGTTTTCTTGTTTATCTCCAATACTTCCCATATTTATGTGTTCAAAAGTTGTATCCTGTCCACCGTTCTGTTTGAACACCAACCAAACTTCTTTTGATCTTGTATGCAAGAGATTAGCGACAATGACATTGGATTGATTGATTCTTAGTGACTGCTTTGCTTTTGACAATAATTTCTGATGATCTGTCTCAAGCTAAGTAAAAAAATGAATATATATATATATATATATATATACATAACATCATAAACAACAGCATAATATTCCTTAAGGCAGCAACTCAATTTTTATTAGTATTTTGGAACCGTCAACTACTGGTATACTATTTTATAATACACTCTCTTAGTCGAATCTTTGTGGTTTATTCACAATGATATACAGCAGTCAGCTAACAGGACAGGTGTTCCGCTAGATCAGTTCATTAAACAACCTTCCATATCTGTTTACACTCACTAGTAAGGCGTATTCAGGCTCACAGTAACTCATACTGCCTTCTGGATTCGCCCCGATCACTTCGTGTTGATATTGCAAAGATTATCACGTAGAGCCTCACACACAAAGACATCGGTTCAAGTTGCCACACTTCACAGAAATATACAAAGAACAGGTATATAGAAAAAGTGATATCAAAGTAGACAAAGTTGTGTGCGAGAACAGAATTTGAAGATAAAAGTTAGTGCGAAAATCTAAGACATCAAGAAGTAAACACATCTACGCCATTGTGACCAATTTTCAGCAAGGTCACCAATAATCATCAACCACTGATTCCTATCGTCTTGAGAACCCCAACCAGGCAGTCTAAACCTCAAAAGACAGCTCAAATCACCAGTCAGCAACTTCATCGACTGGTGCCACATCTTAGTCTGGCCACTTCCAACCTAATGCAGCTTCTCCTGGCATGGCACGTCGAGGTACGTGGTGACTCGGCATGTGCAGTACAAGTTCAACGCATCTCAGTTTCTGAGGGTTCACAACCTCACTGATCTACTTTCCCATCTTGCCTAGTAACCTTCACTTGGTCTCAACACTGCTTCCATGGGGTTTCACCAAACGCAAGCAATGCTACGAAGACACCTGTGATCAAACACCCATAACCATTTCGTGTCTTCTACTTTTAACGGCCATCTCTCACAGCCGTATAACAGGACAGAACGGACTAAAATACAGTATACTCGTCCTTTCATAAATAGTATCTCCTCAGTCAACGCCACAGGTGATGCAAGTTGGCAAATACCAAACGAGCCTTCTGTATCCCATCTGCAACGACCTCGTTTCGGCTGATGCAACTCCCCAAGTAAGTAAAGTGGTCGACACATTCTACCATTTCACTCCCTATCATTAAACTGGGAGTACTCGCAGGAGACCAGTCCTGAAGCATCATCTTACATTTGACAGGTGCCAGCGAAAAGCATGCCAAACACATTCAGATTTCTGCTGGTGCTCCGAAGACCCTGGATTTTGTCAGTGGCTTTACCTAGCTGGACAATATCGTCTGCATACTCCAGCTCAACCAGATGACTTCTAGGGAGTGGATGAAACCTGTTGAAGTCAGACATACTTTAAGGTTATGTCCATTAGTACTTCCATAACGAAGTTAAGTAGGAACGGTGACAGTGGACATCTGTGGCGTACACCACTAGTTGTCGTCAATTCATATGATAGTTCTCCATAAACCCTTATGCGGTCGGGAAGATTATCGCCGAGCTAGTGACTAGTCAACACGTGGTGTGTAGAGCTTTGACAGAGGAGCATTTGGATAATGAGTTAGCCTAAGCAATGTCGTGTCTTCGTTATGTGAAAAAAACTAAGCTTTATCGTTGCAGGTTGCCAGTCACATATTTGTTCGACATACAAGTGACATTTAGACTAGTGACTGTTTTCTGTTTCACAGTGAGCGGTGAGGTGCTTCTGCTCATCATGATTACTGTCATACCTGTAGAAGTGTTAATAGTGTCTGTTCTTTGAACAACAGTCAACTGACTCAGTGCCGACAGGTTTTTACTGAGAACAGTAGATATATCTGTAATCATCTGAGCTTCTAGCATATTAAATACGCTTTAGATCCTGTGACCATTAGATTTTGTATAACATTCTGACACTTAATTTCAGCATGATCCAAATCCTGTAACTGAAGTTGAGAGTTTATGAATCTCTTGAAAACGTTACCCCTTTTTTCTTGACACCTTTTCAGGTTGCATCGATTTGAACATTATTCGGAATGCTTCCTTGCTGTTGGATATATGACAACAGTTTATATACTTTGCGGAAGATGTTCTGAAGTAAAGATGGAACTGAATTAAAATAATTATTCTCATTGATTAGTCGCTTGTATCGTTCAACGAACTACTTTTGAGAAATTCAACATAATATTATGTAGTGAACAGACTTTTACAAGAAATCATTGTAAAAGTCGTAGATGGCAATGTCGTAATGGAATTCTGTCTTGGTGACTTTGTAGCAACAGTATCATATTTAGTAATCTCTACCAGTGATGATTTAAAACGTACTCAAATCGCCTATCGAAGCACAAATATAAGTATCCTTGATGACTGACTGGATTAATGTAGAGTGTGGTTGGGTTCCCACTGTCAAGGTTAATAAGGCATGCGACCTATATTCACCCTTGCAATCTCCCATTGAAAGCGTTCACCGAAGTACCTGCCATCACTTGTTGCGTCAAATTTCCGTCACTTATAACGCCTAAACTAAACAATCCTGGAAAAAAGTGAACAGGTCAACGTCTTAATCGTTGTTCAAAAACCGATGCGTTAAAATGAGATTTTCTTTTACTAAAATAGGATGGAGGAAGAACTTGTAATCGTTTTTCATAGGGAAGGTGTTAAATTTTCTTTGCGGACTTTGCATCTACTCTTACACAACTGATACGGTATTCTAAATATGTTCTCCAAAGCTCCGGTGATATAGAGGATACCTCATGATATGCTATCATTTTCAAGCTAGGGTAATGATGACTTCTATGTTCGTTTTCTCTCCAACACAAGGAAACATCGAGTATTGATTCTGTCCTCTGGACCAAAGTTTTTCTCTGTATATTCGCTGAAATCGATTTTCAAACTTACACGTTATGGTCACTCAGTTTCAGGCCCACCATATACTCGTCATTATGAATAAGTCCAAACCTTAACATCGTCAGCCAATGGCATAGATGACTTGGGCATCTCCGATAGTTAATGAGGGTGAAGTGGAAGAAGAGAGACTAGTATTATTGCTCTGTAGATTCCCATCGGTGACCGGTTTACATTCTCCTTAATTCTCCACCTTTTATCATTCAAGCAGTCCCTAGTCCGATCATGCATGTCATCATCGATGCGTTTCGTCTAAGACCTTACCAGAACCATGCTCATGGGTAGTTCACTGTCCCTGGTGTACACCTATTTCCCCATTAAATGTACTAAACAGGACGTCATATCGGTCCAGTGCAATAGAACATGTTTTCGCATGAATCGGTTATTTATCCTTTATTACTTTTCGTTACCTTGATAAGTATCCCAACAAGACGGTAGTTAGTAGTTGTTGTCTTCAGAGGTAGGAGCAAACTGACGTTTTTCCAGTCCCCAGACAAAATAGTTTAAAGGAGGATGCATAAATTCTAAACCTAATCGTAAGTACTGAATCTAAAAGCGATTCTTACATCGCTGCGTAAAGACTAAATCTCATAGTTGAGCTACATACTGCAGATCAAAAGGTGTGTGCAACATTTTGTATGAAAGTACATTGAAGGACAGTTAATAATAGATTTTTATAGAGGCAACCGTATGAAAACATATCTATAATCTCTCCTACCAGTTATGTAGCGTATTTAAGTTTGCGGTATTAGTCATTGATGATTCACTTTAAAGGTAATCTTTCGAAAAGTAAAGTCAAATGCTAGTATTGAGAATACTTTTTCTATACTGTGAGTAGGATAAAATTGAGAAGCGTTCACCAGTGAATTCTACTCAATGGTTAGTTCGTGATGTGCTCTTTGCAAAACCTGCATCTACGATGAAGCCAGGAATATATGTATGAACAATACAGAGTAATTCCATTTTAGCTGGTTTATGAGATGTGTCATCTCACAGTAGTACAGTATTATTTAATGGATTACATTTCAGACACAATTCACAACTTCGAGACATGGTTTATATAGTTCTAATTCTTTCACTCTCTTTGCGGGTAGTAAGACTTTTCATATATCTGGTACAGGTGCTAAGTTATTCCTATGTATTAGCTGGTGATTCGATCAACAAAGATTCGGTTATCAATTTTTCCCTTCACCCCACTAAGTTTTAAGGATTTTCACTCTATCCCATCCTGTTGTGTGGTTGTGCTTAATTATATGCCTAGCTGTAGCCGGGCTTTTTTCTAGATTCTTTACCTTACTAAGATCTAACAAATTTTGATCTATCTAGGTTTTTGTGCTCTGTTATCCTAATCGACCCTGGTTGACTACTTTGGCCTATGTATTTGACCTCGTAGTCGTTGCAAGGGATTTGGTAAACTAAATTATTCTATCTAATTGGACCAGTAGGATATTTTAACTTATGAAGCTTATTTCTTAATGAATTTGTAGGTTTAAATGCCACTCTAATCCCAGCCTTATTCAAAATCCGACGTCATTTCTCTTAAGTGCCTTCTTTATATGGTTGTCCTGTAAAGGTTTTGAATCCCCTCTTCACAGTATTGGGACTATTATTATAATTATAAACACGTTACTAATATTGGTCATATTTTTATTACAGTTACTAAGGAATTTATTAATTGGTTTAGGAGGATAATTATTGATGAGTAAGGCATCTTTAACGTACCTAATTTACTGTCGCAGATCCTCTGTCTCACTAATAAGTTTCCTAGGCCTATTACTTAGACATTCTACCAAGCCAACTTTAACCGACGGTGAGATGATTTTAAGTCTAAGTAACGATTCGAGTGTGAAGGCTTTCTACAGACACTAGTGTCTAAGCTCCCATCTTTTTGTTTCATTCTGCAATAAAACATCGCATGAATACCAAATACATGCAACAGGAATGACTTAGCGTCTGTTACAAATATATGGAAAATCCTAATGCCCATATCCCAAAGAGGGCGGGAGAATTAGAAGTATATAAACTATGTCTCAAAGTTGTGAAAGTACCTTGATATGACTGTGGACAATAAATTGTGTCCGAAATGTAATCCACTTAATAATACCGTTCCACTGTGTGATGACCCATCCAATAAATCAACTAAAATGGAATTACATTCTACCACAGTGCTCAAGTTTTACCCTGATATGAATAATAATACAGAGTACCAAATTAGAGTTGTGTAGCTATCTCCGCTGTTTTGTACTTAAATTAAGCAACTTCTGCGCATGAATAAAATTGCTTCTAAGCGACCGAAACAACAATTAAATTAGTAACACAGGAGATTAGGTATCCATTCATATTTGTTAAGTATTTTTTACTCATAGTTCGCTTGTTTCTTGATTATTTTCACACTTCATTTTGAGGCATCTGACCAAATTGTTAATATTTGTATGTGGTTTCGCTAAGCATAAAGGTAATGTAAACTTTAGTCTATATTTTACGGCAATGAAAGTGCTATATTTTCTAGATTGCTTATATTTAAGTTCAGAGAATATTAGGAAACTAATAGTCATTTATATGAATAATAGAAATAAAATAAGTCAGTTAACTACATTAATTTAGTAGATCTTCAGTGGGAAAATGTTATTTGATTTAAAGGGTTCAGGAGGATATGAACTTAGTTTTCATGCTTTTAGGCATTTCTTAGGAAGTTATGTTGTTGTTTGTATCATTCACTGGGAGGCAGGTACATCCAACTAACCAGTCTTAAATAGAACAAAACGCGCGTCCTGGATTCCACTGCTAACTACTATCAAGATTATTATTCCTAAATGATACGTGCAGTCGCTAATGTGTGGATCTGATTCAATGCAGAAAATTGCTTAGTTCATTACTATCTACCTGTTGGAATAAGGAAATGCACATATCGAATAAAAAAGGCTGATCATCAGTACCGTTTAATGTTATATACATTCAATTATCAGGTCTCAGTTTTAAGCTTATTCCAATTTATATGGATTGGAAGGCTGATCGAAATGTTTATCACTTTATGTAGTAGTTAACGATTGTAGTTTACAACTGAAAACTGTTACAAATAGGTATACCATTGTACAGTAAACAGCTAGGAATACTCATTTAGTTGATCAGTTTGTTTGAAAGTAGCTTTTATTATGAACTGATATCAGATATTAGTGGGAACTGATGACACATGTATATCCAAGCGAATTGGGATTATGAGGAGGTGGCAATTAATTATGCTGAACATATTAGTCATATGATATCAGGAAGAAACCGAATTTGAAAAATATAAACTACGAGGTAATTCCATTTTAGTCTGTTTATTAGAAATATCACACAGTGAAACAGTAGCATTTACTGGATAACGTTTCGGACATAATTTATTTTCCATATTCATATCGGGTATGATATGAATATGGACAATAAATTATGTCCGAAACGTTATCCAGTAAATGCTACTGTTTCACTGTGTGATATTTCTAATAAACAGACTAAAATGGAATTACACTCGACCACAGTGCCCAAGTTTTACACTTATATTAATATACTTGCTCCAAGACTTGAAGGTTAGGTCATCATGGATGTGCACTGTTGACAAGTCCCAAAGCGAAACCACTGTCCACTCCTGCTTGGTTCACTAATCAATGTCCATTCGTGACGGTAACTACCTTTAGCTGTGAACATGGTCGTTCAAAGTCATACCTTCAATCACTCTGTCATACGTAAAGTATAGAGATTTCACACCTGAAATAAATTCTTGTATAGTAAACATTTCGCTGAATTAGTACAGTGAAAAAAATATACCGTTTGACTTACTTTAAAGCTAATCACGTATGATTCAGGTGCCCATATTGTATTTATTAACTTCATAACTTTTGGTACTGGTTGTAATGTTAACTTCAAGTTTTCTGCTACTGTCATTGACTTGTCTTGATTATCCTCATCATTGGCAGTTGTATTTAATGCTGATTGTGTCTGTATTTTGTGCTCTGGACGATCTTCATTGGGAAGATAGTAATCAGAAACAGCAGCAGATAAATAAAAACATAGATAGACTCTTTTCTGAGTTATACTATTCTTTGTAAAGGTGGCCAATTGTCTAGCTATCCATCGTAGACCAATTAAGTATTCTTCTACAGTTTCAAATTCTGTTGTTAGCAGATACTGACCTGTATAAGTTGGAAGGAAGTAGAATTATTCGATAGAACTAATAATCAGGAATAAAAAAGGCACGACAATAGTAAGCTTCCTTCAGCCTACTACTACGAATAATATTGAACATCAGGCTAGAGGTTAGTTGGGCATATATAACTATGATTCGTATATTTCTGCTGCCCTAAACCTACCACTCCTTCCACTGATTCACTTTTCCTGCTCAAAGTTTTTCTGCCATACCTAAAGATAACAAACTTTCGAGCACATAATTGTTTTGTAAATAGGTGTTCATGTACATCGTTTATGGAATGATTCGTGTTGTCTAAGCGTAACACACATATCTGTAACCCATTTCTTGAGTGTTAAGAGACAGTAGAAATAAGTATAATGAAAAGCTTCATATTTAATTCCAGGTCTGTTATGAATATGAACAATAAATTATGTCCGAAACGTTATCCAGTAAACAATGCTGTTTCGCTGTCTGACATTTCTAATAAATGGACTAAAATGGAATTACAATCTACCACAGTGGCCATGTTTTACTCTTATATTAATGAAGCCTCGTAGTTAGGTGAAACAGATAGTCAATGGTTCAAAATATTTAGGCATTGTTCGACTTATTATCTTTGTTTAGCGGAAAATTCCCACATTCAGTCATCGAGCAATGATGTAAAAGCAAAGGAAATGTTTTTTTCGATTATTTGATTTACAAAAGCTGTAGAATCATATTCTTCATCAAGTATGATTTAAAAAATGTCAACGACGTACCTTTGCCAGCTCTTTGAAAGAATTACTTCTCAAATGCACTTTCAACATTGAATTCAGCGAAGAATTCTATATTGTAGAACGATGGCATGGCATTTAGGTTCCTTCTTGGTTCACTTCCAGTGAACTGTTTCAGGGTCTCTTTAAAATGGTGTCCTTATTTCACTAAGTAGTCAGTCACACTTCTATAGGAGGTACGTCGGTGATATTTTTATCGTATGTAATAAAGAATAGGACTCTACGGCTTTGGTAAATGAGAATGTCGAGAAGAAAATCTTTTTCGCTGTTACTTCTTTGTTCCATTGTTATTTATACCTGAAGTTATACTGTTGAAGTTCTTTATGACACAGAAAGTAAAGATTTGTTTCAGCAAATGGAATTATCTGAAGGATCACTAGAGATCAAGCTTTTCAATGGTGTCTTTGAATTTTTAAAAGATCAAAACAATGCCTTTAATGTTCGCAATGAATTGGTTACTTTTAAGTCACTAAGATGAAATTCACTAATAATTGGTATCATTAAACTTTAGGCATGATCACACAAAAAATTACATATAATCACATGATAGTAAAGGAAAGAGTGACAGTCCTAACAGTTAACATGAGTTGAGGGCATCAAAATCGACTATATACGACAGAAATGACTCAGGATCTGTTTCAGATATCTGAAAAATCCTACTAACCTTAGTAAAAACGAATAAAATATAGATATCCACCAATGGTTAGTGGGTCAGTACAAGGCCATCAAGAACTGTCAGTAAGGTCATAAGGTGATAGCGGCCAGAAAGGTCATCAGAAATTGTTATGGCAAATAAACACAGAAATGAATACTCTCTTGGGGAGATTACGACTAAGGCAAAATCAGAGATTGAATGTATCTTTTTTGAACACAAAGAGCAGGCTTGTAATGCTGAATTGCCAGAGCTTCGGTTGTGAGGTGGCAAATATACACTTGCTTCGAAATGTTTGCCTTCACTTTACAAATGACTTTCAAAGAAGATTCTCGTGGAGCATAGTGACCAGAGATAACCAGATGCTCAAGAATCAAACTGTTGGCAGCTTTAGACAGCTATACAGAGCAGTCTTTGGGGATGTGTTTGGATAGAACACGCTTTGTGCGGACTATGTAATCAGCTCCGCAAGAGCAGGTGAATTGGTAAACACATAGAGGTGGCCCAAAGCAGTGGTTCATCTTTTACAAACCCTCAAACCAATTGTTAACAGGAGAAAACAATCCGCAGCCGAGCGGAAAACGTCTTTTCCAGTGCTTTGCACAGTCCATTCTTCTGCATCTCTTCCGTTCAATCCAATATGCGCAGAAAATGTCTTCTTTGGAACCATAGGGGCTTCTTTGAAATTCTTGGGTCTCATGTTCCTTTTAATGAATCTTGAAGGATAATCATTCTCGATTAACACTCTTTGAAGTATTTCCAGCTCCTCATAAAAACAAGAATAGGAAGGTTGTAAATCATGTCTAGAGCTTGTTGGGTTACCATAATACAGCTGAAGATCGTAACCTGTGTCCGAAATGTTGCACAGTAATTAGATGATACATTTTCACTGTGCGCTACACCTAACAAACGAATTAAATCAATCAACAATAGAACATTCACTCCTGACTTGTCCCATTAATAGAAGATATCGAATAGTTGTTCAAAAGTTGGTTCAGGGAATAATTCATTTTAGAGACAGTTCTAATCAAAGAAAAAGGTCAGATGTAGATTTATTGGAAATCAGACAGTTCGAAACAGACTGAAATGCTACGAAGCTAATTTGTCATCTACAATAACTAATCTTTCGTTCTACATCGGATTTTGTAGAGTGAATTTATTTTTCTGTTGAGCGACGGGTGTATTTGACTTTGTAAAGAAAGATTTAATGGATTCCATGATTCTGAAATTATTTAAAAATCATGAAGACCATCCGTAGCTCATAATGTAAATGTTTAGACAGAAGTGTTCTCGGATTTAATATTCTATAGAGGAGTATTCAATGAAATTCTCAACTTTGACGGAAGATGATGGCTTAGATTTCATTGAAAACACTATCAAATGACAGGGCGCTATCATATAACACAATCTAAGCAATGCTGAAAGGATAAAAGTGAATAATACTGCTTACTATACATATTGAATTCATTTATTATAGGAATAAGATGTTGTGAAGCACTTTCTGTAACTTGTAATTTATTGTTTTGTGAGTTTATTGTGAACCAGTTGAATATTGTAAAGTCCTTTTGATTATTTAATTCATGCTGAAGTTGCGGTTGTTGTTGTTGCTGCAGCTTCTGATTGACACGATGTACGTAAGGTAGTAAAGATCCTCTACGATGAAAGTAGACCACAGCGTAGTTGGAACGTAAAAATTGTTCAGCAGACAGTGCACCTCTTACACCTGTACTGTGAGAAGAAAAATGCAGAATGATTAAATTGTAATAGGCTTTGTACAGTTTTGTTCGCTTGAGAGAGAGACGATGCAACGTGATATTGATTGAATACCTCTCGAATTTGCTTGTCTCCCGTTTTCTGTATTCTGTTTCGTTTTTCTCTTATTAAGTGCACCGTTATAACGTATGCAGCTGAAAGAAATGTATCAGCTTGAGATTTTCTGCTGATTGTATATAGGTGGAATAAAGTCCCGGTGGGAACAACATCACTCACTGGGAGGCAGGCACATCCAACTGACGAGTCCCAAATAGGACGAAATGCGTATCTTGGATCCCACTGCTAGCCACTGCCCATCATTACTATACATATTTTGTTAAAAGTTACAGTTATTAAGAAAATCAAATAAAGTAACACCGGATACCATTAAATATAAAAGTAAAATGATAATGACGATATAAGAGTACAAAGATTAATTAAAAAAAAGGAAGTTGAAAAACCAATAAAGGAACGAAGCACACCAAGACCGAAATAAGTTGAGACCAAGGTAGAGACAAAGACTGTACGTACGTGCGTCTTTTACATACAAAGGTCAGGCTTCATTTCATGGATAGGCAAGGCCTCTGCTATTGAAGATGGAGGACAGGTGAGATGTTTGAGCGAATTCGATAGACAACCCTAAAATCATTATTCGGTTCGGTTGAATGGTTGGAATCGATTAGGTGTTCAAGGATAGAACTTTCACTCTTCATTTAATCTTCCCAATAATTGGAACTTTTAACAAAACATTTTCACTTTATTCCAATTAACTTGTCTCACTCATATTATCTAATCCTTTGATTGTTTATTAACTCTACTACTTTTTCACTCCTTTTTAATCTATGTGCACCTTATAAAGGATTTAAAAATCTTACACAACCCCTTTTTGTGATCATTCAACCTTTACATCATCAACTAGCAATATTATAACAACTATAACTACCATTATTTCAAACTCCCATTATTTAAGTTAAATATCATATACATACAGCTTGAGAATAAATTCATTGAAAAGAGTCAACTTGTTTTTGATTTCACAATAAGAATTATGAATAGATTGTACATAACACTGAATTCATATTGGTAATAGCACCTGTGTTCCAAGAATTGTTTCAGGGATTGTTTCAGGAATGACCTTCTAACCCACTCCATTTCAGCCGAAATTTTGTGCTTTCATCAGTAAACTATAAGATTTCATAAAGCTGAAATATTTCTAACTGACTGACTAAGGCTACTACATACAACCTTTTTTCAACTCGATAACAATGAAGTGACACGTTAAAGATATTTCATGTCATGAAACTAAGTTTTCTGAGATAGCTGAGCAACTTACATTACAACTCGTTGTGCAGATTATTATTATTATTACTGAAACTATAAACTTGGTACAACATGAGCATTAAATGATGCACCATATAAAAAAGTAAAGCAGCACTAAGAAGAAAAAGAGTGACGAAAAGGGGAGAAACAAAAACATAAATAGGTTATTAGAGAAGCAGTCTCAAACATACATACGAGGGAGTGCTCAATAATTTCATTTTACTTTTTAATAATACAAAAAGCAAAAAAAACTGCAGCGTAATCGCCGCTTGTTTCAATTTTGAGCAATGTCTGCTAGGGTATCAAGCCACTGGGTTGCATAATCTCTTAGATCGTATCCAGGGGGTCATGAGGCATCAACAAATATCATTCACCTCCGGTGCCATATTATATACTGGCCTTCGTCTTTTCCAACCAGTCCGAAGGCAAGAGAGCTATGTGAGGGAATTAATTGAACAACATTTGTAACATGTGTTCAAGCCACCGAAGCCGGTATATCCAGATTACTTGTCAATAAATGAGAATAATAACGATGCCTAAAAATGAAACACTTCATTTCAGAATAACATGATGTTTTCACCCGGTAGAAGGAATCCTGCGGAGATAATGGTGATCGAATAGGCAGAGTCGTCGGACATTATCAGCTCAGAGAGGTCAAGTTTCACAGGTGTACAGCCGATTTACTCAACCTTTTATAGCAAGGTTAACGAGATGATGACATAAAGTGACGTATAACACTCCACCTTTCGAAATATGATTGAAAATTTCACCAGTCATACCTCCATCACCACTCACACAACTAATCAGGTACACATACTTCTTGACAACTACCAATAATTTATACCCGAGAGTGAAGGTAAAGGCTCCTGTTAATCTTATGGAAGCATTTCGCACGTTAACAGCAAGAAACACATTGATCTCTAACTGAGTGAGTGGAAGTTGATTATCCTGTATGTAGTCGTACAGTAAAACGAAGTTAAAAAGTCTCACCTAATAAGAGCTTAAACCACCACCAAACGCCGTTCCAGAATGTCATCAATGGCAAAGTTAAAGCAGAATTGTGAAACTGGGCAGCCCTGGTCAAACTACACTAATGGTTTTGTACAGTGGAAAGAGGTGATTGGACGCTCTTACTCTGCCTGAGATAATAAAATATGATGATCTCGGAGTAACTTTAAGAGTCAGCCGAGCAGCAACTGGAGTAACCAATAAGACTTCTCTATTTCATGAAAATCTGCCTTTCCAGCCGAAATGAAGAAACCTAATTGATAATTTCGACCGTTACCGGGGTGGCCTTCAGAGTCACTCCTCAAGACATCTCTCTCTAACAGGTAACTCACACAGCACAGGTCTAATAAAGGAGCCAAAAATAGCTTTATTATCATTCCACATTCACTATATTTCCCAGTCATATGGTGAGATAAGATGTACTTCTCAGTAGTACGAAACAATTGATAAGAATATAATGCAGTAGATGACTAGATTAGTAGAACTCAGTATTCTTGTTACCAGCATATATTGATGAATAATATATTAGGATATATGCGGAAAGAAAGCTTTCATATCATCACATGATAAACATGTGTTAGGTACTAACTAGCGTGTATATGAGTATATGTGAGTGCATTTGAATCGTTGGTTAACCAAAAGTTATAGTCACGTTAGGAAAAGAACAACTAATATCACTTTAAAAATTAAATAGTGAAAATTAGTAGCATATTAGAAGATACCACAAAGCTAAATTGTATTGGTCTATCTAAGCTGGTCAGTAGGTAGGATAGAAGAAATATTCAAAACTACTTACATTTCTACCGAGTAGTATAAACAAATCAATCAACCAAATAAATCCATAAAATACAGTTCGGTGAAAATGAGAATAATTTTCTCGATAACTTGCTTCTCAGGTTTCATTGTTATATGTCCTTAAGATTGATCATTCAAAAATGGGCAGGTATTGACAACAGTGACGCTCATCACCCATATCAAATTACTCTGAAAATTCTCTTCAGAAAAGGCATGACTTTAGAAGGCCACCCTAGAAACAACCGAAATAATCAATTAAATTTCTGTATTTAAGCTAGAACGGTAGATTTACGCAGAACAGAGAAACCCTATTGGCTATTTAAGCTATTGCTGAGGTGGCCTTTAGAGTCACTGCAGAAAAGACACCTGTGTGAAAGACAATGTCAAGATCAAATAAAAAAAAGCTGGAATTCAGTTCAAGATCATTAATTATGTTAATGTCATCTCAAAGAGTTGTTTTTATTTGAAGTAAATGATTAGGGACGGAAGTGAACATTATAGCAATAACTGGTGACTAAACCTTAAAATAACCTCGCCTGGTTAACTAGTTTACTAGTTACTAGCCGGTCCTAAGCCCGGGTAAAGAGGGAAGGTTGGGCATAGGGCTAGCAACCCTACCCCGTAAAACAAATCTAACCGCTAAAGAAACTTCAAAGCACAAACAAAATATAAAAAATGAAAACAAACTTATTCCCCGCTGGAATCGGAGAGGCGAAATGACGCCAGTTGGTGAAAGCCTTCGGGAAGCCAATTGGCCGATGTGTCTTCTCTCGATGAAAGCGAAAGTAAACGTGGGGACATGGAATGTCCGCACGATGTTTGAACCCAGTAAGGCAGCCCAGATTGCAAAGGAGATGAGAAGGTATAACATCGAAGTGCTTGGGATTTGCGAAAGCAGATGGAATGGGAGTGGACTCTCCAAACTGTCAACTGGAGAATCAATAATCTACTCCGGTCACCCAGACGCCAACCACGAGCACACTGAGGGAGTGGCTATCATGATGTCCTCAAGAGCATCGAAGGCTCTCATGCAGTGGGAACCAATCTCCTCCAGGATCATGACAGCAAGATTCAACTCAAAAGGAAGAAAGGTCACAATCATACAATGTTATGCACCTACAAATAATGCAGAGCAAGAGAAAAAGGAGGAATTCTACAGACAACTTCAATCAACACTGGACAAGACGTCAGTTGGCGATATCAAAATTCTGATGGGCGACATGAATGCCAAACTGGGAGGGGACAACACGGGAAGAGAACTAACCATGGGTCGAGAGGCGCTAGGTGAAATGAATGAGAATGGAGAATTGTTTGCAGAATTCTGTGCATTCAACGATTTGGTGATTGGAGGCAGTGTGTTCAGGCACAAGGATATCCACAAAGCGACATGGACTTCACCAGATGGACACACTAAAAATCAAATCGACTTTATCTCAATCTCAAGAAAATGGAGACGCAGTCTACTTAACACAAGGTCAAGAAGAGGAGCAGATGTAGGTTCAGACCACTATCTAGTGCAAGGAACCTTCCAAATCAAGTTAAAAGCCTTCAAGGAAGCTGGTGATAGACCTCAATTCAAGTACAACACTCGGAAACTGAAGGATGAAACTACAAAGGAGATCTTCACGGCAGCCATCAAGACAAAATGGGAGACATCGAGGGACATCCCTGAAGAAACCTGTGTGGAAGAACACTGGAAGTCTTTGAAAGCTATGTGGAAAGAAACCTGCACAACAGTATTAGGAAGGAAGAAGAAAGAAGACAAGGAATGGATCTCGACGGATACCTGGAAGCTGATAGAGGAGAGGAGGATGGTGAAGCAGAAGATAAACCAGTGCAAGGATGCTCAACGACAAGAGGAACTGAGCACAATGTATAAAACACTGGACAAAGAAGTGAAGAAGAGTGCACGCAAAGACAAAAGACACTTCTACGAAACACTGGCAAGTGAAGCAGAACAGGCTGCAGGTAAGAGAGACCTGACGACATTGTATCAAATAACCAGGTTGCTATCAGGGAAGAGACCAACACAGATGAAACCAATAAAAGATGAAGAAGGAAATTTAATTACAAAAGAAGAGAAACAGAGGAAACGATGGGCCGACCACTTCAAGAAGCTCTTGAATCGACCACCACCTGCACTTCGTCCAGAAATACCACCTGCAGCCGCTGAATTACAAGTGAACATAAATCCCCCAACGAAAATGGAAGTCCTGAACGCCATAAAGCTACTGAAATGCGGGAAAGCAGCAGGACCAGATGGAATACCGCCAGAAGCACTGAGAACAGATGCAGAGACAACAGCGGACATGCTCACACCACTATTGCAGAAGGTGTGGAAGGAAGAGAAGGTACCGGACGATTGGAAGAAGGGTTACCTTGTCAAACTGCCGAAGAAGGGAGACCTCAGTGCTTGCAAGAACTGGCGCGGAATCACTCTCCTATCCACCCCAAGTAAAATATTAAGCCGCATCATCCTGGAGAGGCTTAAAGACGCACTGGATTCAAAACTGCGACCGGAACAGGCAGGCTTCAGGAAGTACAAATCATGTGCTGACCAAATTGCAACACTTCGTATCATCATAGAACAGAGCGTAGAATGGCAATCAGCTCTATACCTCAACTTCATCGACTTTGAGAAGGCCTTTGACAGCGTCGACCGAGAAGTAATTTGGAAACTGCTTCAATACTACGGAGTACCGCAAACCTTTATCCGCCTCATTCAACAACTATATGAAGATGCCACATGCCAAGTAATCCACAATGGGAAGCTCAGTGATGCCTTTGAAGTGAAGACAGGAGTGAAACAAGGTTGCCTACTATCCCCCATGATATTCCTTATTGTGGTGGACTGGATCATGCAGCAAACAGTAGGCAGCGAGAAGAGGGGGATACACTGGACGACGGAAAAGAACCTAGAAGACTTGGATTTCGCCGATGACTTATGCCTAATGTCACATAAACTTGAAGATCTGCAGGCAAAAACTAACAAGTTGACAGAAGAGGCAGCCAAGACGGGACTTCAGGTGAATATAGAGAAGACAGAAGTGATGAAGATACCGCACCACCACCATCAACAACAACAACAACAAACTCCAATCACCGTCAACGGGAGAAACTTGAAGGAAGTAACCTCCTTCACTTATCTAGGAAGCACTGTTTCAACTACAGGCGGGACGGACGAGGACGTCAAAGTCAGAATCGGAAAAGCAAGACAGGCGTTCATTAGCCTGAAACCAGTGTGGAGATCTTCTGCACTGCACTCAGCATGTGGAACAAGATACGGATTTTCAACACCAACGTCAAGTCAGTGCTCTTGTATGGCTCAGAGACTTGGCGCGTCACGAAAGGCATTTCCAATAAACTACAGACATTCATCAACAACTGCTTACGCGCTCGCTACTGAAGATCAGATGGCCAGAAAAAATAAGCAACAAGGAACTCTGGGAACGAACCAACCAAGAACCTATCACGCAACAAATATGCAGGAAGAAGTGGAGATGGATTGGCCATGCACTGAGAAGGCCGACTGAGGACATCACGCGTCAGGCCCTCGAGTGGAATCCCCATGGGAAGCGACGAGTTGGACGTCCGAGGGTGACATGGAGGAGGTCGTGCGAGGAGGAAATGAGAGCTTCTGGGCTGTCGTGGAACCAGGTTCAAAAGATCTCAGAGAACAGAGGTCACTGGAGGCGTGCTACTGAAGCCCTATGTTCCACTAGGAACCCAAGGGACTAATAATATAAAATAATAAAACCTTAAAATGAATTCTGATCACTTCGATTACAATAGTCAAGTGAATCAACATCGGCGTAAGTAAAGATGAAAGGAAATATAGTGGAGGGTTAGGTGTGTATGTGTCGATGTGAATGCTGACTGAATAGGTAAGATTGGTATGTTAACTTACACAAATGTTTAGGGGTAAAATTGTTCCTTCAACTCATATCAGTCCGTGATAAATTCCAACTCAAAATCAATTAATAAATCAACACAAATATCTAGACAGAATTAATCTAGCGCTCATTGGTGACTAGCTTCGAGAGGTGATTCCCGAAGTTCCAATGAGAAGTCATGATCAGTGGAGTCAACTAAGTGCAACATGAGGACAGTTACTCAACGACGACATTGGATATAGGTCGTGCTATATCGTGAATTGACAGAAGTAGGAAAAATGAATCGTTGGATTCCAACCTAATGGTAACGTGCTGGCCACAAGACCTGAAGGTCCTGGGTTCGATCTCTGAAGGGGTCGTGTTATAAAATGCACTATTGTTCCTTGGTATTGACTTCAAATTAAGAAGTTCTCTGAGATAAGACATCTACATAATTAATGATTTCGAACTCAATTCCAGTAATATTATTTTTCTGAACAGAATTTTCAGACTATTGGACATATGCGATGAGTGTCACTGTTGTCAATATACGTCTTTTATTTGATTGCCCTTCATGAATATATAACTGTAGAAGGTATTTGCCGAAAACTATATATATATGTGCATGCTTGAAGTTAGTCCTGGCCAGAAACAAGTGATTGTCGGAACAAAATTGCAAGAGACGATCCCCATTTTTGGTTCATTGGCATTTCCGATTGGCTCAACTTTCTTATCTGGGCGTTAAAGTCACCTGCCAGTATGACTTTACCTGAGCGTTTTACTTTCTGTAGCAAAATTAACAGTTTTTCATAGAATTCATCCTCTGCATCATCCGAACTACAGTCGATGGGTGCGTAGGTCAAGATTACGAATAGACATCGCCTAGTCTAACGATCGTTGCTAGTTCTTACAGACCTGCTCAGTCGAACAGCACATAGAGGGTTGTTGACTGGTATCCAGTCGAGGAGCGTATTTTCTGTCCTACAGCTTAGTGCTACGCCTACACCAGTGAGTTCAAGGGAGCTAGTTATTGGGCGTCAGGATACTCGTAGGGTGAATTTTTAGGATTCGCTACTATGGCCAGGTGACGTCAGTTTAATAACTATACTCGGGTCCTGCATATATATCTCAGAGATTCAGCATACATCCATGGCTGGAGATTCCAGAGTTCTAGCCGGCGATGCATGTTGTTTGAATTGGCATAGAGTTCGAACATTGAAATCTTCCATATGAAATCGATGGTGGGGTCCTAGGAGCCTAGGATTGAAGTTTCGATGGTTTCGATCGTTAGCGATGGTAGTAGAATGAGAGGTTGCGGAAGATGTAGGAGGCTTAATATTGTTATTAGGAGGTGAAGGCAAAGGAAAAAATATAGTTGAGGAGGATAGATTGTGTTTTGTATACTAGTGGAAGCATGTGGGCTTTTGATACCTCCTGGCTGCCAACACCGTGGAAGGTTATTTCTTCTTAAGGTGGCTGAAAGAGAAAAAGACTTGTATGACCACAGAGCCCATGGGACACCCGCTTGAGGCCTGTCACACACGGCCTTTTGCGAGTTGTTGTTTTGAGGTTTGATTGTCCTAACACTGGACAGAACCAACCCATACCACTGGCACCCGAAGACCGTGGGCTGTTTTTGGGGCCGACTTTCTCTAACCTCCTTCTCAAAAGGAAGGCAGCATAAGTGTGGCGCTACTGGTCATCCAAGGGAAGCACCTTAATGATGTCACATCCCGTCCATCTAGCAGTAGTACAACTTCGCCATTAGACCCTCACCATAGTGTAGTAATTTACACTACAACAATAACTGGTTTTCAACTTACCACTATGCAACATGCCTTTCTGGTATATCAGGACAGCGAGGAAACAAACATTCCGCCAGCACAGCTCGTCGGGTCATTGTGATATGCAAGGCTGACCACCACGTCAAGTTAGCAACTATAGGCCACTGGGGCACGACAGATACCTCTTAGGCAACGAGTATCAGTTATTATTTATTGATACTTTTAATTTGATGTTATTATGCTGGACCTGTTTTATTAAGGTGGTTGGCAAAATCTTACTTCATTAATAAGAGAGTAAAGCCTGGGTACTACGGCAGATTTAAACTCCATTTCAGTTTGTTTGTCAAATGTATCACGCAGGGGAACGGCATTATTTACAGGACATAAATTATCATTCACAGTCATATCGTAGTAACTCCACAGCTGTATAAATAAATTCTCAAAGTTGTGAAGCCACCTGAGTAAGACTACAGACAATGGATTCTGTCTAAAATACCACTCCGTAAATGATAAGTGTAATATTTGACACCGAAACCGAAATGAGAATACAATCAGCAGGAAGTCAAAAACGGCTCAGTAGTAACGTATCTGACTGTAGTAGTACTGGAGGTCGCAGGTCCGAACCTTTGACGAGACATTAGTCCCTGGAAGGTTATGGGAAAGCCTTACTGACAATTGGTAACAAGTCAAGAAAACCGATAGCAAAGAGCTCTTGACGATTACGTCGAACCATCTAACAAATAACCACGGCGTTTAAGATGATTTATTGATAACTATCCAGTTTACGCACGAGTGCCGCACGACATAGAAGCAACTAGGAACCATAAGATAAAAGTTGAAATTTCCAACCAACAGTGTGTAAAGACAATCCTACTGCCTTAACGGTCATAAAAATCCATCTACACAGAATTCGAAAACTGAATGCTAACTTCAACCCTAAACTGAATAGTCTTATATATCTGATATCGTAGTGCATAAGTTTATTATCCATAGTTAGCTGTCATGATATAAAAAGGTAGTAGTAAATATTCACAGCAAAACAAACTCACCTAAAATTATCGATAAATCTCACCATATTTTCTTCTAAAGGCGCTATAGTACCTCCGGAGGTTACACAAACAACTTTATTCATTGTAGGATGATCTAATACATTATTGAACAAAGCCTTGAGGCGACATTCCAATGTCGTTATATTGTTCACTCTGCCATTATTCTTATGCTCAGTCTCCAATTTATCCAGCCAAGAATCCAATGAATCCATTTTTGCAAAACCCTATAGGATCTAGTAAACCATAAACATGTGAATAAAGGTAATGAGTTAGGCCTTTTCAAACCATTAATAAGTAGTGCATAACAATAATTGAAAAATATCAAAATCGCTAATGGTGCTTTCACAGTATCAGCATGACGGAATGAATTGATATGATCGTTGTTTCTCTGGGTAAATTAAATTACCATTACATTCTTAAACACGTGAATGTCAATAAGCTCAACATAAGGATCAATCTAGAGGTTCGTTCAATTTATCGTGAATCAATAAAATCAGGAGAAACGTAGGCCAGTGGATTACAATCCAGAGGCTGAATAGTAACGTGCTGACTATGAGAACCAAAGGTTTAGAGTTCGATCATGGATGTCTTGGTTATATGCTGTTGAAAAAGTTGCAAAACAGTTGTCCAGTTCATTGTGATTCTCGTTTCTTGTCTGGTTGATACTGATAAGTAATGAAAACCTTTCCGAAATATATATTAGTTTTTATCTTAATATAATGAATTCATTGTATCTCACTGAGTCCCCGTCAGTTACATAAAACGGCACTAAAGACAAATAATGGGAAAGTGAATAATAACCTACGTGAAAATTGTGAAGTGGTTATGAAGGAATATTAAAATTGTTTGCAAAGCAATGTTAGAAGACAGTATATTTACAGAAGTTTTCTTATAAACAGTTGTGTAAATAACTCAACCAATATTTCTGGAATATTGGAGATAGCTGATCACTTTATATAGTAATGACATAGACGAGGAATAGGAACGGAAGATTACGAAAGAGGGAATGGGTTTATATAGACTAATATGAAGTTCAGTGGATCCTAACTGCTGATTCCATCTATATAAAAAGTTCGGTTTCTAGTATAACACAAAGCAAGGCAGAATTAAGACGTTGATAAACTACTTCGTATGCATTTACAATATCTTTGTGCTTCGTATTGACAAAATGGCAATTGTATGGGCTGCTAGTGACACTTAGTCTTATAAGAGTTCACAGACCTCATAATATCTTCAATATAGTGAAAAGAAGTCTGCTTTCCTGCCCTTCCAAGGTGGTTGCATTTAACACATATATACTAATTGGTACATGCAGCTGGGGTTGTTGTATGACCTAAAACCAATGTCCCACTATGCTTTTTTCTAAGATGACAACAGTAATAGTGCATCATCACATACCAATTGAAGCACCGAAGAAGTCCCATTTATTCATAAGAAAGTTAAACTGAACGGTTCAAAAGAAGTATGATATTAATCTGTGTACTGTCAAGGTTTTTATGACTCGTCATTTCAAACCTGATCATTGTATGAGAGGAAATTGGTGAGTTTTTTTAAAAACACAGTATTAGTGATGTATAACCACGTAGTTTCTTTCGGTCTTTAGAAACAAGCTTTTGTTCTGCTCTTGAACATTACAGTAATCATGTAACCATATTGATTGATAATAGGGTGCTATTCGTTCCCAATGATTAAAAATAAGATTGTAAAGCTTTAGTCGGCAACGGATTTTTTTTCATTGAATTATCTTCTATATACCAATTTAAATAAATTGGCAAAACCAAGTAAATTGGAGGGGTTGGAAGATGTCATCAGAAATCTAAATATAGACGGAAAAAAGTGGTATCAGCAGCCTGACTACTGGGTATAGCTACCACCGTCAACACTGATAATGAATTCAGAAAAACAATACAAATCGATGTCAGAAGGTAGAACGTTACAACTCGATTTTTCTATTCAAAAGAGTCAGTACTTAGTCTTGGTTTATCCTCTGCATTGTATCGTAAAGTTTTACAGGATTCGGTAAGTCATAAGCATACGAATAAAAGCAGTTAATTAGGCCTTGTCAATCGTCAAACTACTGATAAGTAGCGTATGCCACTAACTACAAAATTCCTATTTGTCTCTTCATAATATCAACACGATGGAATCAATATATGTGACTTGAGTTTTTCACAACTCGGAGTTAACTTGGTTTTCGAACTCTTTTCCTATCTTATAATATTTCTTGTCATTATTGTTCTTATGTAGCCTAAAGGGCTATTCCCAATGTTCCAGAAATGTTGGTTCAGCTACTTATACGACTGTTTATAAGATAACTTCTGTAAATATATCGTCTCCTAATATTGTTCTGTAAACAATCTTAGACGTTTGAAGAGATGGGTATTAGGTTAGTCTTAACGGTAACAAAACCACTCACTGGGGTGCATATACATCCGGTTGAGTCCGAAATAAGACGAAATGAGCGTCTTGCATTCCACCGCTACTCACCAAGATGAATACAGTCTTAACATTTTTCCATCTTTCGATTTTCACATAGGTTGGCATTTACTTCCTCACTATTCTGCCTTAATGCTTTTTCATGTAGCTGATGAAGACTCGGTGAGATTCAATGAATTCATTATATTTAGCAAAAACCTATTTATCCTTTTCTTGCTTAAATTTCCTTGAGCTATCCTAATTGCGATTCAAATACATGACACGGTTAGGGACTGATATACATTTCCTGTAGTTGTAGTGTGGAGTAAATATCATGTATTCGACTCTGGAAGGGGTTCTAAAGATCCCACGAAGGAATTCTGAGTTAGAAAAGATGTCGAGTAGTCTTAGTTTCCATTAATTTTTAAACTAGTCTCATTTTCTGATCTTGACAATGTATAGCCTTCACCAAAAGTCACTACTAATGAGAGGTATTAATTTTCTCTGGATCTCCATTATATATAGTTGGAGAAACGGATTTGCGTATTCCATCGCAGCTACTGCAGTAATTTCCTTCCCATAGTATACTGTTACTGCTTTCTTGGCATGTCCTGCTAATTCATCCTCAATTCGCTGAGGTCAGTTAAGAAGTACGTATATATTGGTTAGTCAGTGGTGCATTTGGATAGAACATTAGTGGAGCGGTGGTCTACATATTTGGACATTCCACTTTAAATCAATGGGTAATTGTTTCAAATCCCACTCCACTTTCCGAGTTAGGTAGTATCCCTCGTCTAAGTACAAGCGTGAATCAGCCTAGTTTTGCTGAAGGAGAAACAATTCAGTCATCTATTAGAAATGGTAGGAAGTGTATAGCCTTTCACTTCATATTCGGCATCACGTGATTGATTGTGTGAAATACCATTGATGAAGGTAATTATCTCATGAGTTGTATAAGTATTCAATTAACATGATCACAGTACAAGAATAAGTACTTCTACTTTAACATCTCATCATATCACACAACAAACAGATTAAATAACACTTTCAATCAAAGATTCAACTTTTTATATTTTAAACTAGCAAAATGGATAAGAAAGAAAGAAGTCATTCAACATTCAAATTTGAAATCTTATGGCGAGAAATATTCATATTCATTTCATTTTTGCAGGATACAAGTACATATATAACACAGATGTACAAGAAACAAAGAAAAATATACACGTAAAATAGATACTGTACAACACATATGAAGCATGTCACAGTTAGTTGGCTTCACTGAATAACTTATTTTTTTTATACAAGGTTTTAAAATGAGTCAGTATATACGTATAAGATGTTGGAAACAAACACTTGCCTTTCTTTTTGTCATCAGTTTCAACGATATGTTTGTTTGTAGTGTGGGATTAAAAGAAAGATGAGTAAGGAAGAAAAAGCACACGAAATTGAACCAGAAGAAAGGCACTCCAAAATGTATATTATATTACTATTATTAGGATGAAGTAGCACTAGAAGCAGCCATTCATATTTGGAGAAGATATTTATGATGATAAAACCTATCCCTAAAAAAAACAGGAGTGCTTCTACAGAACCCTATTAGATAGTAACTTCTTTTAAGGAAAATAATGAATATGCCGAAATGATAACTTTGGAGGATGCAGTAATGTACAGAAGGGGAAAGATCGATTGATCTTCAGCTAGTTGGTAATGATAGGTATAAAATGAGAACACTAATTCCTGTGTACTGGAAGTATTGACATAATATACAAAAAGTATTCTGATTGTCTTCATCAGTCACTAGTCGATAAAATACTTCTGATTGCTGCATCAATATCTGGATCTTCAGAGTGTTGAACTGCCGAAGCGTTGTGACTTTGACCATTGTCTAGTAAACGTAGAGACTTATTTGGCGGTTCATCCTACAAAAAGGAACACAATTCAATAAAAAAGCTTTAAAAGAACATTAATTAGGCAATGTCTTATTGGCAAACTATTGCGCCCTACTTTGTGCAACCACATAATACCGTTAAGAAATACAAAGGAATAACTCAAAACAATAATCACATTATCACATTACCACAGGTTACGTGTGATAACCAACACTTGAGACGAGAAAGTGGTTTCGAAGAGACATATAGACTGAGGTCGAAATAAAAACATTGGAAAACTCAAGCTTGAAAATCAACAGAACTAACAGAACAATCATAGCTATAATAAATTTTAGAGTTTACTGACGATGTTACTTTTCGTTACAGATCAAAAAACAAATGCTGGTAACAACTTGTCAAATGGAAATAGATTTAAGGATGTAAAACTCTATAACGAGGTAAGTTGTCAAAGGAACACATGACCGATGACATAAGTTACTTCTGCTAAGTACACAGCACTAATACCATTACAAGATTTTGGACGACTAAAAAATCTGGTTGAAGACAAAACTATCTCGTTCAAATTGCGCATATGCATGAAGTCAAACGCGGTGAATTATCAGTGCTGTTGTGAAGTGTGACAAGTTGAGTCAATGAATTTGGTTGGAAGGTCAAGTAACTACTAATCTGGGATTATCCGACAGATAGCTGATATCCCGATGTGGTGGTCACGGTTGCTTATCACAATGACACAACAAGCTATGCTGATGGGAATGCTTGTTCCCTCGAGGTCCTACCATACCAGAAAGGTTTGTTGGATGATGGCAAGACGAAAAATAGGTAACATTGTAGTGTAAGTCGCTACGCCATAATGAGGGTCTGAAAGCGAAGTAGCGCTGTTAGCTGGACAAGTGTGTGACGGCAGTAAGGTACTTTCCGCGGATGACCAGCATTATCATGCTGTTGCCTTCCTTATGGGAAGAAGGGGTTCGAGAAGATCGGCCCTAAAAATAGCACACTCCTCTCTACCTCGTGACATATCAGTGCCGGCGACATGGGTTCACAGTCGGAGTGAAGACTGACAAACTGAGATCTAAGGAGGATGTGTGACCGGTCTCGAACTGATGTCCCTTGGGTTCTCCGGTCCCATACTAACAATTCTCTTCCAGGTACGTCAAGAAGAGTTAGCCTTCCATAGTGTTGGTAACCTGGAAGTGTCAAACACCCTATGTAAGCAGACCCGAAGTAGAACATTGAGTTAGGACCTACATTTAAAGGAGTCTAGAAAGGTGTGGAAAATCTGAGACGAGGAAGAGTAGCAGGGCCAGACAAACTCGTACTAGAGGTAATGGTGAACAGTGGAATCCAGGACGCGCGTCTAGTTCTATTTGGGACTCGTACCAGAAGTATTTAAAGATGGTAGTTGAGGATTATTAGGCAAATAACTCACTACTGTATGAGAGTCTGAGATAATCCCCTTCAACTGGTTCAAGTCACTGATTGTTTGGTTTTCAAAGAAAGGGAGAAATCTTCTTGTGATAAAATCAGACGAATCAGCCTGACGAACATGGTGTCTAAGATTCTAGGTTCTATAATTACCAGACGTCCAAGTGGAGCTCATGAACAGCAAACTCGAGAAAACTAGACAGATTTTAGACATAGTTGTGGGCGTCTTGGCCAGATATCCACTCTCTACCAGCTTCTAGAAGACAGGTACACTTATCGACAACCGACACCACCTGTATCTCTCAACATATCAGCCACATTACGCTCAACCGACCGACAGGTCTTATTGCAGTCTCTCACTGAAAGGGTATCGAGTAAGTACATCGCTCTGTTGAAGGCTCTGTCCTCGAACATCCGTGAGCGTGCTAGAGTCTATGGTGAGTTGGGTACGTCGAATGGTATCAGTTAACGATGTCCGCTATCTTCATAGTTGTTCAATTTTATCATAGATGTACTTATGGAGGTCTCCCCTCAGCATCAGCCTATACAGGAATTGGTCATATCACAGGAGAATCCTTAGTAGACCTCAAATAAGCAAATGACAAGTTCCCGTTATCTCAAGAATCCCGTCTTCTGGACACGGTTTCGTCGGCCTAGAAGTTGAAAAGGTGGATCTCAGATAGGTGCCACTGATCGTATTATTTTATTTTAAAAGTCGTTTTACTTATGAACTAATCGGTGACGTTAATACACAGCTCGGACCAGGGGCTTTTGATTGACACCTCAACCGCTTCTGTATGACCTACATTTCGAAAATAACTGCATATTAAGTGAAACCCATTGTTATGCATCATCCCACATTTTGTACTGGAAATCAGTTGTTTCACTTCTATAAATTATGGTGCGTTGTGGTTAAGTAATTTAGTGATATAAAGAGATGAATGACATCGTCTAAGACATACTGACCACAAGTATAATACTCTGTGTTGGGAGGGCGGAATCACGTGATCCATCGTGTGGGTGGGTTGAATGTACAAGACTGGGCAAGCATATTGCAGACCAATCACGTTCAAGGTCGGCGTTAATACTGAATCAGATGAATCGCACGCTTAAGCCAAGATAAGCTATAGTAAATTAGAAGTAACTTGAAAGACCACCATAACAATTAATAAGATAACCAATAACATCTCGGTATTTTCTGTGAAGTTATCTATCAAACCGAAATGAAGAGACCTAATTGGTTATCCCAGTGACTGCTAAGATGGCCTTTAGAGTCACTTTAAACTGGCAACTAGGTCAACGCAGGAATATAACGGAGATATTGAGTGGCGAGTTGAGAATTTTCGGGATACGTTTCTGGCCACCAGAATGAAAACTGTCGCTCGAGAACCTATCTAGGCTAGGATCCCGTTAAATAACAGGGAGTCAAGTGGTTGAGTCTGTTAAACATTTCACTTGGGAAGTTGTTTCTACCCTAGTGTGGTATCAGTAGCCGACGAAATTCCTGTTCGGATACAAAAGACTCGGTTAGCCTTCACCCACTTACCTTCGTATTAGATTGTTTGTTTGATATAGAACATAGTGGTACAGTATTACTTACTGGGTAACGCTTCGAGCAGAATTTATTGCTCAGATCACTGTCAAAGTAATCACACGACTTTGAAAACTTTTTAATATAGCCCGACAGTCCATTCATTTGAATAAGAGCAAAATTTCCCATATATCTGTAATGTGTGATGGGTCATTCCTGTTGCATGTGTTAGGTTTTGATTCAGTGAACAAAGATTCTGATCATTAATGTAAGGGATAAACTTGGGCACTACGGTACAGTATAATTCCATATTAGATTCTTTATTTGATATAGTACACAGTGACAGTATAATTTACTGGATGACGTTTCGAGCAGAATTTACTGCTCATATTCATATCAATATCAAATAATAAATTCTGCTCGAAACGTCATCCAGTTAATTGTACTGTCATTATGTGCAATATCAAATAAGCAATCTAATATGGAATTCTGTGATCGATCTCTCCCCCCACCTAGCTACATTGGACTTTAGAACTGTTACACTGTAGTGTGATTATGGGTTAGTGTGCATGCAGAGCGATAGCCAAGTTTTTCTCTACATTACTTATACGAGTAAGGTCCATCACTGAGTGCTTCATTAGATTTTTGTGCTCTGCCATTCTCACTAACCCTGATTGGGTTGCTTTGATCTATACCACTTGACCTCACAATCATTACATGGTTGTTTTCCTGAATTGGTTCTAGTGCATCTTTTAGCCTGCAAAGTATCTAATCTGAGTGAGTTTGTGGGTTTAAATGCCACCCTAATCCTAGCATTATTAGAATTCCCAGTGTGTCTTCTCTATACGGCAACACTGCAGAGGATCTGAATCCCCTCTTAAGAGTGTTGCAATCACTACTAACATTACTACTCCCTCTCTAATCAGCCCCTACAAACTTTTTAATAAGTTCCGGAAGGTAGTGATTAAAATGTAGTGTCTCTTAGGAGTGTTTCATTTCCTTATTTAAGTTTTCGGACTTACTAGTCAAACTCCTAACCCCATTACTTAGACGTTTTATCAAGCCTACCCTGATAGACAAGGAGTGAGATGATGTGAAATCCAAGTACCTACTCGACTGTGTTGGTTTCCTACAAACACTAGTATCCATCTTCTCTCCTCTTGATTTCGCAATCCAACATAGGTGATTCTCTTTTTTATCCCCCAATTTATAAGTGAATTGAATAGCATCTAATATCGAGTTAATGTGTGAGGAAAAACTCTGGATATACTCTGATTTCCATACGGTAAATGTATCATCTACATATAGTCACCATACTTTCCACCAAATTAAGTCATCTGTAGCGCAGTCGTAATATCCGATTGTCTATTAAGGCCCGAGTGTACTGCCATACAGTTCACCCTATTCTACTATATGACTGTGAGACATGACTATTACAGAAATGGGGTGTGAGAAGGATTCAGTTATTTGACTGTCATTGTCTTCGTAGCATTAGCTGTGCTGAGGTTCTAGCACATCAGTAAAGTAGAAGTCAAATGTAGGATTTTAAGGAGAATAAGAAAGTCAGTCAATGAGGTTGTGAACTTTCATTAACTCAGATAGCTAGGACATGTGTTGCGCATACCTAGTCACCGTCTGCCTCATCGCACAATGTTAGCTGGAGTAGGTTCAGGCTGTAAAAGGGCTAGACGTAAACATCACACCAGTCACTGAAGTCTTTGCTATTGGTCTGAGTAGTGTAGGCAAAAGTAAACTACCTGGTTGGGGTCCGAGTGACAACATAAACCAGTGGTTGGAGATTCTATGTGATATGGCTCAGAATCGAACTCATCTTAACTGTTAAACTGAATTTGAGTATCCTCTCATTATCCCTTGCCCTCTTAATGCATTCCTACCGACTTTTGATTATTTTCTTCCTTGTTTCTGAGCACGTTGTCATTTGATGTGATGACATTAAGCGTGGCGACTTGGATCGTTACGCACTAGTGCCAGATCCTATGATTTTTTTCTCTGCCTGACAATGGGTAACAAGTTTATCAATGCTAATGAGTTTTAGTTATGATTAACAACTAGACTGATAATTATAGCTTGGTTTAACACAACATATTTCCCTCGAAAGACTTCATTTATACCCTTGACAGTTGCATAGAAAGGAGTGATTCTAACGGTTGCCCTGGCAACGACTAAAACAACAAGTCAGGTTTCTTTATTCCGGATGGAAAGAAATTGCTTGAGAAACAGATAAAGCTACAAGTTTTCGCTATTCTTAAAACATAGTTAAGTCCAGGCTCTGCGTAGTCAGCGTCAACCATGAGGCGTTAAGGGGTCTGCGGGTAAAAATCAATCTTACATTAAAAATATGAGAAAATAAGGATCCAGAAAATAAATGATGATTGTGAGAACTCCAAAATACTAAAAAGTATGAATACAAGTGACCACTGAAATGGACCGTAAAGTTTCTTACTGAGCATTGCGAATAAAGAAATCCTTACTAACTCAAATACATCATCAAAACAACTTGGGTGAGTTATAAAGAAAATGTAAAATTTTGTGGAATTTTGCTAACATGATTTTGTTTATTGAATCTGAACCTTTTTCTATTCACTCCCAACTTTTTGAGCAATAGTATGTGCAAAACAGCATACGCATGAAGGTTGATCAAATCATAAAAAAGAACAACGTTTCTCAACTATGACCGTATACTTGAACATATTTATCTAGTGGTTTCAGCAAAGTAAACACCTAAGAAGTAGTCCTTATTTATTAAACAGCAGTAACGACAACCATTCGCTCGAAAACCATCAGTGAAACCTTAGTGGGATAGTCAATAGTAATGAACTTACGACTGGAACAAAGCGGGATTTAGAGAATTTCTCAGAAGAGTACAAAACTAAGTGCCTAACCCTACAAAATACAGATGAATGAAAACTAGATCCATTTAGATGACAAAAGGGAGTCATATTTCCGACACTGGCTTAAAAAACAACATTATCCTAATTAACTAACCAATGATATGAAGCGTCCAGTTGCTAGTAATGAGTGATAAAACTAGTGCTTTTTTTTGTTGAAAAATCGGGTAGCTACGATGAGAATGGATAAAAACAGTATATATATATTACTGAACAACCATAGAAGAAATCGAAATGCACCCAGCAACCTTGTGTACATTCGTGCAGTAGGCCATACTTATTATATGTGGGCTGATGGATGACATTACCTGACTGCCCGAACCACAGTAGGTGGAGCGGGGTTTGAACCCGCTGGTTGAAAGTCACCTCCGTAAGCCAATAAACCACAACTCCACAGACGAACTACCATACAAATGGTCACCTAACAATCGTACGATGAAAAATTATAAACCCTTTAAACTCACTCCTGCTGTGGATTTAATGGTATAGGCATCAGACTACCACTACCAACCAATAGGATTGTTGAGTTGCCTTATTATCATTGTAGGGAGATTGATATATCTAAGCATTCTCGCAATAGACGTTTCTATTAATTCAGTAAGCTTTCTTACAACATACATCAATATCTATTCGTTCACTAGATAGTGACGAAACAAGTTAACAAATAAAGCTGTGTACATTTTGAAGAGTGAAGCGGATACATTAAATCCTTGCACCAATACTCAAGAAGAATCACAAACAATCATGCAAGTGTATACTCAACGTATCGATGCGTTTTAAAAAGTCTGAAAGAATGTAGGATTTGAAAATTCCAGTGTTTGCAAAGACCAATTATGAATCAATAAAATACGAGATGGAGATGGTTACTACCTGTCCAATAGAATCAAGCTGTATTTTCCAGAATAAAAACATGACTAGCTGCTACTCATACTCTAAGAAAATCGTTTTAACATCAGTATTACAGACCTTTTATAAGATGTCAATTTTTAAAATTATAATTTGGTAAATGGTTTTGGCTAAACACAGTCATTTCTGGATTGCATCTCTAAAAACAAGATGACTGCAATAAAGTTGAAGTCGGAATAATTCGATAGAGAATTAATGTTATTTCAGAACTATCCATATTTGTAAAAAATGAAAGAAATTGAAGTAAACCACAAAAAATGATTACCATAGAATTGGATTCATTGTCAAAGTTGTTCTCCAGAAGACCAGAATTCATATCCCCGATACTTATATCTCTTTCATGCATCAATTCTTGCCAAAACTCATAGGCTTCATCAAATTCGTCGCATTCAGAATGATTCTTAATACCTTCAATAGATGTGCCATCTTCAAGTAATCCATTTACCGAATTCTTATCAATTTTTGGCCGATTCGTAGATATTCCGAGTCCAAGTAAACGGTCAGCCTCAGCTTCATCAGAAGATTCACCGTTTATGTCATCATCTCCAGTTACTGTTGTACTATTGTGCTCGCAATGTGGTGGGATGGCAGTGTTTGACTTTGACGTTGAGTCAGTTATTATCACATCATTAGGAGAGTTAACATAAGACTGTGATTGGATATGTGTTGTATTTTCTTGAGGTGAAACATATTTTGGTTCTTCTGAAGGGAGCTTAATTTCAGCAACGGTTGTCCTACCATTAGCATCAAATGTTAAAGGGTGGAGGTATGCAAGTGGACCTAGAAGTTTGCACCACGGTGGAGGAAGTAAAGATGTTGAATGTTTTAAGATAGGAGTTAATTTACTATTTGGTCTTTTTCTACCATCATCGGTAGGTTTGTTTAATACGCATTCTTCATTCATGGATTCGAAAACATTTGAGCCTGTATTGCAAATATCACTAGCTACAGTTTCATCACATTTGGATGCTTCTGCAAATATTTCCTTTTCGATAGTAAATATATCCCTTTCCAAATCTAATGCCATATTAGCTAGCAGCAGACGGTCCTCCAAAAAGGGTTCTAGTTTGTGCTGTTCATAGTGGAAAAAATTCATAATTTCAAAAGAATCAGTTCATATAAAGTGAAAGCAACAAAATGAGGCTAGAATACAACCTGAATCCCTGTTCATCTAAGTAAAAGTACTTTATTCAGAGATAAACTCATGTAACAATGAAAACTTGGGTATTAATGATCACTATACCGTGTCAGAAATATTATAGCCTTCAATAAATCTAGCACTCCTTATCATATGAGTACATTTCTAGAGGAAGATTAGGTAACTTCACCTGACCATTAATATCATTGAAATATCTAGCTGCATATAACAACATTCATATAAAGTATAACTTCAACTCTAATAAAAAAAGATGAGATGCAATTAAACTTGGATGCCTGATGAGCAAGTTACGGATAATCTAGCGTCATAAGATTCAGCAATTAAACAGCTTCTTTCTTACCCATCAGCTACTTGAAGTTATCAATTTAAGTTTCATTTAGGGGTTACTAGATAGTCGCTATGGTTTTCAGAAATGTCCATAAGGTAATAAATACTATCGTATACTGTGCACAAACATTACATACCAGGGATTCTTTGAAAATTAGTGAATTTACAGCTTCAATTGTTTCTTTCTTCCTTTGTAAGAGTAGATTAACAGATTCTTCAAGTATTCGGTCGACTGAATCAGCAAAAAAAGTACGAGAGAGGCGAAATGATTTACTTTATTGAAAACCAAGTATTTGGTAAAAAAAAGCATGTGTACTAGATAGGGTTAGCCTAAAAAATATATTAACTTGATGCAAAACATTTGTGTTATCACATGTGACGATTAGTTTATTATCATTAATTGAAAAGCTCTGTCATTTTTGTTTCGGATTGGATACATATACTCAAAATAGATAGTCATATCTACACTCGGTTCCTGTTCCTGAACAAGCCTTCAACTTAGAAAAGTGAGAAGCAAGGAGGATGACAACCGATATTCACGAAGATCTCTGGAGACAAAATAAAATTTATAAAATTTCTGCTTTGTGTTGCAACAGTTACGGACACCTGTGGTATGTGAATTAGCAGCTATCAAATAACCAGTTAGACTTCTTATGAAAATCCCTCTATCCAACTGAAATGAAGAATAATAATCGGTTATATTGATCTTGGTGACGAGCAGAAGGATCCAGGACGTGCGTTTCGTCCTACTTAGGACTCGTCAGCTGGATGCACCTACCGTCCAGTAAGTGATATCATACCTACTGGCGTTTGAATCTTCGCTTTAAGCACAAGTGGGCTATCCACTAAGCCACTGGGGCATGAATAATTGGTTAAGTCCTTACTAGGGTGGCCTTTAGATTCGGGTGACCCTAAAGGTCACTGTAGCAACAACTGAAAGAACCAATTAGATTACGCTATTTACTGAAAATCTGCCTTTCAAGTTGAAATAGAAAAACGTAATTGGTTATTTAAGTAGTTGTTAGAGTGGCCTTTAAACTCACTCTTTAGAGTCACCCATTAGTTTGCACATGATATGTAGGAATAAATCTTAGTATCAAGCGTAATTTTCATTTCTGAATGCGATAATCGCGTAAATGCATTGAGATGGCATGTTTTATATATGCAACTGAACCATGATCTTAAGTTGGAATTCATCAAGGACTGATATCAGTTGGAGGAACTTAGGAAACTTGGGAGCACTGGACAGCTGTTTCGTTGTAGTATGGGGCTCCTCAGCAGTGCACACACAGGATCCCGCTAGGGATGGAACGTAGGACTTTAGGGTTCTGCAGCCAGCACTCTACCATTGAGCCACTTGGTCGGAATCCAATGGTCTGTATTTCCTACTTATATCAGTTCACGATACAGCGCGACCTAAATCCAATCTCGTCGTTGAGTAACTGTCCTCATGTTCGACTCGGTTGACTCCAACCCAGTGGGGCTCAATGGTAACGTGCTGGCTACGAACCCGAAGGTCTTGGGTCTGATCCCTAGTTGGGCAGGGTCATGGATATGCACTACTGAGGAGTCCCCATACTAGGGCGAAACAGCTGCCCAGTGCTCCCAGGTTTCCAATGTTCCTCCAATTGATGTCAATCCATGATGAAGTCTAACCTAAAATCAATTAATAAATCTCTACAAAACCTCCAGATAGTATGAGCTATGATCTTTTTGAAAATGTATCCATTGATTTATTTGCTCTTTATTAATTGGTATAAGAAACTCTATCCACAGGAAACAATACAACTAATTTTAATGTAAGTATAGAACTTAGGCACAGTGGTAGGATATAGTTCCACATAAGTTTATTTAATAAAGAAAAACATACTGACAATACTGTTTATTGGATGACGTTTTCAGCACAATTTATTGCTCATAGTCATTTCAAGGGAATTATACAACTACTTGGCTTATTTATGAGTAATTCGACTGCTTTTACTACTTGAGTTTTGTTGGTGGAAAATTTATCAGGACAAGCGGTGATTGCAGTATGACTAAGAAGGAATTCAATATCTTCTCAGTGTTGCCATATGAAGAGATAAAATCATTACACCCAATAAGAATGGGATTAAAGTGCTATTTAAATGTATATATTTACTCAACGACAAACTTTTTCGACTCACGGATTCTGCCAATCCAACTAGACGAAACACATCAACTTACCAAAAACTATGAAATGACTGTGATGTCAAGTACATGTGTCTAACCAGTCGATTTGGATCAGGCAGATAATAAGAGCATCAGAAATTGGTTTTAAATGACGCACGCAATCAAACTAAGTCGTCTAAAGAAGGATTCAATCATTGCTACGCATGCAGTATCACAACCCCACAACATGATGGGGGCAGAACTACAGTCCTAAAGATATATATATATATATATATATATATATATATATATATATATATATATATGTAGGGAGGCTGAGGAAGAGGTTCATCACTGAATTTTTGTCCAACGGATCAACATCTAACATGGTCAATAAAAAAATGATTCAACGTTAATTCCAGATATCTGGAAAATTCTAGTAACATCAAAATTAAAAGAGAAGCAGTAGAGACATAAAAACTATAAAAGTCAACTAGCGTAGCTATTTTAATATGATTATGAGCGAAACATCTGGTAGATTATGTATCAAAGTGTTGCAGTATATCAAATGAACTAGTCTGTTATAGAATTGATAATTAATATTGTCTGTGTTTACCAGTGTCTTTATACCAGGAATAACAAGTGAGTTCAAAATGAGGCAATCCTCAATGTGATTTTCATTTTGGTCCAGATCACAGTTACTTGTGGAGCAGTACCTTCAAAAGGACGCAACGACTTCAGTGCGTAAGATATAAATAGTTCTGAAAGATATAAGTCGGACAAAATTGCTTCTTTATTTGGAGTATGGGATTAATAAAACCCACTATTGTTTATACAAAATAACAAGTTCACAAAAAATTAGAAAACAGATACCCAAAAGAACATTATCATGATTGTTATTATAAGGATAAACAACCAACCTTTGTCTAAAGCTTTTTTAGTGTTGTCTGCATCATCAAGAACATGATAAGGTGCCAATGCTTCAAGTAATTCTAAAGGACTCGGTAATTGTGATGCATCATTATTTCGTAACACGGGTGGTTTTTCAACTGCCATTTTAAGATCATTAGTTAAGTATGCACGCAGTCGACCTATTCTAGCAGCCTGAAATACAATAATGAACAGAAGTTATTTGTGGATAAATGAAAGAGACTAGATTTTATCGAATAGTGATGTTGTTAGCAATGAAGCAATAATATAGGTGTATTACGCAACTTCTATTATAAGGATAAGAGCAATTCACCAAACAAATACATGTTCATGTACTGATCTTCATTAGATTATCATATCTTACTTTCTAAATATCGTAACAGGGGACTTGTACACGTGAGGGTAGACCTAAACTTTAGTGATGGAAAACTTTGAAAACGATCAATCAGGTAAGAGATGCTGTATTGAAGTGCATTAGTTACGGCCGTTCACCACGTAAAAAATTTTGACAAATTATGACGAAGATTATGTTGTAGGTTATTTGTAGAGAGTTGGATTGCTCAGGAAAAGCCTAAATTGTGAATGTGGTTTTGTAATGGATTGTGTACCTTACAATGAGAAAAAGGTTGGTTTCATCCTTTACTGTCCCAGCTGTTACAATAAATCTTTGAGAAAAGGATTGTGTTCAAACGATCTCATCTAGCTCTCCAACAAATAATGATTTTAGTACCACAATGGATTGTTGGAACAGCTGTAAGATCTGCAGGAGCTCTGACAGATGTTAGTGAATTTTCTTCAGTATAGTGGTATCAGTACCGCAGAAATATTTGCTCCGAAATAATATCCACGTTGAATGTGAAGTTTGGTAGAGTAGGTAATGTGGTTGAAACAGATGAATTTCTTGTGCCCAAACGTGAATATAACCGAGGAAGAAAACTTAAATACGACTGGATAGGCTACATTTTCGGTGGATAAAAGACAAATCAGAAGAATCTATCCTGCCAGTTATAGAAAAATGAGTACTATGGATACCACAATATACGCAGATGCTTGGAGGTCATATATACCGTTATTTGTCATGGGTTACCTCAACGAGTTACTGTTCATAAGAAGCACTTCTTTGATCAGACGACTGGAGTGTATACAATGCTGAAAATGTGTAGAGTTTCTAAGACATTAAGAAGGATCACGGGAGGATATGTTATGGTCTCAAATGGATGAGTGGTAATACAGACAATGGTATGGTTTCAAAGATAATAAATCTATTGAAAATCTAGATATCATTATTTCCCATGTAAAACAGATTTATAAATTGTGACTAAAAGTAACATTTTCCTTAATAATCACATTGTCCTTCGTATGCTCTATTCTGATCGGTCAGTGCATACTGGAATGTGATTAGCCGGCACTTAAGTTTAGTTCTACCTTTGTGAGTTGTGTATTAAAAGTTAAGCCCTCGATACAATGAAATAAATTGTGACATGACTAACGATACTACTCGAATGCCGTAAGTATTTGTAGTGAGTATGAATTTATGACACCGTTATCTGGGTGATGAGTTATAGAGAAGACAAGGATAGTATGAAACAAAAGACCTGACTAGCACGGTACAGAAGGAAAAATATATGGCCATAAAAGTAGTCAAAATGAATATTTTTAAAGACTTGGAAAATACCTTTAGCATGTATTGGGGAATATAACAGTGTTTAATTACCTGTTGAAGATTTAGTGCAACTGGTCGGATTGAGTTGACAGCACTACTAGATTCACATGATAATGTGAATGGGCTTGGTTGTGATATAGATTGTGTAGAGAATCCACTATTATTGGGAGATAGCATTGTGTTACCGCTACAATTCAGCGAAGCAGAACTTGATAGGACAAAATTTTGCCCTCCATTCATACTTGAACCAAATGAAGTCACAGGTATTGTAGTAAGCAATCCACTTGTTTCATTTGTATTGGACATAACGGTTGAAGGGATTGAAAGACTCGATGAAACTGTCGGGATATTTACTGCTGCGGAATTTAGTGCCATAGTTGGTGCAAACACTGAAAAGGAATGAGAAAAAACTGAATTGAGTTTTCTAGGAAGGTAAAATAAATTCACACTGGACACATTTTACTGTCTATAAATATACAATCTTAAGAGAAAAAAAATCCAAATGCATTCAGGGTTTAAATCGGTGACCCAGCGGTTGGAAATCGAGTGCTTACACCGATGAGGCAAATTCCTTCACAATAGGCACATCTGTATCTTCAGAACTTGTTTATTTCTGCATTATACTTGTTTCCGCTGTTGAAAATATAGAGAAATAAAGTTATCTGACGCCAAATGCTGAGCCTCTATACTTCTAAAATTCATTCGATGGGAGATGGATACGGTGTGCTGGTTACCAAGAGTGGCTATTGTTTGAAGTATATAGAATGGTAACATATTATTTATTAAATACAAATATAGTTGATTGTAGGTGCTGACAGATGAGCCATGCAAGAAAGATAACACCATCATGACTAAACTACGAGAACCAGTTCATTACTTTAAAAAAACACAAAAAGGCTGTAGTATGATCATTTGTCTTGATTTTCAACGATATCTAATTACGTCTCAAGTCACTACGTTGAGTGATCTCTTGGATCCCACCAACTGATGCTAGCCTAACAATTATCTCAGATAACACGATGCCAGTCACACTGCAAATAATTACTTATCCACGAATTCCAATCAGTTCCGTTCAAAAGGACAACGACTGGTATGAAAGTTGGTGTGCGTAAGAAGTATCCAAGCCATTGAAGACGGTGTCTCAAGATGATATCATTCACTGGGTGATCTCATTTTACTTCCAAACCTCAGAATTACTCGAACACTGTTGCTATCAGATTTCAGTAATCCTATGGAAAGTGATGATCAAACACAGAATCGCTAGTCATCCTCAGCTCACAAAGACCAGGTGGTCTTAAGGGTGCGGAAGAGAACTCCCTACAATGAAACGTTGTACAAACCTTTTCATGTTAGGACATCGTTTCGGCATATGCCACTCTGACTACCGATAAGTAATTGAAAACGTAACTCGCTGTTTTCACTACACTTACACTAAACCTTAGATATAACTTTTCAACTACTTCTAATGGTTGATCGCCAAGGGTGAGAGGTAGATACAGATTTCTGCTAACCTTGCATATATGCTTTGAAATTTGATGTTGCAGAGTGCATAGCAGGAGTATTTCATTAATACCACTGAGTTACGATGGTGTGTTTCGGGATTTCGGAAACTGTTATCTAAATATATCTCAATTTAACCAATGAAATGCTGATAGCTCTACTTCTTATGCATATCTTTCTTTTCTTTATATTTTAGTGGTAGTATCATATTATTTCGTGCAATGCATCTCTCGGAAGCTATACACTGAATATGTTTATGTCAAAAACAAATAAAAATATATAATAACAATGCAAATGCAATGCCACTGCAAAAATATTTACTTACTCGGGTTATTAACACAGGTCCCCACAGAAGGTACAGCTAAGGCTGCAACAACACCCATAACTGGAGTTGAAGAGCATATTGGAGGGACACTTGGTCGCGCAGGGCCCGGTATAGCAGTTGGTGGCACAACCTGGCGTGCTGTAACGAGTCGCAAACCAGATGCACCATGGAAAGTATGCATAGGTAAGGAAGGAGCTGCTGCAAAGGTTTGGATTCCAGACGGGAATCTCAAAGGTTGGGAAGCAATGCTGAATCCGACTAACGAAGGTGACGTCACAGCCGAATTACTACCCTGCACAGGGGAAGGCGGTAATCTAGCTCTTGGTGCTGAACTGAGTGGACGATTTTGTTCTTGCTGGAATATAGTTAGAACTTCAGCTTGGCGTTGTGACGTAATGCTGAAAAGCAACCGTTCCATGTCAACCTTTTGCGCACGAGTTAGCCGAAGCTGATATCTTTGCTGATTAAGTCGAAATTCTACAATGAAGGTTTCTTCATTATTGTTAGTCGTGGTAGGCCGTGGTATTAAATTGTACTGTGTAAGCAAATCCAAAACTTCACGACGCTAAAACAAATATTTAAAGAGGAAACTTTTCTCTTAAATGAGCTACAAGTGATGATCATGAATTCAAATAGAAGGGAGTAAACCGCTCGTGGGAATGGCCAACAACTTTATGAAGGATAACAACGAAAAACTAGAAATATGATTCAGATGACGAATATGTTTTTAAGGTATGCAAGTGGAGTTAATTGATTTTTAATAAAAGAAAGATGTTTTAAAATGAACTCATCTATCTGGTTGACGAATCTAGGTCATATGGCTCAGAATCAATCTCAATGGTACACACGCATCCACACATCATCTTAATCGTCATACCAAATTTCATTATTATTTCATCTTTCCTTTTCTTTTGAAGACTTTTTATCACTTTGACTACTTTCTTCCTTGTTTTCCTGTCTTTCAGCTTGGTTCCTTTTGCCTTGATGTGGTGATACGGAGTGCGGCGAAGTGGACCATTGCGCAGTAATGTGAGGTCACACGTTGATACTTAACGACTGATATTTACTAATATTTAGCTTGGGAATAAAAGCCATAAATTTGATAGATATTCAAGGTTTTCAAGTCACTTAAATAGCTGCGCAAATATTAGTCTTTGGAAAAATGAAGTGTTTGATGTTATTAGCTACAGTTATCTAAACTGACATGAAACAACCCCCAGCTGTAGCCAATATCCAATCCTGAAAGAAGAAGTCTACGAAACACGATCAGTAATCAAGCCAAGTATACCTAAATGACTATTAGTTCAAGATTTAATGTATTCTTCTATTTTGAAATCAGTTTACCCTTACCATGTCACAAGGTTTTTAAACAAGCATGCTCGTACAATTGGATTATTGATATTTCACAACTTGAAATTTTTTATATGATTATTTAGTATTTTAGATTGTACACATTCAGTGAGCTTTACTCATCCGCATTTAATTATCTCGAATATTTTGGCCACACAGGGTAAGTGAAAGTTGTATTAGATTACTTATTTGATACAGCACACAGTAATACAATATAATTCTACTGTGTGCCATATCAAATAAGCAGTCTAATATGAGAATATTCTCTACCACAGTAACCAAGTTTTACCCTTACATAACTAAAAGCCATTATGCAAAACATGTCAACAGTACTGAATAATAGTAATAGTAATAACAATAATAACGGTAATAATAATGATAATGATAATAATAATAATAATGATAATAGCAGCAATAATAAGTAAATGTCTATGTAAAATCTTACTATGGTTGGGGTAATTTGAACACAGCCAGGGTTAGGATTTCGGAGAGGAGCAGGATTCGTAGCCGTGTTAGAAGTGGGTGTGCTACGAGGAGCGAGTGCACTGGGTGGATTAGCGGACATATTCGATACTTTTGTTAACTGATGCTTCACCTCAATGAGTTGCTTTAATCTGTTGAGTTGCATTTCTGTAGGGGCAGGCAAACGTTGTAATGAAGTGATTTGATCATCTAGACGACGAAGCACATCCGTATCGGTAGGTGGAGAACCAGTCAACTTCTGTCTTGAACGAGAAGTAGGAGTATTACGTCTGGGAACACTTGAATTATCAATAGGATTTGCCAAAGTAGATGGGATAGGAGGATTGTTTACAAAAATTGGTGACGAACCTGATATTCCAGTAGAACTAAGAGATACTGTAGCATAGGTTCCATTTGGTAACCGAGCAATAGCCATTCCACTAGGTAGAGCTTGAAGACCAGTAAACTGTGATGGATTCGTTCCAACACACAACTTTTGTTGATTCTGGAAGACAGAAGAAACGGAATGGAGTGGAAATAAAGACAACATGTTAAGTTGTGATCAAGAAGCTCTATACCCTTAGAAGGTGAGATATAAAAACCTGCAGTGCTGAAAATCTAAGTATACTTTGAAATAGAGATAAGGAATATGGTACAAATAATTTCGTGGTTCGATAAAACTTCCTATTTTGTAGGTGTGAACAATACTCCCTATTACCTAAAGGTTAACAAACAAGACATTGTAAAAGCAATGTTAGTACAATTCAAGTGCACACATGACAACAAATGCCTGCGTGGATGAAATGGCTGGGATTGCTCTCAGCACGGTCAAACAGTCCTACGTTCAAATCAATTTTCCTTACTTGTACAGAATATGCATCTATTACTGGAGTGCCAGGACTACAGCCCGTGGGAAGAATTAATCCAGGTCTATTGATCAGTCCAGAACCAACAGCATTCATGTTAGTGCCAAGGGGTCTGGCACCTAGTTGAGCTTGAGTTGATCCAGGAACGGCGGTTAGCAGCGTACCAGACTGGCCACATAAGGCGTTTATGTGGGAATTAGCAAAAGATACTTGGGGTCCTGATTTCACTGCTGAGATTGGATGAGTTTGAAAATTAGCACCAGTATTTAGCTGGGAGGTAGTAAAGACCGTATTGCCGACACTTACACAACTGGTTGGCATATGAATATAGAATGCCTGGAAAAGAGAGCAGTTTGATTGGAGAAAATACAATATCTAGTCACTGTGAAGAAAAGGATGCATCATTTATTAAAATGTATGATCAAGTGAAACAAATTTCTCTACGCTTCATGGAGCACTAGTGTGCTAAAAAAGTATTTTTAAGTTTAAGGATCCAATAGAACCAATTAAACAAAATAATATAACCTTTCAAATTCCATGCAACGACTGTGAGATCAAGTACATAGGTCGACGAAGACGGTCGAGGTCAGCTAGATTATCGGAAGATAGGAATTGTGCCAAGTATAGAATGACGGACCCCAATAAGATAAATAATCTAGAAAAACTCGGTTACTGCAATGTATGCATCAACATACAATCATGCCGCAAGGGGGGGGGGGGTGAAACCAATATATTTAAGTTCAATTAGGTAGAGAGAGACTGATTACGGAATCTCTGTTCATCGAATCAACAGCCAACACATGTAACAAGAATGACACAACACTCATACCAGGGACAGAAAATTTTATCACCAATAAAAACAAAGGATATGAGGTGACAGGACTATAAAGACAAGTTGTTGAAAGTGGTGTGATTACATTGATATGTTTAGAAGCAATAATTTATGCTCGAAACGTCAAGTAAATAATACTGTATCATTGGGAGTCCTGAAGATAGTTGGCTATGATTCTTTCGAGATATTTCGTAGAATAGCTAATCATATAGATAATCACTTTGGACAGCACCTCTTATTCCAACTAATAGTGGCAGAGCAGTAGAAAAAGCCAACATTTTGAAAGTCTGTTTGCTTATCAGTACTGAAATCTTTACAGAGAAAGAGAACATGAATTTCTTCACAATCGCAGATAGGTATATTTATGGCAAGTCACTCAATAGCTACATGGAGTGGGATTCGAAACTGTGACTAACTGGTGGGAAGTTAAGCACCTAGACCAATGAGGTACAAGACAAGCCTTGCTGATCAATACTGATAGGCACGAAACCTAGGTTCAGAACTCAAAGGTGAACATTCGGTCCATATAGGTAGGTCAAATAAGCATGTGTACAACACAGATTTAGTTAGTATCCATTGGTAATTTCAGTTATTTGCATATTTGCAATGATGATATAGTCTATTATAACTAGCAAAATATGGCACAAAATTTTAAAGTGATTTACTTAGTTTGATTTCTAAAAAACCGAACATCAAACAGCAACTTAATGTTTAGAACGTACACTGCTATACAGAACCGGTTAGTCTGAATTGAGATCCCAATAATTAGTTTGACTGATTACCACAGATCATTAAGCTAATGTTTAACAAGATGATGAAAAGGAATATAACAACGTACTTGACCCGGAGGTTGAGCAATGTGCGGAGTCAGTGAAGATATTGCAGAGGAATTCGCACTCGTAGGCACAGATACGGTTGTAGGAAAGTAGTTAGACTGAGGACCACATATACGAGTTAGAGATGATTGTAAATTTAAATTATTAGGAGCAGTAGCAGGTAAAACAAATCGTCCATCGGGAAGACGAATAACACAGTTGGCTGGATTTGGATGAGTGGTCATGTGTCCTGCAATTGATGCTTGTGATAAAGGTTGGGCGACAACAAAGGCATTTTGATTGGTTTGACCTGGAGCAAAAACAAAAGATGGGGCACCCACAACTGGAGTACCAACGGGACCCGACTGAGCAAGAAAAAAGCTTCCCGGAGCCCTATTGAAGTTTGGAGTAAAAGATAATACAAATAAATAAATTTGTGAAAATTTCAGATATATTCAATGTTTTGCATCACTTGCATAGGGAACATACTGAGAGATCATATGAGTTGAAGATGGAGTATTATTAGGCGATAATCACTGAGTTTCCGTATGCTGAAACTAAGCACAAATGACTTTATAGTAAAAGAAAATTGGATAACTATTGCAAAGCAGGTTGCGGAGACTCATAAATTAATCCATTGTTTGACATACTCAGAAAGGATAATAACTACATAACTGTAAGTGAATATTTCAGATGATAGTCGATTTAGTCATCTACGGTGATAAGTTAATTCTCTAATACTACTGTAGTGGGCGTTGCTGATAACAACGGATATAAGTAGTATATATCGAGAGGGTGGCAGGAATCATAGGGAATTACCGGCAATGGGTAAGGTTTCTGCCAAGAGCAACGCAGGAGATAACACAGGCGTATTACAGGGGATGCTGCTGATAAGAGTGTATGAAGAGCAGGTCAAGAGCAAATCAAGACAGGAACGGAGGAGGAAACGAAGACATTTGCAAATGGTTGGGTTAGTGCAAGGTGTACCATATGTAACCGCTACCATTCCAATTATACGTAACAAACATTCTCTCGTCGAGTTGTCTTCTGTCTCTTCAACACTACTACTTCCATATATATATATATATATATATATATATATATATATATATATATATATATATATATATATATATATTATAAACGACATGAGACACTAATGAGGAGAGGGGATCTTCTTACTTTCACATATGTATAATACAGTTCTACTTACTTTTGAATGAAAAGTAGGTGAAAGTAATTCATTTTCCATCATGAACACAAAGTAATTAATTTCCGAGGGTTCAATAACACTAGGCAGAGCTTGAGTGAAAAACACTTATACATAGAGTGACTGTAATTTGTGGGACAGACTAGAAGATGGATTTTAGTATTGCTGATTTAACAATAAATAACAGTTTCGTCGCTTACTGGAGAATATTCGAATCTGGATGCCAGTTATGAAAATTAATATTTTACGGGTTGTATCACAACAGCTCTCAAATAAATTAGTGTAGACAATAGTTTAGTCTACTGGTTAGAGAAATGTTATAAGAATTCATTGATAATTTAAAAGAGTCAAACTTACGCAGAAAATAATACAGGTTGCTGCGGTTGCATCATATTAGATCCAAGTATAGCGTTTGTGGATGTTGGAGATGTACATACTGGAATCGAAGAGTAAGAAACCGCTGGCATTAGACTAAATGTCGGTTGAGCCATAGAATTTAAAATGGCTTGATCTTGTTGAGAGAAATTATTCTGGATTTGATATTGGGGTAAGCAGGAGTTTGGAATGGCTGTCGGCGCAGAGAAAGAACGCATAGCATATACGTCAGCTCCATGCAGTTCTTCACAGGCAATTCAAAATGAAAACTGATGGTAAAAAATACTTTATCCAAAAACTACTGGGTTTTTGAACAAAGTTACACGATTTTAAGAATGAATCTAAACCGCAGTAGCTACTAGTAGGCTTGGTTGTTGACAAGATGTTTGATATTTCATCAACCATAAGGCAAGAGTTCCCTGAAAGTAGAAAGAAATTAGTGGTGAAATAATAATTTAATATTAAAAGAATAAAATCTAGTTAGTTGCACAAAGAAATATTATTGATTGCATAGTGTATCAGACAAATTTTATCGTTCATAGTTATAACACTCCTTTTCCTGGCTGTAAGAGTAGGGGCGAAGATCGGAACTATAAAAGTCGGTTCACATGGAAGTAAAGTTACCTAAACTAAGACAATATTTACCGTACATAACAAGAAAGATAAAATGGAATCATACTTTAGGACAATTTTGATATTAAAACCCAGAAGATTTAAAGTCGAAAGTTCAAATTAAAAGGTTGAACGAGGGAATTATGGGAATGTTTAGTTTGATAAAATTTCAAACTGTTTGAATTTCGGGAAGAAAAATTATAACACAGTAGTTTGTCACTGCCACTATATACATATTGAGTCCTTTCTGAAACAAAGCAGAGAATGAGTCATTGAAAATCTCTGATAAGGATGTGTGACCAAATGAATAGCGTCTAAATACCGCCGTTGATTACGCGAGTTGAACACAATCTGATAACCAGTTAAAAACAATTACGAGCTATTACTACTTGTTGATTTACAACGGAGAATTACGAGTATAATAACGGATAGTAAAGACTAACACCTGCTGTACAAGAGGTGGTTATCATGCCTCAGTGGACTGGTGGATAACGCCTTGGCGTTTGGAGTGGTGGGTGAGAGGTTTGAGTCTCAGCAGGAACGACACCACTCACTGGGGTTAAGGCACATACAGCTGACCAGTCCCAAATAGAAGGGAACGCGAGTTCTGAATTCCTCTGCTGAACACCAGTTAAATTATAAATATGATCTATATCACTGATTAATTACATTGTTAATTAGTAGCATAAGAACGAGATAGGTAAGCAGTTCAAGCTAACAATTCAGAGGAAAAGAATACAAAACTTCAATAAAACGAACACGAATCACATGCCAACATACCTACACCGAGATTTCAAAGTATCTTCTCTAAATATACTACATTAACATACCACCATGCGGTCTGAAAACGACAAACGTTCGAAAAAAAATACACAAAACGCCTAGTGTGAAAACTCTCAAGCAGATGTCCGATGGGCTCTGCGGTTACACAAATCTCTTTCAGGTACCTTAAGAAGAAATAGCCTTCCACGTTGTGGGCAGCTGGAAAGTGTCAACCGCCCTCACAACTCCATCAGTACTCAAGTTTCCTCGGACTGCTATCCACCTCCCTCATCATTACCCTTTAATCTTCCTTCACGTCTCTCAATTAACGATACTACATCATCTTCAATTTCTCCTAGTTCTGCAGCCTAAGACAGCGATCTGAATCCACAAAACAGCGTCTCTGATCTCCTTAGACTACGCTCCAAATTACACGTCGGGGCCTTCACTGTCCTCACCCTCTGTCAAATTGGTCAACAGGCTTCATTGGCCAAGACTCTAGCAACTCGGGGCATGTGTGTGTGTGTGTTGTGTTTCTGAGACTGGTATACAGGACCCAAGCGCGGTTATTCATCCAACATATCCCGGCCAATCTGATGAATCCGCAAAACTCACCCTTCGAGTTTCTGGAGATCCGATAGCTAGCTCTCACGGTATTGCAGGTGTAGGCATAGTATTAAGCACTACGGCAGAAAGCTCACTACTGAACTGGATCCCAGTTGATAGTCACCTCTACGCTATCCGACTGAACGGCACAATGAGAACTAAAAGGAAAAGTGAAACTCGCCGTTATCTCTTTGTAATCTCTGCTTTCACACCCACTGACTGCAGCTCGGATGAAGTGAAGAACGAGTTCTACCGTAAACTGTCTAGTCTCCTTTCGAAAGCCAAACTCTCGGACGTGGTGGTTGTTACAGGTGATTTCAATGAACAGGTGGGTAGACTGAGTGAGGTAGAAAGGCACTTAGGTGGTACTTTCAGAGTCCTGACTGAACGAACAGATAACAGTGATCGCCTACTACAACTGTGCTCAGATGACCGCCTATTTTTAGCCAGCACAAATTCCAGACATAAGGAAAGACACCATCTGACGTGGCGTCCACCGAGCTCAAATCAGCGATGGACACAGATAGACCACATTGCAATCGGTCATCGCTGGAGAGGATCGGTGGAAGACTGCTGCTACTTCTGGAGTACGTGTTTGGATAGCGACCACTCGTTGGTCCGAGCGCGTATATGTCTGCATCTTAATGGACGTAGGAAGAATTTGGCAACAAAACCATTACGAGTACTGCTGGACAACGAAAACACCAAAGCCGTGTTCAGTGAGAAGTTGGCTAGGCAGTTATCGGGATAAAAGACTGTCACTCATCAGAAGAAGCTTGGTGCCATCTCCAGTCTGCCGTAAAAGCAGCGCTGAAGAACGTAGCCGGCTCCGAAAGAGTGGCTAAAAAGAGCCAGTGGATACCAGCAGCTTCTTCCGAACTAATGGATGCACGTGAACGCATCCCTGCAGGCCCCGTGTACAATGAAGAGCGGGCACAACTTAAAAAGTAAACTGAGAAAAAGTCTACGCAACGACCGCGAACAGTGGTGGACGACGAAGGCTAAAGAGATGGAAAAGACAGCAGAGATTGGTAACAGTAGACAGTTGTTTAAACTTATTAAGGAAACTTGAGGGAGCAGGTCAACAACAGTTAGTGAAGCTATAGCGGAAAAGGACGGATCTGCGATTCACTCGCAGGGGAGACGACTGCGACGATGGGCAGGATACTTCGAGGAGCAGTTTGACTGGCCTCCAGCCACCATTTAGTTGCCCGCTATCCAGTCGGATCCTGAATGAAACATTGAGACAGGCCCTCCAACACTAGCAGAAGGCTGTAGGTAACCTGAAACGAGGAAGGGTAGCAGGACCAGACGGACTAACTCCTGGGTATACAAGGATAGTGGTAAGGTGCTATAGTCAGGTTAACGGAAGTGTTAACCAGTATATGGGAGTCAAATATGATCTCCTCCGACTGGTCCAAATCACTGATTATTCCGGTCTTCAAGAAAGGCGAAAAGTCCTCCTCTGATAACTGAGGAGGAATCAGCCTGACGAACATAGTATCTAAAATTCTAGGTTCCATAGTTCTTCGACGCCTGAGTGGAGCTCGGGAAAGGCAAACCGAAGAAAACCAGGCGGGCTTTACACCCGGCTGTGGGTGTATCGACTAAATATTCACACTGCACCAGGTTCTGGAACAGGTATGCATACCGATGCCCGACAACAGCTATATTTCTCGACCTGAAGGCGACATTCGACTCCGTTGACCGAGAAGTCCTATAGCAATGTCTCTCAGTGAAATGCGTGCCGAGTAAGTACATCACCTTATTGAAGGCTCTATACTCGAACACTTGTGGGCGTGTTAGAGCCTATGGTGAAATGTCTGGGGAGCTGTACTCGCCAAGCGGTATCCCCCAAGGGTGCCCACTCTCTCCATTCCTATTCAACTTTATCATAGGTATTCTCATGGAGGTCTCCCCCTCGTCACCTGACTACACACGTTGACCTAATCACAGGAGAATTTTTGTTAGACCTAGAATATGCAGATGACATAGTCCTGTCGGGTGAAGGCGCTGACAAGATGCAGAGTCTTCTGAACCACTGAGCAGCAATTTGAAAATGTTTGGGATGCGTTCCTCACCACGCAAATGCAAATTGTTGCTCCAGGATTGGTCTTCAACGGTGCCCCACCGCGGTTGACAATAGAGAGTGTGTCGACCACTTCACTTACCTGGGAAGTAGGATCAGCCCTGCCCTAGTGGTTCAGTGGCCGGTGAAATTTCTGCACGAATACAAAAGGCTCGGTTGGCTTTTGCCAACTTACGCCACCTGTCGCGCTGCTGTGATACCCGATTGTCTATTAAGGGTCGCTTGTACTGCACAGCAGTCCGCTCTGTCCTACTGTATGGCTGGGCTGGGAAACATGACCATTGAAGGTGGAAGACATGAGAAGGCTGGCTTCAGGTAATTGACCACCGTTGCCTTCGTAGTATAGGCCGTATTCCGTGGTGTCACCGTGGAAGTAACGCAGACGTCAGGTGTAGAGTTTTAGGGAGAAGAGGTAAATCAGTTGACGGGGTTGTGAACCTTCACCGACTGAGATGGTTGCGACACGTATTACGTATGCCTAGTCACCGATTACCTCGTCACACGATGTTGGCCGAAGTAGGTCCGGGCTGAAAAAGGGCTCGAAGCGGCCAGACTAAAACATGGCATCAATGTATGAAGTCTCTGACTGTTGGTTTGAGTCATGTGGGGTGATGCAGACTAGTCGGTTGGGGTCCGCAGGACAAGAGGAACCAGTGGTTGGAGACTCTAGGCGATCACATGGCTCAGAACCGATGTCAGTGGCGTAGATGTATCCCCACACACATTATCCTCATCTTAACGACACTATACCGAATCTCACCACTTTCTCATTCTTCCTCTCTCTCCTTTCGTACTTTATATTTCTTTCGACTGAATTTTCTTTTCTTTATCTTCCACTTCCCTGCTTTTTTACTTGATGTACTGATGTGAGCTGTGGCAACTCGGACCGTTACGCAGTAATGCCTGGTCTTATGTTGATTTGAATTGATAATAATCTATCTAACTGCATATATAAAAGGACAATGAATGAACATTTTTGGTGACAATAATTTTGTAATCGACTGAAGAAGCAGAAATCCAGACGCATGGCTAAACCATCCTGCATTTTGCAGAGGATTGCCCTAAAAGAGGATCATTCCATTTTAATATTACCTCTTTCTATTCCATCTTTTATATCAGTGCATTCTTACTTGATGTGATTATATGCGGTGTGACAACATAGACAACTACGCAGAAATGCCTACTCCTATGTCGAGTTTGTCTACCTGATTAGTTTCATTACTGTTTATCTAATAGATAGAAATGTCAGAAAACCATAGAAGTTAGCGAAATAAATTTTTCATGCGCAGTGACTGACTGATTGACAAAATCAACGTATAACCCCGTACATATGGGGATCGGCTCAAGTTGTCACACTTCACAGTTGTATACAAAGAACAGGTGGATAGAGTAACATCAAAGTAGACAGTTGTGTGAAAGGATGAACAATCTGAAGACAACGGTCAGCGCAAATGTTCAAGCTTTAGCAGACGTCATGGGAACCTATGCCAGGCAGTAAACATCTCCCAGACTTTATCAGCTGGTGACACGTCTTGGCCTAGCCATCCTGAACCCTCTTCCAACCCAATCAAACCACCTAGCAAGGCACGTCAAAGTAGGCGGTGGCTCGCCATGCGTACTACGTGTCCAAGTTATCTCGGTTAACTAAGGTTCCCAACATCATGATTCGACAGAACAGACTGCAGCTCAGTACTTCTAATCAGTAGCGCTTTGCCGCAATATGAAGTCGATAGAGCTTACAAATATTTCAAGCCAAATACCTGGATCATTTCTAGGAACGTGTATTCATAAAAGGTGAGGCTCTGGTAGTCAAAACTAGTTGCTTTCCAAACGGACATATGAGTGGTCATCTTGAATGGATTTTTCCGTATACGAAAAAAGGGATTGATTTCCCAAGTTTCCCGCCTGTGCACACCTTTGCAATCTCTCACAAAAAGTCTCGATATGATAATAATTTATGTTGAAAAGTGGTTTGTTTTTTGTCGGATTTGAGCTCACCTTAAATAGAACGTTGTGGACTGGTTTTTGAGTAGCTAATAAAAGCTAAGTCGAATTCAAGTATCAAAGCACTAAGTTTCCCACAAATCTTCGGGAACTCAGTACTTATTCCGAAAAATTAGAAATTTTGACTTTAGTGAGGTATGATGTGGGACCATATCGATCTGCGAATATGTTAACTATCTGAAAGAAGCTGAGCACGCAAATTTAGCACATACTGAGGAAGAACCATGACAAACAATCGGTCAATATAATATGAGAAAGATTCCAAAATAGCGCACCAATGATACTTTTTCACGAGAAGAAACATAAAATGAAGGCAAGTCAGACCTAACAAGATAATTTTGCCGCTATTCGCTAAGTGCAATCTTAACGAAACGAGGTCTCACATCTCTTAACGCAAGCTGGGATATGAAAACGAGCTGTGACGTCAGATTTAGTTCATCACATTACTGTCTAGGACCTACATTTCGAATGTAGCCCATAGCATAGAATTGTATTTCCCGTCCACTCATTCGTCATTTCCTAAACTACAGACAAGTTACGATCATCTGACACTAAAGGAAAAAAAATTATTAACTGTAGGAAACTGAAAAACATTAAACTATGAACTAACCGACAGTAACTACACAGCTTACACACAGCAAATGAGGTGACACTTACTTTTCTTTTTTTAGTTTGAATATTCAGTTATATATTTCATCATTATGCAACATTCCTTGGACGGTTTAGTAGAAGCTTGTCATGTGTCATGTCATAGAAACCAAATTGTCTGACGGATGTTTTATGTGGGGGATTTGATTTCCAATTAGACGGCGCACGACTTTTGAAGATATTCCAAATTAACTGTCTTTAATATGAATAAAATATAATCTCCTAAGTCAAAACAGGAAAACAAACAGCCCGCAGAAAGACACATTAAAACAAAAGCAAGTCTGCACGAAATAAGCTTTCTAAGACTTCAATTTAATTAAAAATTCTAATTATTTCTTCTCATTGACATTACTTATCTCAAACTTTTGTTGTTGTGTACGTAAGTTACTGTCAAATAAGCGCGTGACTTGAAAATGTGAGTTTGGTGCTCTTCATTTTCTGGTCAATTGATTTGCGTATCCTTCAAGGACTAAAGCTTTCGATGTTTATGTTCGCATGCAAGAGATATAATGTAACTGCTTCCATCGATATATATCAACTAGGAATCTAAATGTTACTGGTTTCAGTTGCAACGACAGTGTATACTTTACTATCTAGTCGAAATATACTTCAGTAGATACTGAATGTTCATTATCATGGAGTAATTATGTGAAAGGTTTATAACTTGGTTAGAAGGGTATCCTTCTTGTAGGCAAGCATTATGTCGTTATCCACTGACCTATATTTCTGTTTCCGACATGTATTATCCCCTTCCTGTGCCTCAATGTACAGTTTCAGGTTTGAGGGTAATAGGCCAAGCAGTCTGAAATAGTTTTTGCAGTAGAAACCTATGTGAATATCTAGTTTTTCTTCGAAAGCGCCCACTGAAGGAGCAGCTACAAGTTTCGGTAATAAGCTGACTACCCCATTAGAGAATCTAAGTTCTAAGTTTATCCTTCCATGACTTTTATGGTGACCTCCTAAATAATCAGTGCTGGGAGTAAAACGACTGGGGAAATCAACTACCAAGCCATTACTGATAATTCGATAATCTAATATAAGATCTCCCTTTTTCCTACCATACGACAACAGATAAAAATGCAGAATTTTATGGGGAAGATGCAAATGTCCTGTCACCGAACTAGTTCCCACCCGCTTTACTCTTTCTCGAGTGTCTGCTTCTTGGAAACCAGAGCTGGCTGTAATGAGTATTTTAGATGAGGTCTTACATAAGTAGGGAAAAGTATCCTAAATATTTATTCATCAAAACACTTTCAAGCTATATGGAGTGGCCATATGAGGCTGAACTTTGGGTTACAGCGTGATGTTATTTTTAAATATTATCTGATAACAACCATTAGATCTGTTTGTTCCCCATAGTGAGGTGATATTGACCCATCTAAAGTGTAAGAGTAGTACGACTTGTGACCAATGCATATTACTGCACTTTTTTAGAGTTGATTCCCAGGCTCCATCGTTTAGATCATTTAGCCAACTCATCGAAGTCTGAAGTGATATCTCATCATCAATACCATAAGTCATCTTCTGAACCTTAATGTCATCTACAAGTGTCAAGGATGACATAAGTATACCTGGTAATTCATTACAATACAGAAAAAGAGAAGAGTCCTTAGTATGGTGCCCTAGAAACCCCCACTCAAATCTAAGGACAAGAAGTTCACACCAAGTGTGCTTTAATATTCAGTTGCGCACCTTAAAACCTTATCGTTATTTTAACTCCCCGAGTAATATTGTAGTATTGGCGCTGAAAAAACAAACAAACAAGATCAACAACAAGTGCATCGGTCCAAGTTGCCACACTGTACAAAGAACAGTTGTAGATAACCAGTGGTATCAAATTAGACAGTTGTGTCGGAGAAGACAGAGGTTAACACAGATATTCAAGCTTCAAAGACATCAGAGAGTGAGTAAATCCGCACTAAAGAGAGGTCGTTCTCACCGTTTTTTGCTGTCTTATGACTAAATTCCCAAGCTTTTTTTAGTACGAAATCTCTGTCCCAATCTAGTACCTAACTTCACTTACCTGATATCTATTTTTAGTCCTCGAAGTCTTATCCCTAAATCTTTCTGCAGGGCTCCATACAAATGATTTATAGGCGATAGCAGGCCTTCTAAAGACTTATTTGCATTCATATTACTTTCCTGTAGGTTTAGTGTTTTGCAGTCATAGATGAATATCTTTATCGTACGTACTTTTACTGCAAGGAGTGAGAAGGTCGGGAACCTAATTCAGTTCCTAAACATCGTTAATCGTAAGCAGATAACGCAGAACCTCACAGGATAGTGCGTACTTTCAAGTTGCCACACTTCACAACATCATGTGAAGAATAAATGAATAGAAGTGATAATTAAGCAATAAATGAGTGTATAGAAAGGGGCATAATTCGAAAATTTAGGTTTGTGTTCAAACTTTAGAAAATTTCATTCTTAATCATTTTGGTCCATGTCACTCAAAAACTGCAACCATCGATCCCTTTTTTCTGGAGAACCCTCACGAGGTAGTCTACACTTCCCATTATGACTGAGACCAGCAGTCAGACTTCATAAACTGATACCATGTCTTGGTTTGGCCACCCTAAACCTAACTTCAAACTAAAGCAATTTCGACCTACACTGTACGTCAAGGTAGGCGGTGACTGGGCGTTCGCATAACATGTCCTAGCCCCCTTAGTCTCTGAAGGTTCATGAGCTCATTGATTGACTTATCTTCCTTACCTGGTGCCCTTCGCCTAACCTCGATGTTGCTAACGTGGTGATTCCACCATACGCGAGCAATGCTATGAAGATACTTGTGATTGAAAACCTGTAGTCGCTTCATGTCTTCTACTTTTAACGTCAATAACAGCCTTATAATAGGGCAGAACAAACTGTGGTTCAGTATACTTATCCTTTAATAGATAATCGAATGTCTTGCCAGTCGACGCCACAAAAGACGCCAAACGTACTCAGATTTCTACTGAAGGTGCTCCGAAGACCCTGCACTTCGTCAGCGTCCTGGCCTAACCTGACAGGATAATATTGTCTAGGTATTCCAAGCCAATCAGGTGCCCTCCAGGGCGTAAGTCATTCCCTTTTAAGTCAGAGGTATATTGAGTTGTAGCCATTGGCTTGTCTGTGGCAAGGCTTAAGAGGAGTGGGAATTGACAGACGCCACCAGTCATTAATTCAGATGACAACTCTCCAGGAACCCTCACATGACTGCGTGAGTGTGAGTAAAGAAATTTGATTGGAAAAAAATACTTGCTCGGTCCTCCTTTATAGTCAGGCAATGCCACAACCTCTCGGTGGATAGGATTAAATGCTGATGTCAGGTCAAGAAATATGACGCGTCAGGCACCTGCAAGTATGCCTAATAATATAAGTGTAAAACTTGGGCACTGTGGTCGAGTGTAATTCCATTTTAGTCTGTTTATTAGAAATATCACACAGTGAAACAGTAGCATTTACTGGATAACGTTTCGGACATAATTTATTGTCCCTGTCTCGAAGTTGTGGAGTTACCTGATATGAATATGGACAATAAATTATGTCCGAAATATAATCCAGTAAATGCTACTGTTTCACTGTGTGATATTTCTAATAAACAGACTAAAATGGAATTGCAAGTATGCTTGTTTTCCAAAATCTGCCGGATGAAGGTTTGATTGATGTACCCTCATCCAGGTCTGAAACCTGCCTGGTTTTTTTCGAGTTTGTTGTCGTTGTGCTGCGGGTGACAAAATATGCCCATTTATTCATAACTATGGATCCTAGGATCCCGGACGTGATGTTAGTCAAACTGACTCTTGTGGCTGTCACAAGATTTCTATCCTTTCTTATAGACTAGGATGATCAGCGATCTAGACCAGTCTGACAGGACTAAGTCTGATTCCCATGCACCTTCTGATACTACCGATACTGCACTCAGAAGTTTCCTACTACCATCTTTAAAAACTTCCGGTGGCTATCCATCATGCCTCTCTGCTTTGAGCCGTTTCAGGTTAGAAGCAATCGTCTCAACTTGAAGAAGTGCTGGAGAATCGATATTTACGTCACATTTAAGTTCGGGCTGAATGGATTCTAGGCAATTGAAATGTTCGTTGGTTGGAGGCAGTCGATGGAAAGCGTTGTTCCACCCAGGTTTCGTGCTTGTTAACTCTCATCAGCAAGACATATCTGAGGTCTTGAAGGCAACTGGTGTTACTGTGGACCAGCTGAGCTGTTTTTCAAAGTGTCCCACCCATTATCCTAACTGCCTCTTAAAGGTTATCAAAGACCCATCCTTTTCAGCTATGGTTTGACTATCCATCGTCTCTTTTTTGTTAGTTTCCTTGGTAGACAAAAATAACTGTCGAGGATAACCCAGTGCTGACGTTCTCTCTTTTATCCTCGCTACCCATCACTACTTGGCATGGGATTCTGCGGTTACCTCAAAGATGCCTTTCCGACTGTTTCAACTGCTCTACTCGGGTGTCAAAGTTGCATGCCAATGACTTTATATGAACTTCTCGCTTTAAGCAGCAAAATTAGCAGCTTTTTGTAAAATCCATTTGTATCATTCCAACTGCAGTTGGTGGGCGCGTACGCAAAGATTAAGAATAAGTGTCAATGGGTGTTACAGTCTTTTCAGTTTTTGTAGATTCTTTCAGTCATACAGAGCCAATATGGCTATCTACCGATATCCACCGATGAAGTGTGTTTTCTGTCCCTCAACTTAGTGCTATGTCTACACCAACGAATCAACAGGAGCTTGCTTGGTTTTAGAAGACTTGGAATAGTGTTAGCAATGGTCGCAGAGTGAGAAGTTGGAGAAGAGGCTTGATGTTGGGGTCATGAAGTGAAGGCAAGGGAGGCAACAACGGTAAGGAAGGTAGGTTGCCGTTAATTGGGTTTTGTATACTGTTGGAAGTGTGCGTTTGGCTAGTTTTTTCCGGCTGTCTACACCGTGGCAGTTGTTTCTTTCAGTTACCTGAAACAGAAAAGTATTGCGTGACCACGGAGCCCAAAGAGCATCTGTTAGTGGCATGTCACAGCTCTTTCAAGGGTTGAATTAAAATTTGATTGTGCTGCCTTTGGACAAAAATTCATGCCGACGCTACCGAAATACCATGAAGCAGTGAGTAGCGTGCTCTTTTGCGGCCAATTTATAACTCCACTCATCCACAGCGAATGCAGTATCAACCTGGATGACTGGTAATCCGCGATAAACTTTACGGCTTCCACAACGCTTCCAACTAGCAGCAGGAAGTAACCCTTGGAAGACATCATCGTGTGACTATTTGTACTAATACGGTAATTACTTTTTGTCTTACCTCTATCCAACAAACCTTTCTGGCACAGTAGGTCCTCAAAGAATAAGGATTCCAGCTGGCATAGCTTCTCAGGTTATTGTGGTGTGGAAACCTGACCACTACGTCAAGGTAGTAGCTATCTTGAATACTCCAACCACATGAAGTTAAAGCGTCTAAAGTGGCTAAATCAAGTAGAATTTCTTACTCAAAGTTACATGCACTTATTGATTAGATGGTCAAAACCACGATATGCTTTTGGCTTGATTTAACAAATAGTTGAAGTATTTAAGAAATCCATAACTCGATAAGGTATGTTTTATGAAAAACGTCAACTACCAACATATGGCTTAATGATTCGTTAGAAATAATTTGTCGTCCCAGTCGTTTAGGTCGTGTCTATATCCTTATTTTAGATCTTCGAGAATTTATTTCGCAGAACACTCACGGTGACAATTATTTTAGCAGGGTCTTACTTAATCCATTCTTACTGGTGTTACATCCTCTCATTTGTTTCGCCTCTTGATTTTCTATCAGCGTGTTTATATTCAGTGTTGCATTTTGGGCCTACCTATTTTTGTATGAACTTTCAACTACTTATGTTCATCTGTTTGTCGTATTAATCACCTAATAGGTTAAAGCTACTGAAAAAGTAACATGTTTTCTTCTCATTCTGTTTGTATTCTTTCGAGTGAAGAGTTGTTAGTGTATAATCTTGTTGTCTTCTCACCTTTGTATGGGATCGATTATTCATCTCATTGAGTTTTTGTGTTCGATGAGCCTGATCGAGACTGCGATTCAAATTTGCTATGGTTTCAGTCTTTTGTGTGCTTTGGTCCCTCAGAAAGTTCTAGAACAGTTGGACTAGAAAGCTAGTAACGTCTAGGATAACAAGCAACCACTGAAGATGCGTCAGACCATATCAAAAGGGCTGTTAACTAGTATTTTTTTTTACAATATTGGCTCTAAATTGTGAAGCGCTGTAAGACTACCATCAGCTTCAATCTGAAGCAGCTCAGTGTAAAACTGTGGTTCTCCGATTTAATTACCCAACTTTCAAGTAATCAAACCTGGGTTCACGTTTCGCTCCATTGAATTCAGTCTGAGCAACCGAAGTGTCATATGCCCCCATACACTAAGTAGTGGGACTGTGACATTGTTTTAGGTAGCTGGCTTTCAATCGGTGGGTCACGGGTCCGAACACCACTCCACTTACCCAACTTTAGGCAGTCAGGTAGTATGATTAACCCGTGCACAGTATGTTTGACTGATCACTTACTGTACGAGCTTGCACAAATTCGCTGAGTGCGTTTCATTTTGTCCACGTCAGATATCACGCATAACTTGGTACACGAACGTACCGGTCAGACGATTTATATTATGTATATATTGTTAAGCTGAGGCTGAAAATACGTTCTTAACTGGTTACCAAAAAGCAGTATGGAAAACGCGTTCAGGAAACTTGTACAAATACGGATTCACAAAAAGATCATTAAGAAGGAATAATTGCTCAGTTCTAGTTTGCTAATGTATTTTTTTCCAGTCCAACAGAGTAATTTCTACCATTTTAGACTATTCTATTTTTTATATCGGAGAGATGTAAAAAGGAATAAAAGGCTGTTGAGGCTAATTCATCCTGCAAGAAGAGCTGCATCGAGTTTGTAGTTTGGTACATACTTATAAACTTCGTTCAACTATAAAAACTATGAGTCACAATATTTACCACATGATGCCTGCCATACAAGTTCCACCAGATGGTAGTGCAGCTGTCTTACATGGAAGTTTTCTAACTTGGTTTTCCATAACCTATCTTACACTAAGTAGGATCGAAATATGATTTATACTAACCCTACACTTAGCTATGCGTTGAGTTTTCTGATCTCAATTGTTTCCTTCAGGTCTTAATTAGACATCCTGCACAATGAATAAGTAGAGATACCATTGCATTTTCAGTGACGATTCACCAAATCATTTTATAGTATGTCACAAGAATTATTTAAGTCACTTGGTTCTCATTGACCTTCATTTTAGTAACTTTTAATCACCCTTTTATCTTCAACATCCCTTTATATCATCTCAGCATATTTTGAAGTTCAGTACCGACACAAAGAGTGCTGCCTTAAGTCATTTCTGTAATTTTAGACAACCGTTGATTTTTCTCTTATTCTGAACGATCATCATTTGGTCGGTAAGTTCTTGCTACACATTTTGTGTAATGTAGAAAAATTCACAGTCGTGTATTATTAGGATTATTTGCTATTTGTTTAACACTAATTTTTAATCGTGAATGTTTCTCCATCGGAAAATGTTTTTTCATCGCTTTCACTTGCTCGATGTACAAACAAGCACAAGACTCATGAGTTAGAATGAAGCCTGGCTGTGTGTTGTGTCGTGGTTCATTCGATGAGGCACCAATCGACTAGCCCAGAGGGCAGTTAGCCTGAAAAGCTAACTAGAAAAACTAAACTACCTCAGCAACTATATGTTCATTCAGTGGGTAGTGAACCACACCTATTGTATGAGGGCCAATTATACTGACTGCTCAAACATAGATACGCTGAATGGAATTTGGATACGTAACCTAGTGGTTGAAAGTTAGCTGCTTAGACCAGTGAATCAGCTGTACTGAGTTATCCCTAATCCTACTAGGACTCAAGATTATCAACTTCAGTCATCATTTCACATATCTGTTAAGGAAATGTATTCTGCATCTATATTTTGATTGATAGTGAAGTTTAGAGTACACATGCGGTTGTATTGGTCAAATTCCGGAAACTTTACATTTCCATAAAAAAACTCTAGTATTGCTTCCACTCACTGCTATGTTCACATTTTCAGTCAGCTATCCCTTTATTATCTTGACCAGTTTACTTTTTCAGTATAAGCTTCTCCGTAAAAATTATAGTGCCTCTTTTTGTCTCGCAATATGATTGAGTATTACTGGTGAATTCATCTTGTAATCAAGGCTTACAAAAGTTTATCATATAAAATGGAGATACATTCATCTCACCTTATCAAAAGTTATGGGGAAATGACGCATCAAAATTAGAATTTCTCTACATCTCATAATGCGCCAACTAATTTTGTGTGATTTATCATTTGTTTCTTGAATTTCTTCACTTACACACACGCACACACATAAATGTAGATAAAACTTGATAAGAACTAAGTTACTCTTTCATTTTTCTTCCTGAATAAATTCTTAGCTGCTTATCACTAAAATTCAGTTCATCAGATAAATTGTGAATGAAATTAATTATACCTTTGCGAATAGTCATCAACTGTTTTATTTCCTCTTCTTCGTTTTCTCTTAGTCTCACTCTTCATTATCAACGTTCTCTTAAGACTTTTTTCACTAACGGCCACTTCCCCTCCTTATTTGTTAACCTTTGTTCTTATTGGTTAGTTGGTTTAGTTGTTGTCTGGTAATTTCCTGCTCTACCTATATATATATATATATATATATATATATATATATATATATATATTCTCTTAACATATCTTCTATTTATTCAATTTTTCACTGTTAATGGGTTCGTCCTCTGGTAGTCATGACTTTTCATCGTTGGATAGTCGTGAACGTCAACGCCAGCGTAGTGTCAACCAAGCATTTGCAGCACTCAGATATGTATTACCTACACACCCACCGGATAAAAAACTAAGCAAACATGAAATTCTACGCCTTAGCATAAAGTACATTCGCATTTTAGAGGCTATACTAAAATATCAGGAGGAAGTAGAAGGATATTCATCTGTTTCGGATGTATAACATACATTCCTATCGTTTAATTTTAAATTAACACTAATGTTCACAAGAGATTGTCATAATTTGAAATCGCCAGCTCTATATTCATTGTTTTGCGCCTTGATTTCCTAATTACTGTATTTTCTTTATTTCAATCATCAATGGTTTCCTTTTAAGATTTATTCTTCGATCACTGAGTGATAAACCTATTTTTCCGTCTCCGGTGATTTTTATCTTCACACGTTTCACCAAATCGGTGTCTTTTTGTTCTATTGTTTTGTCATGAAAACTTGTTCATCCTGTAAATTTAATTTCAGCCTATGCGTAACAATATTGTGGCTAAACATTTATCTCTCCTGTTTTTTTCCTTATATTTACAGTTTTCTATGTAAAATATCTGAGATTACTATCATTATTATTATTGTCACGCCGCCTACTGAGTTAAACATGATTGATTCTGCCGATGAGTAAGTATTCATTTCGTTATATACATATATCATATAAAATTGATGCTTTTTTATGAAATTTGATTGACATGTTTTTGAACATAGATCACTGATTTATGCATTGTTTAGTTCATCCTCTAAATGATAATAACAATCTGCTGCAACTAACTGTATAATCATCACTGATGTTTGAACCATTGTTTTTAAAAACTAATAGTATTGGTTATTCTGCTCTGTATAGTCCACCCATTTTGTATGCCTTTATTAAAAAGGTGATGCAGCGGATAGTATATTGGTAATTAATTGCTTAGTCAAACTGTTTGACGAATCTTGTCACTTTTGAGTATGCAATGTAGGAATGAAACTTTTATTTTACTTTCTGAAGATGATAGCAGACCTTTGTTGTAGTAACCTAGTGGATGCTACTGATAAGAATGGATATAAATAGTATATATTGAGCGGTCGGCAGTAGGCATAGACAATTACCAGCGCTGGATGAATATCCTGCTCAGGGAAACGCAAGAAAAAAATGTAGGCGTGCGGAGATGAAATCGAGATAGGAGAAGAAGAGAAAACGAAACATATTGTGCAAATGACTATTTTAATGAAAAGTGTACATTTCATCAATACTGTACAAAATGTCATAATAAACATTCCTTCCTGCATCTCGTATCCCTATTTGTTCTTCGTACGCCCACGTTGTTTCTTGTGTTTCCTTTGACAGAATATTTATCCATCCGTCGTAACTGTGTATGACTTTTGCCAACCTCTTAACATATACTACGTATATCCATTTTCAGTAGCACTCACTACAGCCTCTGGCTTTGTGTAGTATATATATATATATATATATATATATATATGCGTGTGTGGAAGGGTCCAAATTTCTGTAGGAACATTAATAGTGATTGAGACGTACGGATATCTAGTTGATGAGTACTAAATAGAGTGAAACGTATTTCTTGAATCCTATTACCGGTTACTACTAGATATTATCTGTTTATAATGGAATATTCCATAAATCTCTCTGGAAGGATATATGTGTTGTGACTGCTAGCTCAGAATAGTTCTGCTGTTGCTATATCAGGTTGCTTTTTATGCTTCTAACCAGTGAATTTGAACAGCATAAATTTCTGTTGTAGCGATATATAATTATTTTTCTGTGAATTTATCATTTCACAGTGTTGATATGTGTATCTAGTTTGTCATTATTTGTAAGCATTGTATAGAGTAAGGATTAACTTGCATACGTAAACCAGTAAACCTTAGGTATAAAAAAGGTTAAGTATTACTGATACAAAGGACTGCTGATTAGTCTATCACTAGATGGAAGTTTATGATTGCGGAGTGATCAATTGCACCTCTGTTTAAGTTTAGTAGATAGAATTTTTTCGGTAATTTGACTAGTTGAATGACAGACTTTAATCAGTTGAAATAGTAATTTATTTTTATCCACTGTGTCCTCGATTTCATCAATATCGCTACCCACGACTGAACTTATCTGTGAATTATCCATGTGGTAAAACGTTTTATAAGAAACCGATAAAATCAACTCGCCAAAACCCTTGATCAGTAATAAGCTACACTTAGTATCAACACTACTAAACTTTCAATTCACTAGTTATACCCCTCCCCAGCTCTCTGTTTCACTATTACTAATTTGTTTAAAAGTAATTATTACTACGCTTCAATAAGTTCTTTAGAGTACAGTCATCTTTCTATCTACTTTATAGCTCTATGAATAATTTGTTAACCGATTCAACTGTGCGATCTCGTGACGGTTTAACACATATTAATTCTACATCAATATCCGCTATAAAAAATAGAGTTCATCGATTGAAGTCAAGGAATTTACACTACTCATCTGTTACACCTGAAGAAGCAGGAGATGAATCAAGTGATAATGCACCTATAAAGGATGTTACCTGCAAACTTTCTTCTTCACTTAATCAAAATGATTCTGAATTCCTTGATACTGGATTTACTCTTATTGGTTATACATTTTTTCTTCAAATCACTTTACATATAATCACGTTCGTATTGAATAGTCTTTCGTATCGTTATCTGGATACAGCCAGTTTGGGTCTAGTCAATGTACGTTTGGGGTTGTTTTACTCAACATTGGTATTTACTGCCAGAGAAGCATTTCGTCGAGCATGTCTCAGTCGTGGAGGTGAATTGGTCAATAGGAACAAATGGTTAACCAGTAAATCAAATGAACTATCATCTTCGAATGTCAATGTTACAACGAATCCTATCAGTGAAGACTCTGTTAATACTTGTCCACCACCTGGAAGTTATACAAATGAGCACAAGAATTACCAACTGTCTATTCATAGCCTACAATGGAATGGGATTTTAAATCTGGTTTGGTTGGTGTAAGTTGTTCATAAGCTTTCTTTTTTATTTTGACGGATTTCACCCGCATATTTCTATTTTCAGCTTGCCCACTGGTTGTATTATGGCTGCGTTATTGTTTATAGTCTGGATATTCATCTTACCTTCTCCAAGTAGTCTGATAAGTGAATCGCATTCGGAATTGAATCTAACCCCTTCAATCATCGAACACCGTTACATCATCTGTGTTATGATTTATGCTCTATCAGGTCTTTTTGAATTGGCTACCGAACCATTTTGGCTACTCTGTCAGCTTTCTCATAAAGTTCGTACAAGAATCTTCATAGAAGCATTTGCTAATGCTGCTCGTGCAGTTGGAATCATGAGTGCAATATTCACTGTGCCGTCTCAGTATGCTGTTTATTCACTAAGTATCCCTCAAGTAAGTTCTGCATAAAATAGGGGAAGCGTTTTATGTGAATTTACCTCCGCTCATACAGTCTCACTGTTGCCAGTACGATCTGCACACAATAATGACATTTATTTTTACCTGTGTCCACAGATGTTAAGGATATAGAATTGTGCATCTGATAATTGGGAAAGTATAAAAATATGGAATTGTTCAATATGACCAAAATTCTGCTAACGCAATAAGCATAACAGTTAAACAATAAATATTCATAAAAAATGTAACTGGATAATCATTGTTATTTTGTAAACCCACAACTAACAAATTAGAATAATTCCAGAGGAGAGAAAATTAAATCAGTTGATTTCGCCATACAATTGGTTGTGTGTAAAGTAAATCCTGTGGATATGCAGGACCTTGTTAACGTATCGTTCAGTGTTTATTTGCTGAGCCGATTTAAAAATCCCGAGAGGCTTTAAAAGTTTTCAGAATTACCTGATGGAATCATCACATTTGTATCGTTTGTAGGGCGTGTTTGAGAAATCCTGATCTTATGATAAACTCAAATCGACAGCCAAATTCTGTCTGTTATAATCATGGTAATAATTGCATGTAGTATACACACTTCTCAATGGTTATGCCTTACAAGTAACCTTTTGGTAATCAGCAATCACTTAAGGCATTCAATGCACAGTTTAATCAACGTCAAGCCAAGGAAGGTATATACCTATATAAATCATATATTCAGAAGTTAGGCCACTTTGTAGAGATTCTAATAATGTATAATCATATGAAATCATTGACTGTTTCACTTACGTAAGAATTCGCATAAAGAAAATAAAAACAGTACTTTCAGCGAAGACACTGTTTTCAGCCAATTCATTCACTTAACTGTACAATCGCATTTAAATGCAGTTTTTTTATGAGAGTGTACAATTTATTTCATGTGTGAAAGCAGTTTGTTAAGTATGACGATAAGGTAACACACATAAAAGTGGAAATATGATTTTCACCCTAAAACAATCGAAATGTTTATTAATATTGAAAAGTAATCATACGGCACAGTAACAAGCAAAGTTACATTTTTATGACATAAAAATGCAGAGTTTCTAAGATTAGTGAGTATTGCTGAAGTTGTTATAGCAATTAAGTAAAGATGATTAAGTTTGAATAACGAGTTGAGTAACATGATAAAATATTAATGAATCAGTAGTAATCACGATCGGTATAGAAACAAGGAGTAGTTGATAAAATGAATGGAAAGAAAGAGTTAGGAGAACGAGAGGACGTTTAAAAACGCTAAAGATTGAGGCTGTGGATGGAGCGAAGGTCGAACAAGTCTCTTATGTTCCATTACCGCACTTAATATCTATCCAATCTCACCTCTTTATAGCCACGCAGGATAGTTTTCTTGAGCTCTTTTGGACAGGACCCGCTTCGAACGACCGATGTACCCGGCTCCACTGGAGCTAGTAAACTGATATACACAAATATAGGTAGTCAGATGCGAGATCTAATCTTTCAGGCTTTTGCCAAGTAGAGGGGGACTAGAGAACACTACTCTAAGAGTTGCTACAAAGAACAGTTCCCTTCAAGGTACTTGCGGTCTTTTTCTTTAGGGTGTAAGCAGCTAGATCACCTTTGAAGTCAAGGTTCATTATTATTATTTTTCCCTTAGGTTCCTAGTGGAACATAGGGCTTCAGTAGCACGTCGCCATTGCACTCTCTTCTCTCCACTCTGGCTCAACCTGGCTACACCACTCCCCACAAGCTTTCATTTCTTCCTCACACCATCTCCTTCATGTCACCCTCTACTCGGACGCCCGACTGGTCGTTTCCCCTTCGGATTCCACTCGACGACTTGGCGCTTGATATCCTCAAACCGTCTTCTCAGTGTATCTCCAATCCAATCCAGTCCAATCCATTCCCACTTTCTCCTGCATATTTGTTGGGCGATGGGTTCGTGTTTAGTTCGTCGCCAGTCAGCCAGAGTCCCTTGTTGCTTATTCTTATTATTCTGGCCATCTGATCTTCAGTGTCAGTGAGTGTCGAGTGAGTGTAGGTGTCAGCTGTTGATGCGATGTATGTCTGTAGTTTGTTGGAAATGCTTTTCGTGACGCGCCAAGTCTCTCAAGCATCACATAGAGGCACTGACTTACTTGAAAATGCGGATGTTGTTCACGCTTTATGCTGAGTGAAGTTCAGTAGATCTCTACACTGTCTCAGACTAATGAAAATCTGTCTCACTTCTCCAATCCTGGCTTCGACATCCTCATCTGTATCGCCGCCAGTGGTTGAAACGATGCTGCCTAGGTAGGTAGGTGAAGGAGACAACTTGCTTTAGGTTTTTCCCATTCATCGTCATTGGTGCTTGTTGTTGTTGGTTGGGTATCTTCATTATCTCCGTCTTCTCTACGTTTACTTGGAGTCCCGTTTTCGCTGCCTCTTCTGTCAACTTGTTGGTTTTTACCTGTAGATCCTCGAGTTTGTGAGACATTAGACATAAATCATCATCGGTGGTGAAATCCAAATCTTCTTGTGGGGTCTTTTCATCGGTCCGGCCAGCTCCTCACAGTTTGTTGCATGATCCAGTCCAGTTGAGTGGACCACAATCAGGAAGATGATTAGTGATATTAGGAGGCAACCTCGTCTTTCGCCTTCCTGTCTTCACTTCAAAGGCATCACTGAGCTTTCCATTATGAATCAGTGGGCATGTGGCGTCTTCATATATCTATCGAATGAGGTTGATAAGGGTTTTGTGGCACTGAAAGTGTAGTGTTGAAGTAGCTGCCTGCCATATTGCTTCTCGGTCGACGCCTCGATCGAAGGCTTTTTTCAAAATCGATGAAGTTGAAGTATAGGGTTGACTGTCATTCCATGCTCTGTTCAATGATGATGCGCAGCGTAGCGTTGCGTGGCGATTTGATGCGCACACGATTTGTTCTCCCTGAAGCCAGCCAGTCAGCCAGCTAGCCTGTTCCGATCGTAATTTTGGATGCAGAGCATCTTTTAGTCTCTCCAGTATGATGCGGCTTAATATTTTGCTTGGTGTGGACAGTAGCATGATTCCACGCCAGCTCTCCAACACTTAGGTCTCCCTTCCTTGGGAGTTTGACAAAGTAGCCCTTCTTCCAATCAATCGGCAGGTGCTTTTCCTTCCTTTCTTCTAAACCTTCTGCAGTAGTGTAGTATGTATGTAGTAGTAGTATGTCCGCTGTTGTCTCTGCATCTGTTTTCAGTGCTTCTGGAGGAATTCTATGTGGTCCCGGTGCTTTCCTGACTTTCAGCAGCTTTATGGCGTTCAGGACTTGTGCTTTTGTTGGACGGCTTGTGTTCACTGGTAGTTCTGTGACTGTGCTGCTGTTGGTATTTCTAGACGAGGTGGTGATGGTGGTCGACTTAAGAGTTTTCTTAAGTGGTCGGCCCATTGTTTTCTTTGTTTCTCCTCCTGGGTAGCTAGGTTTCCTTCACTATCTCTCATTGGGTTCATCTGCGTTGATCTCTTCCCTCCCAGATAGTAGCCTGGTTATTTGATGTAGTATTGTCAGGTCTCTGTCTCTCCTACCTGCAGCCTGTTCCGTTTTACTTGCTAGTGTGTCATAGAAGTGTCTTTTGTGTTTGCGTGAACTCTTCTTCACTTCTTTGTCCAGTGTGGTATTTTATATGTTGTGTCCAGTTCCTCTTTTCGTTATTCATCCCTGCATTGCACTGCACTGGTACATCTTCTGCTTCCCCATCTTCCGCTCCCTACTCGATCAGCTTCCATGTGTCCATCCAGATCCATTCGTTTCCTTGTATTGTTCTTTCTTCCGGGTTATGCAGGTTTCCTTCTACGTCGCTTTCACAGCACAGAATTCCAGTGTTCTTCCACACAGGTTTCTTCAGGGATGTTGCTTAATATCTCCCATTTTGTCCTGATGGCTGACTGATTGACGTGAAGATGTCCTTTGTAGTTTCGTCCTTCAGTTTCTGCTCTGAGTGTTCAACTTCAACTGCGGTCTATCATCACCAACTTCTGTGAAGGCTTTCAACTTGATTTTGAATGTAGGTTGCTTGGACTAGACAATGAGTGGTGTGAATCCACATCTGCTCCTCTTCTTGATCTTGTGTCCAGTAGGCTGTCTGCGTCTCCAACTCCACTGTCTTCACATTGAGATGAAGTCGATCTGATTTTTGATGTGTCTTGGTATCTGGTGAAATCATACCCATGTCGCTTTGCGAATATCCTTGTATTTGTGCACACTGCCTCCAATCACCAAATCGTTGAATACACAGAAATCTGAAAACAGTTCTGCACTCTCGTTCATCACTTCACGGAATGCTTCTCACCCCATGATCAGTTCTCTTCCTGGGTTGTCCGCTCCTTGTTTGGCATTCATGTCACCCCACCCATTTTGATGTCGCCAACTTGGATATGGTGTGTTGTCCAGTACTAGTTGCAGTTGTCTGTAAAATTTCTCCTTATTCTCTTGATCCACACTATTTGTAGGTGCATAGTGTAGTATTGTGTGATTGTGACTTTCCTTCATTTTAAGTTGAATCTTTGTGTGATGATGGTGATGGTGGAGGATGAGATTGGTTGCCACTGCATGGGAGATAGCCTTGGATGGTGTTGGGAGGGGGACATCATGATAGCCAGTGGAAAACTGAGTGTGCTCGTGGTTGTTGTGTTGGTGACAGTATTGGAGTATATTATTGGGTGGGTGTGTGGTTAATAGTTTAGAGAGCTCACTTCCATTCCATCTGTTTACGCAGATTCCTAGTACTTCTATGCTATACCTTCTCATCTCTTTAGGAATCTAGGCAGCCTTGCTGTGTTCATGTATTGTGCGGACATTCCATGTCCCCATCCGCACTTTTGCCTTCATGGAGAGAAGAGAAGACACATGGACCAATCGCCTTCCCGAGGGCTTTCACCAACTGGCGTCATTTTGTCTCTCCGATTCCAACGAGGAATAAGTTTTTTTCATTTTCAATATTTTCTTTGTGCTTTGAAGTTTCTTTAGCGGTTGGATTGGTTTTTCGGGGTAGGGTTACTATCCCTATGCCCAGCCTTCCCTCTTTATTCGGGGTTAGGACCGGCTAGTAACTAGTTAACCAGGCGAGGTTCAATGTTCATATATAGTATCTTTTTTGATACGGGAACTGAATCATGTTTTGGCGGTTTCGGTTTGATATTTTGATCTATGAGCAATGGTGGATATCTTTTTAATCAAACGTTTCCTTAGAATTCTTGTCTATTTATCTATAGCTTCTGGGGTGTAAAGGCGTCGGATGCGAGTAGCAAGGGATAGAGTTGAATTCATCTCCCGACCCAGCTGTAGAAACTTTTCAGTTGCCCATTTCATATGGTCTTTCTGTGGATCGACCTCAAAGTTCCATCAGTCATTCTCGATAGTTCTATAGTTGATCCCTTTTCCACTTTGATGGTGAATTTTATCGCCAGTTGGCAGCTGTTAAATACATGCAATACATGATTCAAGTCACATATATTACCAAAAATAGTGAAAATGCCGTCGATATACCTTTTATACAGCTGAAAATGTTTGGTTGTTGATTGCAAACGACCACTTTTCAAACTTGTCATGAAGCAATGTGCCATTAATGGTCTCAAGGGGGATCTCATATCAATTCCGTCTTTCTGTCTGTGTATTGAGTCATTAAGCATGAATTGTACATTTAAGAGTGCATCTTAATAGTAATCCCTTCGAATGAACGGTTGGTATTCTAATGTTCAGGTTGTAGTCATCTATATAATTACATATGAAACAAATAGTTTCCGTGGGTGGGACACTAGTGAAGAGTGAATCGATGTTGAGTAATATCATACGTTTGTGCGAAACATTGCTTTTCTTTATGCAGTCGAATTCAAAGGTGTCTGGAAGGGAGTCAATAGAATATTGGCTAACCATTTGGCGATTGAATGATACGGAGATCTGGACGTATTTAGGAGCAAGCGAAATGGAAAACCGTATTTATGCATTTTTGGCAAACATAAAGCCATGGTACGATAGAACCTGTTGTTCTAATGCTTTCATAAAGATCTTTTTAGGACATCAGTTAGCCGCTTTCCAATTAATTTCATCCTATTTCTTTCGTGAGTAGGCTTAGACAATCTTTTGTTTTCTGAGAGTAAATGTAACATTTTCTCGATGTAATCTTTTCGACCCATGATAACTATGCTTATACCTTTGTCAGAACGTGTTATTTGTAAATCCATGTTATATCTTAGTTTTTTAAGTCAATAATATTTTGCATATCTTCATTGAAAGACAATAAATGTTTCTATAATTTATCTTAATTTATTTTGCTTTCTACTGAGCTTTACTAAATGAATGGTCATTTTCAAACTAGACTCTTATTTTCTCTTTCAATTATCCAGCTTTTTCATGGCTCAACTTTATTACTAAGCTACCTGCTATATTTTCAGTATGAACTGTCACAATCTGATTCAATTCGTGAATTAGAACTCAAGGGGATTTTCGGAGTTACTTCTTTGAAGAATTTACTTCCCAATTACATTCAAGTTAGTTTGGCATGTTTTAAATAAGTAAACAAAATATGAATTCTGTTGAAGAAGCTGAATTATTTCCGATTTTCTAAACATACTGGTATTATTGCATGTATTATGCCGTCGTTGATTGGACCGAATTGATCGGTCTCCATTGGCATATGGGCTCCTATGCGGATACCTCGATATTACCTGTGTTCTAATTGTAGTAAAGATGGATATTGGCTAGCAGTGGAGGTATGCTAATATAGACTGATCAATTAAGTCCAATCAACGACGGCATAATACACTCAATAATACCATCGCACAAAGAGAGTCTACCGTGGCTCGGTAGTATGGTGGGTGACGCCCCGGCTTTCAAAGCGACCAGTTCCGGGTCCAAATCCCGGTGGGAGCAACACTCATTGGGAGGCAGGTACGTCAGGCTGACGTGTCCCAAATAGGACGGAACACGGGTTCCACTTCTAGCCACTATCCACCTTTGACACTGGTATTATATCAAAACTTTTGAATGTAAGTAGTGAGACATTCACTTCTCACCATCCTGTTTTGATGTAGGATTAGTAGTACTTTTATTTGATTCATGTAGTAGTGTTTTAATTTAATTTGTAAACTCATTAGTATGCGTAATTTGATTATTCCAATCATGTTTTATTCTGCTAATAAGCTTTTAGCACATTCTTGTTTGGGATATTGTTCTCCACATGAATTGTTTACTAGTGGGCGACTGATGTAGAGCTGCCTAGTCCTCAGTACTCAACACTGACAAAGGCCTGTCAATCAACTTTTCAATGGGGCCACTAAGCTAACTGACATGACCATATGAAGCGCTTTGTTTTAATGTTAAATGCTGGAATGCAATGAGTGCTAACAAGCACAAAATATAAGTCTAGGGGATTCCTATGGACACTGTAAACTTGATCGATAAAATTCCGTCACTATCGTCCACTAAGTACTAAACAGTTGCATTGATTATCTACTGGCAACCATTTCGCGTACGTAATCCACTTCTGCAGGGGCTCATCTATGAGGCAGGGTCGAGTTATTGAGGGAACATCAATTTCATGGTTGCAGATACACCTTTGCTGATTTTCGCCAGTAAGCGGAAAACCTGGGTCTAAAGCTTTTCGTCGTTTAGTTTCTAGCATCTACAACATGTTTCCTTTGGGGGGGGGATTAGTCAGGGTCAATACTCATTGATACGCTAATGTTAACGATAGCGTCGTTCAGCGTGGGCGAAGTGGTACTCGATGTCACTATTCAGTGAGTTCTTGCGGTGTGTCAGCTAGGCACTAAGTTATATGACATTTCGTGTTTTCCAATTCAGTATTTTATGCCTTATACCTTGACCTTAAGTCAACTAATATTGTTCATTTATGTGAGTATTTCCTAGCCCCTTACTAATGATCAGATTTTGTTGCTGGGACTAACTTGGAGTTATTCAATTTTAAAAACCAGTCGATACGAAATATTATATATTATATTATTTGTCCCTTAGGTTCCTAGTGGAACATAGGGCTTCAGTAGCACGTCGCCATTGCACTCTCTTCTCTCCAGTCTGGCTCAATCTGGCTCCACGACTACCCACAAGCTTTCATTTCTTCCTTACACCATCTCCACGATGTCACTCTCGGACTCCCAACTCACCGTTTCCCCTTTGAGTTCCACTTGAGTGCCTGGTGCGTGATGTCCTCAAACCGTCTTCTCACTGTATGTTCAGTCCAATCCAATCCATCTCCACTTTCTCCTGCTTATTTGTTGGGCGATGGGTTCTTGGTTGGTTCGTTCTCAGAGTTCCTTATTGTTTATTCTTTCTGGGAGACGATAAATTCTAACAAGTGAAATTGTTATAGATAGGCCGTCCTCAGATAGATTTGAGTGAAAAACGTGAAAATATCTGGCTTCAGTTTTGCTTTTTCAGATGGTTAAAGTGATAATCAATATGATACTCCCCTCTCTGGTTCAAGTATATTTGAATTGGGTTGAGAAGTCCTGACTGGGCAGCCAGTGTGAGTACGATCAAGCGGTAGTAAGGCATCACGAAGTCACATGGCAGTTGGGTCAAACCTTTGGTGATTGAAGTGAAATAAAAATCTGGTCAGAAGTCGGACTTCTTAGTTCAGTCGGTGAAACACCGGGCTGGAGGTTGCTTGTTCGAATCCTGTCTTGGCCGAGATTTTCATTCCACCTTCAATCATCACTCAGTACCACTACTAATTTGACAAACCGCGACTATATCAGATAGTCGAAATGATAATTTTTACGGAATAGGTCGATACTGTTTTAGTTTGTCTTTTCATACTGTCTTGTGCAACTAGTTCGAAGGGACATTAAACAGTATTCTAGAATTCTCTCACTACCATGAATATTCTCCTTATGCTCCGTTTAAAGTTGTAACGTGGTCGTGTGATGGACTTTTCTTTACAAGCTTCTGATTTGTCTATCCTAGTTAAACCCACAAAGCAACCGGAGGCATATTTATTCTTGAACAGTATCAGATAAAAACTATATAGATATCTTATACTTCGTAGTTTACATTGGTACTTCGCATGATTATGATCATCATTATCGACATACGACCAGACATTACTGCGTAGCGGTACATCAAATAAAAAGACTGAAGTGGAAGATAAAGAGAAGAAAATTCAGTCGAAAGAAATATAAAGTACGAAAGGAGAGAGAGGAAGAATGAGAAAGTGGTGAGATTCGGTATAGCGTCGTTAAGATGAGGATAATGTGTGTGGGGATACATCTGCGCCACTGACATCGGTTCTGAGCCATGTGATCGCCTAGAGTCTCCAACCACTGGTTCCTCTTGTCCTGCGGACCCCAACCGACTAGTCTGCATCACCCCACATGACTCAAACCAACAGTCAGAGACTTCATACATTGATGCCATGTTTTAGTCTGGCCGCTTCGAGCCTTTTTCCAGCCTGGACCTACTTCGGCCAACATCGTGTGACGAGGTAATCGGTGACTAGGCATACGTAATACGTGTCGCAACCATCTCAGTCGGTGAAGGTTCACAACCTCGTCAACTGATTTACCTCTTCTCCCTAAAACTCTACACCTGACGTCTGCGTTACTCCCACGGTGACACCACGGAATACGGCCTATACTACGAAGGCAACGGTGGTCAATTACCTGAAGCCAGCCTTCTCATGTCTTCCACCTTCAATGGTCATGTTTCCCAGCCCAGCCATACAGTAGGACAGAGCGGACTGCTGTGCAGTACAAGCGACCCTTAATAGACAATCGGGTATCACAGCAGCGCGACAGGTGGCGTAAGTTGGCAAAAGCCAACTGAGCCTTTTGTATTCGTGCAGAAATTTCACCGGCCACTGAACCACTAGGGCAGGGCTGATGCTACTTCCCAGGTAAGTGAAGTGGTCGACACACTCAATCACTACACTCTATTGTCAACCGCGGTGGGGCACCGTTGAAGACCAATTCTGGAGCAACAAACTTGAGATGTTGCCACTTGATTAATTGAAAAGTGATTTCAGATTATGCTGCTTTCCAGTTAATCAGGTTTCTACAGAAAACCCTCTTGGACAGTATTTTGGCTTTATAAGAGTTATTTTCAAGTCCTACAGCCGAATAAAGCATACTGCAACACTTCGCAGAATCGATTGGTATGAATCTCTATCAATGGGTTCTGTGCATACAGAAAGGTAGTGTAATGAATCGCTTTCTTTCCTGGTCGTTTGATGTTGTTTCTTTTTCATTGCTTAAGTTTGTATTTTGCCAACCTGAGTTGATTTCGGTCTTACAGATGTCACTTCTTTGCATGTTACGTTATCTTTTAAGAAGTATTAGCTGTTCCCTGTACTTTACCGTATATCTATTATTCAATATTCTTTTAGGTAAGTATTTGTTATTATACAATTTTGTTTGAATAACTATTTTATTTTTAGACTACGTGACTGGTGGATATTAGGGAAATAAAATTATATTCTTTTGTATGGTAGATCTAGTTTTTCTTACTTTGTCTATAAAGGAAAGGTAACCGAATGCATAAATTTACACTGCATTGAATTTACTAAAGTTTCTTTCACCTAGATGTCTTTGCATGTCTGGATGCAGAGTGTTGAATAAAATGACCAACTTGTCTCTCTACTTTTAGCTATCACCTATGAATATAATATCAATGACACATAATACTTCTAGGGAAGGAAATTTATGCTTCGTATCTTCCATTTACTTTTTCAATTAGAACGTGGGCCTAGAATCTTAGTTAGGGCTCTTAATTACATTACAGTTAACTTCCATTAGTACGTTTACGTTCTTTTTAAGTTTTTCATTGTTTGTTCTTTTTGTCTGTTTACATCCTTCAAGTATACAATCGATCGACCTGGTTTACAACTTGTAAAAAACTTTTTTGGTCAGTGTATACTGAAACAACTTTTAACAGAAGGTATGCATAGTTATTTCTTAGTGTTGAATATAATTTTTCAAAAGGTTTCAACTATTTTATTTGTTTACCTATCTGTTGGGATAAGTAATCGTTATCAATGCCTTTAAAAACTTCATAATACAAAAAAGTAGTCGAGGTGTTAACAGTCTAGTTAAGCAGAAGTTTTGATTTTATCGTTCTTGTCGACTATTTTCTTCCAAATGACAGTCGTTTTAGAAGTCATCAAACTAAGCGTAGCCAACTCTTAGAAATTAACTTTGAGAGAGAGAGAGAGTGAGATAAAATACTAATCGTTGGATTAAAATCACCGAAATATGCTACAGAGTCCAAAGTTGTCGTCATTGTTTGTGGAGTACTACATGGAGTTTAGTGGAGTTGTCTCTTTGGTTTAAGCAGTTGGCTTTCAACCAATGTGTCACAGGTTCAAACACCTCTCTACCTACCGAATTCTGGACAGCCAGGTAGTATCATTAGCCCTTAAAATAGGTATGGCCCCTTGCCTACTGCACGAATGTGCGCAAGGTAGTTGATTGGATTACGATTCGACTTCGAGTTTTGATAACACATAGTTATAGTGTTAACCTGATATAATTTTATACATATGGACACCTGAAATATAACGTTAGGCTTCACACTTGATAGTCTGCGAAACGATGAAGAGTTTATTGTCGATTCGAAATGTGTACAAAAGGTAACAGTATGTGAATGCTCCCAACAACTCAGCTCAGAGAGCACAATAAAACCAAGACCATCCACCTGAGCTGCAAATATTCTCCACTGTTCTAGAATTTCTATATCTTTACCATGCTGAATTTATTCACAATAACGCATACACAGTATTACATAATCCTTCTTTGGGTTATCTCATACTGTCCACCACGATTGTTCAGATCCTTCAGAGAAGCTGAAGATCGTCGAAATCTTTCGTATTCAATCAACACACTCTGAAGTTTCGAGATGAGAAAAGTGATCATACACATATTAGATTAATTCAATAGATTACATATATACAATCAAGGTATACAGATTCGCGCATGAAACTGTCTATTGCGCTTGTTGACTAAAGAACGAAGGTAGCCTTAAGTTTACAGACTGAAGTAGGCAAAGCAATTGCTTAATTGAGATTTGAATAGTGAAGCCAGTGACCTATAGCTTCACCGTATGTTGTGTGTTTTCTTCTGTTCTTTCAATATACCAATAAATACTTTGCTCGTAAGTCATATTGTCTCTTTTAGACCCCTTATTTTCGCACTTGTTTTTCATCTTTCTTTTCAGGGGAACGATATCTGATTAGCGCATTTCATTTGATCAGCTTTACTGATCAGGGTGAGTAGTTTCTTTTATCGGTAAATCTACTTTTGTATGCATATCCCATCCTGTTAGGGAACCGTTATTTTAATGATCAGCATAAATCTTTTAAGATATTCTCATTGTTAACGCTAAGACAGTGTCTAGATTAGTGATCAGTGACCTTGTTCAGTCTAACTCTGTGCTATTGAAGATTTATTGTGAACGAGGTATCAATAGATACTTGTATCGCACCAACCATAAAGCTTTGCTTTTCACTTTTCCCTCGGTTTTTTTCTTTCTGAAGTCACTGCCATGAGTATTGAGGGATAAAGCAGTTAAAGTCAAGTAATATTAAGTATCTCTATAAACAACAAACTAGGTTATTAAATAAATTTACACCAAAGAATTTATTAAAGAATCTATGATTCATCTTAACACTACTTGGTGGTAGATTGCAATCGAATCCAAGATGCTTATCATCCTATTCTAGGTTTATGGGCTGGTTTTAACTTCCTCCATGTTTGTGTTTCCACATGGACTGCTATTCGGTTCTTCCTCTAGGTTACAAGTTTGCAATATAACGCCTCATTATCAGCAAACGATGGTCATTATTGAGGCATGGATTTTTGGCATTACTAACCCAAACCCATGTCACTCAGCTTTAGTATTGGATGCATAGTATTACTCTCAAATAAAGATAACTTTATGAAACCAGCGAACCTGATCAAACACAATACCATGTGTTATGTAAAGGCTTCTTTGTTGAGGCTTTTTTCAACATAAAATACTTTTGTTGTTTTTATACTCCCCAGTTCTTACAATACAGATAAGTTATCATGAGGATTAAATTAGTACCAATGTTTATTCTTGGGATTATTGTTGCAGTAATTTGAATATTTGACTTGTAGTCTGTGTCTTACGAGAATTCCATCTGTCTAATAAGGGGTATAGTGTACTGCACAACGATTCTCTCTCTCTCACCTACTCCATGACTCCTCCTACTCCATTAAAGATGGAGGGCATGAAAAAGGATCCAGGTGTTAAATGACTGTTATCTTGAAAGGACTGACTTCATGTCGTAGAAATACTACGTTAGTAGTGTTGAATTAAATGGCTAGAACTTGTGTTACGCATCACTCGTTACCGTCTGCATCTTCACGCAATGCTAGCCCAAATATGGCTCAGTTGGAAGAGGCTAAGGGTTACACGATATTAACTCATGAATCCTCTAGCTGTTGATCTAATCCATGTAAAGCCGTGTAGACATCCAGGTTGAGGTCTTCCGGATGAAAGTTGTTGATTGGAGAATTTATATGATATTACTTAGAATCAATCTCTGTGACTCACGGGGATACACGGCTTGTGTTTATCCTTACCGTTATGTTACATTTCGTTATTTGCTCTAGCTGTTTTCCTTTCTTCCTATAACTTTCACTGGATTGCGAACACAGTATTTCCATTTGTCTTTCCTTCGTCTTGCTATGTTTTATTTCAATGTGCCGATATGAGGTTTGGCGGCTTGAACTGTTAGACGGTAATGTCAAGTTCTATAATGATACTGACTAGTTTTTTCTAATTAACTTAAAGTATTTGTTTTGAAATTAGTCTCATTTTCCAGTCATCTCTGGTTTAAACGTGTTTATTTTTTCTTCCTGTACATACATGTAGGCATATATGATCTTGTAAACAATTTGGGATCACTAGCTGCTCGATTACTTTTCCTACCACTAGAGGAAAGTTGTCATTTTATGTTCAGTCAGTGTCTTCAAAGAGATGTCTCTCCAAATCATCAAGATAAAGTGAGTTTGTCAGCTAATGTAAACATTTAGTCATGTGTGAATAAATATCCGATTTTTTTGTTCACTTCTGTATCATTAGATTTTCTATATTTTGTGTAGTTGTTTGTATGGGAGGTATGCTGAATGGTGAATTTAATCTTTAACAAACTAACGCTTCTACTATTAAACCATATTTCTCACTAATTTTCAAGCATGAATGAATAGGAGCGATAAATATTAAGTTGTAAAATACTCAAAACTTTAAGCACGAAAATGTACTGAAATATATGCACCATTGCGATTGATTTTGAGTCATTGTTACTGTAGTATCCGTAGACACCATTTGGATGGGTTAGACTCTCCCATATGGTTCGGTGGAGATGTGGGTGATTGAGTTAAGCGTATAACTTTTTAGATTCCTCACCACCTACATCAGCCTGAGCAACCAGGTGGCATCAGATACTCAATATATCAAAATGCATCGGGATAACTTGCCCTCATTTCATGGTTTGGTTCATTCCCACGATCAATAACTCCATGGACCAATGTTTTTATCTTACAAATTAAATTACTTCTAACCTTCCGTTACACTGTAATTTGGCTTATTTAAAATATAATACTGACTTTTATGTCCTAACTGAGTAAATAGATTATTGTTTCAGATGCTTACTGTGTTTCTTTAGAATCCTATCTTTTCACTATTATATGTAATTTCTCCATTTTTTAATCCACAGAAATTACTTATGGATGCGTTCCGTATGCTTAAAACCGCTCTTCGTGTTTCGAGTCTAGTAGCTTGGATTGGCGTAACTTTTGCACAAGCTAATTCTCGTCTACTATTAATGATTTATGCTGGTCATCGATTGGCTGACAACCCTACCGCTGTTAATTTACTTCAGTTATACTCTGCTTATGTCTTGTTGCTTGCATGGAATGGTTCAAGTGAGGCATTACTAAATTCAGCTATGTCAACGGTAGGTTTAGTTTTTAAGGACTGGTTTTTCTCACTTGTTTTCGACTCGTTTTTTTTCATTTCAAAAGTTACAAATCACTAATGTTCAGGGTGATACAGTGATAGCTCATATATGACTTAAGAACAACATTTAATGTATGTGTATGTGTATGGAGGGGATTAATTTTGTTAACTAATGAAATTTTAAGAATTTTCAAATGGACCAGTATGAATTCCTTTCCAAGAAATTTGGAACCAAAGCTGACAAGCTACTTTCAAACAATAAACCAAGTTACGCGTAAAATCCAAAACAGGATTTGTCTGAAATACGACTCTATGTTGATAAAAAACATTAACTAATAGGATAGAAACCTCGAATCATGAGGTACGTGTGAGTTTGTCTCTATGAAAGCACTTTACAGAGAGTGCGTCAATAGTAAAAACAGCAAGGCTGTATTGAAGCAACAGGAAGGGAATATGAAAAACGCGCTTAAATTGTCATGATGAGGTAAATGTGCAAGATAAACAAATGTTCAAGGTAAAATAGAATATATCATGGAACAACGAAAGAAATTACAGAACCATCATGAACTTGGAGGGTACTAATATCTGGGGATGTTAAATGGTGAGCAAGATACGATTGAACAGAATAAACGGTTAAGGCTGCGTATAAGTCAGCATTATGAGTAAACATGACTATACTACTCAATAATACTAAGTAGTATAAAACTGAACGTACAAAAAAGGAATACATAGGTAAACGGGAACAAATAAGAAAGGGATTAACAACAAATAACAACAACAGGTGAATGATAAACAAATCTGATAAAGCCTGTTTTTCCGAGTAGAGTCAGTTCTACATTAGGTTCTCATAAATTGGGCTTCTTTTTTTTAAACTCAATGACATCACAAAAATTGTTTCTGTATCAGAAGTTCCCGTAGTGGTGTGATTCACAATTTAACTGGAAATGTTGTCCGGGTACCTTTTGAGCTAGTTTGCAAATTTGTTTTCAAGTAATGGTTTTTTTTGAGTCTTATTAACAGCATTCTTCTGTTTTTCGGATGTTTACTTCTTATTTCTGGGATATAGTTCATAAATATTTTTCTTATTCTGTCAAACCTACTATCTACTGGAGTTTTTCACCATTCGTTGTATTTGCTACGGTAGTCATAACGAAACAATATAGTCGACGTTTTTCCTCAGTATGAGTATGACTGTACAACTTTATCATAAAGCTTTTGAAACAAGATATTTCCTTACTTGAAAACTCAGCCTTTCGAATTCATTGGTAAATCAGTGGTGGAATCGCTGACTGAGTGATTCAAGTCTGAATCTTAGACGGATATGCTTTTCTGCTAGGTTCTGGATACTCGTTGCTGATGGCAACTAATAAGTACGAAAAATGGGTCTCTGTCGATTGACTCCTAGCATCTCGTATCAAAAGGAGTGTATGACTGTGTCGTCTCACTCAGCTTAGGGGGTCACTTTGCAGTGCTTGTTCAGTAAACTTTAATCAACACCAAAACCATCACAGATCACATGATTATCATCTGGCGGGCAGTTTTTGTGTATGTAAGGCAAATTTTTCCATCCAAAGTCACTATTGCTTTATTGCCGAAACTCATCAGTTCGATCCCGTCTGCCCATATTACTGGCAATAAATCAATTGTCTGTCTTAAGGTAACTGTAGAATTCGCCTAGGAATTCCAAAACTCAACGGTCAAATAAAACATAAATAATCGTAGTTACGCCCAAAACTGTGGATTCAAAATGTAGGATTGGTCTAGAATATTGTACCATGTTAACGTGATATAACCTGGTTATATATATATATATATATATATATATATATATATATATATATATATATATATATATATATATATATATATATATATATATATTTCAACAACCTTAATACGTTCTACACTTTTTGTAAAAAGCTTTTATCCAATAGGAGGCCTACACATAAACAGGTGGTTTTTCACGAATGTTTGGCGTGCAGTGGTTGATTGTGAAAACTTTCAGAAAATTTTAGATATCTTTAAAAAATCTAGGTGATGATTCACTCTAGAGTATAACTAAAGGAGATAATAAGGTTACGAATTTTAAGTCGTCTGGCATCTATGTTTTTATTATACCATCAAAGGCATTGTGCAAGAAGTGCCTCAATAGACAAAGTAAACAGCGGAAAGCTGTGTTAAACACAAACCACGGTTGTGAGAATTGAAATTCACGCCTTACTCTAACCATGTACTCGAAGGACGATGTGTGCAGTAAACTGGAGAGGTTGAATTACAGTCAAGAAATAATAAGAAACGGTGGAATGTCAACTTGCTAAACATGAATATTCTATAAATAAACTTCAGACGCACTGATACGTTTCAGACAGAAGCGAATATACTTAATTACTATTCATCATCGATAATTAATATAAATTTGAAAGCATAATAATTAGAATGCTGGTCACGCGATAGAAAATAAGATGATTTAAGGTTCCATCATTTTAGGTTATTAATCATAGATTTATTTTATTGTGAATATTTAAAGGAGGTTTGTAAATTATTTTTCTCTGTTCTACAGGATGAAGTTTCACGTCATAATCAGCGTTTAGTGATATTTTCAATGATATTTCTTGGTGCAAATTGGTTTTCGTACCTTTATTCAATGTATACGGTTTTGTACTAGCCAATTGTATCAACATGTTAAGTCGTATTGTGTATAGGTAAGAAACGTTATGTCCTGTAAATATTTTCATGATAAAAACTATACTGTAATAAATGTAACCGGGAAATTTTCTGTTCACCGATCATAAATTACCAGCTCATCGAATTTTCGATATACACTATCAGTAGTAGTTCAGTGTCCTACAGAGATGAGAGACCACTAGAGTTGTAGATTCCAAAGAGCATGTTTTCTGTCGTGAATATGTTTTGAATGAATATTTATACACAATAATAATCCGCAGTACCAAAACTTTTGATGCGCTGTTCCAAAGAAATTGTGATTTTTTAAAGTAAGAGTAGTGTCAATGAAACGCTAATTGTTTATGCCTCTTTATCCAAGTAAACACACTTAAGATACATTGAGGAACTTTTTCCCACAACTACGTTGGAATGTATCTATTCTCGATATACAAAAAGGGATTCTGATGAGTCTGTACACAGCCTCATCAACACCCTTACATAATTAGCCACTTCGGAGACTAACAAAACGAAAGAATGGATTCAAATCATAATACTATTAGATTTAGTTTTACTTTATATCGTTTAGTGTCTCCAGCAATCAAGTTACATTTTTCTGCTACACAAAAGTCCGCACTCACTGTTTCCATAAACCGTTCAGTCTCGATGTGATCCTTTCACAACACCTTCCTCTTCTACTTGCTTCTAACTAGCGCAGGAACACAGTTTAGTTTGGGGTTTTCTAGTTCCCCCCAACCCTTAATGGCTATTTAATGAAACAGCCTTACAATAAGTATCCTTGGGAAAAAGGGAGTAGTGATGCAGCAGTTGAAAGTTAGGTATATTCCGTCTACTGCTACTTCTCTATTGCTTACTGTGGGGGAAAAATCTGTCGGTTCTACAGCATTACTGCTATATACCCCTTAATTTGCATAGCTTTACCTGGTGTTTTACCATGACCTTAAAACAACCTATATAGCTGTTTTCGCACCGTTACTAGTTTTTCTTCTCTCTTCTCAAGGCTGAACTCTCATTGGTTGTTAACTATTTTTACCTATATGTGGATTTAGTATTTGTCAAGGTCATTCGGAAATTTATATATTTAGCATCACTGTCAAGTATATGGACTGTTGTTGAGACAGTTAAAAGCTGTATGTCAACAGTCTATCTTCTCTTCTTGTCTTCGCACATTGGTGGCATTGTTGTTGTGGTGGTAGTTGACATTTTGCTTTGCGTTAGAGTTGATTCGTTTGCGCATTAGGTTCGTATCGTTCGTAGTCTGTTAGGTTGTTCTACCGGTCATAACAATTACTGGTATATGTGGACGGGATTAGAAAATAACTAAATGTTAATCACTCTTCCCAAGTAACTGCTGTTATCGCGTACAAAACTATGCAGTCTTGCTAACTAGTGGCAGTTAGTTTTTAGGATAACTTCAAACATTACAACTGCATAAAGTTTCATTCAAACAGGACTACTCATCTCTACCATCAGTTCAGATAATCTAACGCCTGGTGCAAAATCAGTGGCTGTTCATTTCTTCTAGTTACTGAGAGCTTATAGACTTTTTCTCAGCTTGAAATTAAGTTAAAATATTTGATAAAATATTCTGCATTTGTCACATTGACCATATAGTTGATTGAATAACAATCATAATTTCAAATTGGAAACTTCCCTACTCTTCATGAATATTATATGGTGTTGTTTGAATTTGAAACTTTTTCTTTATTAGAAACTGAGTATTTTAAAAGTTCCGATTGTTTTTATTCACTTGAGGTTGATCCTATTTTTTTCTTGTTTTTCTTATTTAGTGTCTATTATATCGATCGATTCACAGAGAGAGTTGATGAACCATTGAATATTGATTCAGAGCAAATTAACCTGAAATGTAACCCTATAAATAGTAGGTCATCATCTAATTCAAGTTATAAATGGAGAAACTTCTCCTCAACGATTTCATTGTTTTCCCTAATGTTGCCATCTTGGAATCAAGCTGGTGTTTTGTTTATTTCACTGTTGTCCACTTTAATTTCACAAGTAAGTTTATCTATGATTCGTAGGTAAATAGATAATTTCTTTGACGAATTACTATTTCGAACTTCACTTCGGTTCATTATTTCAGTGACTCTCTCAGTCGGCGTATGCGTGTTCAGTCTGCTACACAAAGGTGTAATTGGTTGTCACTTGTTGTATGCACAACTTGATTGGGAAATTATATCACATGTGTAATACAACTTGCTGACTACTTCCAACTCTATGAACCAGGTGTGTGAATTGCACCTATTGTATGCCAGACAGTTATGTAGACTAAATTGTATAAAGCATGGTTTTAACCTTGTTACCCATATACTTAATTTAAAGGGTAATGTCTCTATATGACTTAGAAATATTCAGTATTTCACTGAGTAACACAGAAGTTGGTTTGTAAACTTTCGGAAATCTTCACTTCTCATGTCTATGGTTACTTTCGGATAATGTACCTAAACATGTATGCTGATTTCAGCTACTGCTAACCACTATCTCTTTACTTTAAACAAACAAAACTGCCACCTCTGTAAATCATTTATACTGCGTATAGAAGTAGAAAATCATTTAATGAAGCAAACTGAAACCACATCTATATGTATCGTCGTTTGGATGTGTTTACCTTTCCCCTAATTGGTTCATTTAACTCTTAAATTGTATGGCTTAGTTGAAATAAGGTACGTTTCCCGCTTAGCATCACGAAGGAAGCGGTTTGGGTGATAAAGACTAATAATAATGCATTATCTATCTTTGATATATTTTTGAAATTTTCTCTTCGACAGTGATGCATATCTAAAACTACATAAAAAATAATTTTCAACTTGTTTGGCGTCTGATCATCTATCATGTACATCACTGGTGATTTGTTTGAAGCAAGTGAAATGATCATCCAATATTCATAACCCTTTTCTTTGAATAGTGGCTAACTCTGATTGGTGTAAGTAATCTCTAGAGGCTTACTTTGTTCGTGCTTCGATTCACAGACTATTTACCTTAAAATAATTTGTCTTAATTCCCTACACATTATGATTTTGTAGACATTAGAATCAAATTTTGACTTGCTCGGACTAAGTAAGCTACGCATTAGGTAAATAATTTATCGGGGAAATATAAATGCAGAAGAGAAACGCTTTTCACTGCGGGGTTGTATTATATCAGAAATTTACTTCTCTTATTGAGATGTAGGGAATATATTTCGTTTATATGCATATCATATTGTTGCTTTATTTCTCTTCTTTCATTGTATTCAGCACTTTTTCTGTTGTTCATCTGGAATTTTATGGATAGTAGTTCATGGTGCAATTACATTTGGATTCCTTGGAATTGTGCTAACTGTAATATATTATGAAGAAGTTGATTTATTACAACTTATTCAGAGTGGATTGTTGCATAAAAAATCACGATAATTTGAGATATCTTGGCTTATTTTATTGTATTCAATAATACCCATCTAGTCTTTCAGAATATTTTTCTCTCCATGTATTCATTTACCTTTTTTTGCTTTGTGAAATAAAAAAGGTGAATACTAATTTTAAGGCATATCTCTTGATTATTGGTTCTAGTCTGTTATTTGTCATTAAACTGATTATAATTTTATCATGTATACTGCAAGCAGAATTTGTGAGTATGTGTATACGATTTAGGTATAGTCAGACAATAAGATATACGTTAGTCTTTCAAAAAAGGCATGGTAATGGTAGCTGTTTGATACTTGTAGTTCACCCTTACTATACAGGGTTAAATTGCACAATTTCTGTTGGTGGATGCGCACTTATACGGATGCCGCGATACTGTCAAATATTCCTTTATGCTGCATTCACCTTGGTGACTAGGAGTGGGATCCAGGACTAGCGTTCCGCCGTATTTGGGACAGACGTCGAACCATTCGACTCTGAATGGTAACGGGAAATTACAAGTATTGGACAGCAAATGATACCCGTTACATAAGAGGTGACTTAGTGGATAACGCTTTGGTGTTTGAGATGATGAGTACTGGTTTCGAATGTTAGTAGGAACAACTTCACTCATTGGTGTGTAAGTACATCCAACTGAAGAGTCTAAAATATGACGAAACGCCCGTCCTGGATTCCATGGCTAGTCGCCAAGATGAATATGTTATGGTAGCTATTTATCGCTAGTAAACTATGATGGTTGGTTATCTTATGAAAATGGCTATTCTTTTTAAAACTGTTAGCAGTTCTTACCTCGGTGTAGACCTCAGTGAAGTGTATAACCAGGGCTCTTTTTCTTAGCTTAACAGTGGGTAGAAGCAGTACAGAGCATGAAAATTGAGATGTATTACACTAATGCAGCTCGTAGTTTTAAGAGAAGTGAAAGAGTCATTTAAGAAATTTCTTTACTGTTAGTGCAAGATTCACTTTAGGAAGCAAATATGTTCACTTGAAACTCAGGTGAAGTAGCCCATAATCTGTTTTGAAAGTATAGGAAACTAAGTTATAATCCGCACTGAATTTTTGCGAGTTTCCAATGCTGCTTGTTTACCGAGGCCAAAGTTAGTGGAGCAGCATATAAACCGTAAACTAACCGGTTAAAAGTTGAGTGCGTGAGTTAGTAAACCATCCAACTTTGCTGGAGATTTACTTGTCTTTTTCTTTTCATCTTAATAACAACTATCACATTGAATATCAGGAACTGAACTGTACTGAATGACTTTGGTTAGCCAGCAATACGTATTTCTGCTCTCGTTCATATGACTGTTAGTAAATTTACTAGGTGAAATTAATGATCATAATTATCTCCCATTTTGTCAAAATCTGAGGGTCATGGAATTTTATGAAGATCGGAGTAGACTAATATTTAGACATGAACAGATTTACTGTTAAACAGAAGAGTGAAAAAACAAAACACATTTTAGCCACATGTACTCGGTGGCAGATCGAAAACTAACACGATTTCACTACTTCCAACTTCTCTCGGTTAATTCTATTAGACAATATATTACACGTCGACAGTCGTGTTCACCAGGTTGCGAGCCGAATTTTGCATGTGATGATAATTGGTAAAATGTGGTTGTTTAGAATGGATCAATATTTATGAAATCAGTGGATAGTTTTATGTATATTATTTAAAGTTGTCGATGCGCATCACTAGCGTTTTCCATATTTTGGAGATACCTAATTCTGTTGACAACGAAAACATAAATAAACGTGAAACACTTCTGCAACAAACTTCTCTTTGTCGAGGTGAAGACCTTTTTGTTAGACTTTTCTATTTCATGCCCGGAAAACAAAATGATAACAGAGTATTTATCAATCTTTCCTAGTTCATGTTAATTTTACGGTTTCTGTTTTCAACTTTGGCTATGCTCATCTTTTATTATATACGTAGTGTTTGTTAGTTTAAAGAATGTGTTTTAACTGAAACCGTGCTATAAGGAAGTACAACTACTTATCCATTCTCCATAGTTTGGTTTTTGCGTCTTTTGAAGAGACTATTTATTATAGAAGGACAAAAAATCAACGAAGAACCTCGCACATGAGTGCATTTGTTCAAGTTTCCACAATTCAAAGCATCTTGCAAAGAAAAAAATGGGTTGAAAAAAACTGGAATTGGAGTGAATAAAGGTGTATAGAAAGAAGGAAGTTAAGAATGAAGGTTAGTGGAAGAATTCAAGCTTTGGGAAGACTTCAAAGAGTAAATACTTCTGAGCCATTGTGACCGATTCTCAACCATGTCATCAAGGGTCTCCAACTATTAATTCCTGTAATCTCGATTATATCGCGACCGTACGGTATACACTTCCCCACACAGCTAACACCAAGATTCAGAGACTTCATGGGCTGCTGTTGCATCCTAGTCTTATCATCCTGAGCCTTCTTCCAACTTAATCCAACTTTTACTAACACTACACGTTGGGGTAGGTGGTGACTGGGCATGCGCAGCACATGTCCAGACCACGTGAGTTTCTGAAGTTTGATAATGTCATCAACTATTTTGCCTTCTTGGCCTAGTACCCTTCACCTAACCTCGACATTGCTCACATGGGGATTCCAACATACCTAAGCAATGTTACGAAGATACATGATCATAGACACGTAATCTCTCCACATCTACTATCAATGACCGTGTCTCACAATCGTTCAACAAGACAATAGACTGGAGCGCAGTATACTTATCCTTTAGCTGACAGTTCGGTACCTCGCAGGAGATGACACAAGTTGGGAAGTGCTACACGAACTTTCTGTATCCCAGTTGAGATTTCATCAACCATCAGCCCGTTTAGGCTAGTACAAATTACTAAGTCATCATCATCATGTAGATCAACATAGGGCCAGACATTACCGCGTAACAGTCCGAGTCGCCACACATCGTATCAACATAAAGCAATAAAATGGAAGATGAAGAAAGAAAAGAGAGAAGAATAAGACTGCGATTAAGTATAGCGGTTAATGTAAGGATAACGTGTAGTATACATCTGCGCTACTGACATTAGTTCTGAGGCATATCACCTAAAGTCTCAAACCACTGATTTCTCTTGTCCCCTGGATCCCAACCGGTTAGTCTTCATTGCCTTATACGGCCCAAATCAGCAGTCAAGGACTACGTGCATTGATGTCATGTTTTAATACGGCCGCCCCAAGCCTTTTACCAGCTTGAATCTACCCCGGCCACCATAGTGCTACACGGCAAACGAGGGATAGGCATACGTAACACATGTCCCAGCCATTCATCTCAATCGATAAAGGATCACAACAACTGACTCACCTCTCCAAAACTCTACGCCTAACTACTGCGTTACTCACGTGGTAATATCAAGAAACATGGCCTATGGTACTAAGGCAGCGGTGGTCAAACATCTCAACCTTTCTCAGATCTTCTACCTTTAATAGCCATATAGCAGAACAGAGCAGACTGCAGCTCAGTACACTCGATCCAAATTATTAAATCAGTGAAGTGGTCGATGAATTCTACCATTTCACTCCATATCCTATTGTCTATTCCTTTAAGTAGTTTTTCTGGATAGTCTTTTTTATTTCAGGGCTTAAAAAAAAGCCCATTTGATTGCTCAGTATCGTTCTAGACGGCATCAACAGGTTTATTGCGATATTTTGTCTTAGTTTCTAGTGTGCTTGACTTAACTTTGTGGATTTATAAACTAGGTGGAACAAGTGAGAAAAACGAACTCATTTGTACCCTGCTGGTTTGCCCTAAAATAATTCTTCAGAAAAAAAACACGTTAAATTTCAGCCAAAGAGTGTCAGATATTGACCACCGATTGACTGTCCAATGGGATGGAAAATAGCTGGACAAAGTGAAAGACAAGTGGTACAGTTGATGATCACAGGTGCACATCATCGGATCAGAAAATACCAATTCATGATCAACAATCAAAAGAGAAAACTAGAAAGCATACTCACAACACAACACATGACAACGTTAACAACAGCAATTGAAAAATCAAGCAGACGACACAAAGAACGAAGAAGAAAAGCTCTCAGGAAGAAGCTGCTCCGAAGCACTTACAACGGAGGAAACAAATGACTGTGTTGCCAACTTATCAAAACAACCACTAACAAAAATGGAAGAACTTATTCAGAAAGGATTGAATTATAACACAAATGATGCCTCCAAACCAGAATTTTTCCCTGCATTAGAATCATTTAAAACATCAGGATTAAATGAAGTCACTCAACAAGAAATATATGGCAAACAATAATACCACTGACCAAGCAGAAGAGAGATCATGCTTGAACGAACACTCAAGAACAGAAAACATTAAAAAGACTGAAAAATAGAAAAGATATCGTTATACTTCCAGCAGACAAAGGACGCACTACAGTAGTCATGGACAAAGAAGACTACATCAAGAAGGTAGAGCAATCACTCAGAGACGAGAATGTGTATGGGAATATGTGAAACAAACCCTATCCAAAAGTTTGACAACCAAGTCAATGAAACCTTGAACAAACTTTTCAAAGCAGAAGGAATAACAAAGCAAGACAAATGGAGAATGAAATCGAATGGATCTATCCTTCCTCGGTTCTACGACAGACCAAAACTACACAAACCAAACATCCCTCTACGACCAATTGTCTCACTTCCGGGAACTCCAACATGCAACATATCAAGAAAACTTTCGACAAAACCGAAACACCTTGTTCAATCATGCGGACAATCCATCAAGTCACCAACAGAATTCTTAGAAAAGACCAAAAATATTAACATAGAAAACGATGAATTAATGGTACCCTTCGATGTCACAGCACTGTACACATCTATCAAACCTCAATTGCCCAAGGAAACTATGTCCCTCCTGCTCAATGAAGACATAAACCTTTCAGAACGCACAAAACTCACATTTTCAAGCCTGATGGAACTCATCGACCTTTGTCTGACAACATACTTCCAATTCAGCGGCAAGATATACAAACACATGAAAGGAACTCCAATGGGGTCTCTGATGTCCGGATTGATTGCAGAAGTAGTGATGCAGAGACTGGAAGCCATCACTCTACCTGTGATGAAATCAAAAATTTGGATTCACTATGTGGACGACACTTTTGTCATCATTAAATAAGATGGAATA